TATAGGCCTATTATAAAAATCAACCGTTTCCAAAGCAGCCCGATTTTGAACCGATCTGATTTGGCCTGAGGCGCTTAGGTAAGTAACATTTTTCACGCGACTCGATGTAAACACATCTAAAGTGCGAAGTAAACAAATCTAAAGGGCAGCCTCCTAATAGTAAGACGCATGAAATGAAATGAAAATCCTTCTTTAGCATCAATGAAAGAATGGAATTATTTATTAGCTAGTGCCCTAGCCACCTAGGTTAATTTGCCGATTTGGTCAAAAACAAAATTGTCAAGTTTATTTAGTCGAATCAGCATAGAGGATCCTCTATGGTGTCACTATCGCGGGCCCGTGTGCCGGTAAAATTTACCGAAAATCACGATCAAGGCTCACGGGCCCCCCTAGCTCACGGCCCCCCCTGCACCGCGGGCCCTGCGGGCCAACTATCGCTGCCACTGGCCAGAGCCAGAATAACAGTTTTTTTCCTAAAAACTAGCCTATTACACATTTCTCAGCTGACTTCTTTTAAAATTACTTTTAGAATGTTGTGAATTAGAAGGTACTTTTACGTTGCAGCTTTATTGATGTTATTACTTTCTCAGGTAGTGATGTAGGCTGTAGGCGTAATCAGAAATAGTTTGGACCCCTGAGCGATGTGCGTAAGGAAAGATATGTCCTGACCTAATCATAACCTTTCCAGTTTTTGAAAAAGAAAAGATAATTACTCGTCCCAAATAATTCAAATACGATTTTCAAATATATTGTTTATCCAGGAATCTGTTTTGGTTGACTTGGACATAAAAATATCAATAGGACATCACAAGCTAATACAACCACATAAGCACACACAAAGAAAAACACCAGCTAAATATAAACAAATTACTATTCAAACCACCACCTGACAACATATCATAAGCACCAACCAAAAACATCACAAGTCCAACAAAACAAAAAGAAAAAACCTTTAATGACCATCTACTAAGTTAAACTTTGACATGGACTCGTACCAAATGATGAATGAAAAGTATTAACCACAGAGCTAAAATGCAAAGTGATTTTCAACAGAAGAGCACATTATAACAGGTTTCCAAGTATAAGAGAGTGAGAGTAGTAATGAGTTTTACTAGCTGGATAGTTTTTTTTTAAATGTTGATTTAAACTTCCTTAGTTGCGTGGTCTAATAGAAAATTCAAAGGGCAAAGGGTCAGATGGGCAAGGCAAGAGCCTTGAAAACCAGCTAAGGTCAGTTGTTTTGTTTAAACGTAAAAATGATAGAGTAAGAATTAAAAAATAAACATTATAACAAGATACACAATATAGTTAGGCCTAGTTTGGTTGGAATTTATTAAAAGGAAAGTATTTAGTTGAAAAATACTTTGTTACAATAAAAAAAAACTATTCACAATATTTCTAAAATCTTAACACAATAAGTTTTTATTTAGCTAGTTAGTTACGTAAAAATAATAGAGTAAGAATTAAAAAATAAACATTATAACAAGATACACAATATAGTTAGTTAGGCCTAGTTTGGTTGGAGGCTGCAAGTGAAATCAGACATTCAGGTGTGAAAAGAATCAGTCTATCAAGCGAGTTTAAAAAATACAATTTTTCTAATTTAGCAACTCTGGTTGGTTTCTTACATAGACCTTCTTTGTTTACAGATGTTAACAAGTGATATACAGAATATTTTACCCCTATCAAATCACCAACACAAAAATACTCGTGCAGAAGTTCTGTTGTAAAATGTATTTACTTTTCCATCAAGAGAGGTGTCAAATGTTTAAAAATTACATCACATCTGTGGTGTGTAGACCGATAATAAATAGCTACATTAAAGCGCAAAATCAGACCAAAACAACATTACACGTAGTAATGCCTCTGTACGATGCTGTTACAGAAAAGTTTGTTGCAGAAAATCAAAGAAAATTTCTTCACAAATAAGACAGGACAGGTTTTCTTTATGTTTCCTGGATTTTTAAGTGTTCCAAAAGAAATTGTTGCAGGGCAATAATATTTTAATGAGAATTAAAATCAAGATGTGCAAAAATAATGTTGACTATGTGCTTTAAAAATGAGTCGATTAGACAGTACTTCACATATACTTGGGTCATGATAACAAAGACAGAAGCCAAGCTGAGAAGGGGACGTTCAACTAAACTTTAAATTTCGCCTAATATTAAAATATTAAAATAATCATTGTTTCACAAACTCTAATGGTATTAAGTTAAATAAGCAGAGCATTTCACAAACTCCAAAATCCATCAACTCCAAAAGTACAGTCCGGGCCAGAAGTTTTGCAGGGGAATTTAGGTTAGGTTGGATTAACAATGCAAGGACAAGCGGTGCCTGCAATCTGACCTATCTGAACTCTTGGTGAGTTGAGTTATGAGAGACAATTTAAAACTGACAAACATTTGGTGTAAAGGCAGAATGCTTCCAAGACTACGCAATAGACAAACTTTCATAGTGTAATTAATGTTTTTATAACTTTGGCAACAATGTAAAAATATGCATGTGTAAGCACTATATATGAAAATAAAACTTTACAAAAAGTTAACTTCAGTGCTTTGAAAACTCCCAGCTCCAAGTTATTAAATGAAATGGGCAAATGGACTTGTAAACTAGCATCTTCAACACATTGTTGATATTTAAATTACACTAAAAGTTTACTAGCTATATCTACACTAAGTGGTGCATTTAAAACATTAGACACAAAAAGTACAACCATGCATTCAATTGAAAAAAAAATTGAGGTAGAAATTATGAATTCGAATCTAGTTTAGCCACCGACTAAAAAAAGTAATTTAAACTAATTCTGCATATATTTGACCAAGAACTTATTAATGTGTACATGTAATTTTCATATGAAAACTAAACTAAAAAAACACCTAGTGAAATGAGAAAAGCAATGTTAAACAGAAACAAAACTAATACTGCATGTTAACAACATATCTAACAGTAAGCTTATTAAGTGGTATGTCGTATAATCATGTGTCGTGGTAGTGGTTTTTCAACTTTTTAAGTACAATATTGTTTCTAAAAAAATCAATCACTTGTTTTTTTTTTGCTGTAGCAATGATACTGTCTATAGATTTATTTAATTTTTAATGTCAACCTTTATATGAAAAGCATAATGAATGAGTTCTCACACCATTCTTCCAATGAACAAACCAACAACCTTTAATGCAGAGCAAAGGCAAGAACTTAAACCCCTTGGCTATCTAAAAACTGTTTTAATTTAACTGGTAATTCAGCCGAGGGCTACAAAATGCTTATTTGTGTAACATACAGGTAGTGCTTGCTATGAACGGAAGTTGCGTACCAGCAATGTGTCATGCAAAATGCGTAAACAAAAAATATAATTTAATTTAGTTTTTTTGTGCCCGCTTCTGTTTCAAATTGTTCAAACTGATTCTGTGTATATAGTGAGGATTACTTGTAACTACTTGGATTGTATCATTGATAATACGATCATCTATTCCAGCTGTGCAACATGAATCAGTTCAGTGGCGGCGATAGAGCGGGCCCGCGGTGCGGGGGGGCCCGTGAGCCTTGACCGGGATTTTCGGTAAATTTTACTGGCACACGGGCCCGCGATAGTGTGATAGGCTCAGCCACACGGGTCCCCTATCATAACAATATTTATATGAGAAGGAAAATAGGCTACGTTTTTTTTATGATGCAAATTTTTCAAACCTACAGTTCAAGTAGTTTACAGCAACTAAACTAACACTATTACTTGACCAATCGATATAAATTATCTACCAACCTAAGTAAAAGAATTGTCATCAGTCATGTGGGTTACATTAACTGTCCTCGTGGATTGTGAGAAGGCGCAGTCAAAATTGGTTGCATAATAAAAGGGCCGTATTTATAACCAATGTGGCCTCTGTCATCGTCACCCGCGGGAAATGTTCTCGCCGATATCCGCGATCGCGGCAATAGCGTAGGCCTAATCTTTCAATTTTGTGAGCGTGATCCACACGGATATAAAAGCTTTTACTTTTAATTGTGCATTATTGTATTGAATGAGAAAATCGGCTTGAGCTTGATTTTCTGACTTTGTGCTTGATCTCTCAAGCTTGTAGTCCAGGCTCTGCTCGGCTCGAAAATCAGCATTATAGGCCTATTATAAAAATAAACAGTTTCCAAAGCAACCCGATCTTGAACGCACTAAAAATGTTACTAAGGGCCTCAGGCCAAATCAGATCGGTTCAAAATCGGGTTGTTTTGGAAACGGTTGATTTTTATAATAGGCCTATAATGTAGATTTTCGAACCGAGCAGAGCCTGGACTACAAGCTTGAGAGATCAAGCACAAAGTCAGAAAATCAAGCTCGAGCCGATTTTCTCAGTATTCAATACAATAATGCACAATTAAAAATAAAAGCTTTTATATCCGTGAGGATCACGCTCACGAAATTGAAAGATTAGGCCTACGCTTTTGCCTCGATCACGGATATCGACGAGAACATTTCCCCGTGGGTGACGATGACGTTGTCTCCGCGGCCGCAGATGTTCAATATTTTACCGTGGTTGCGGATGACGATAATGACGTTTATTTTTTTGCGAGAGATATATCTAGGATTTAGCCGCGATTACGGATAAATGATTTACCCGTCACCACCGACGGGTCGCGGGGAGATATTAGGCCATGATATTAGATTGGGCCGTGAACGGGGGAGACGATGATGCTGCTATCTAATGATGTCATAGGGTTTGGTTGCATTTGCAATCACGGTAAACCATGATAATGTTTCTTCCATGACTTATGACTACGGGAAGTACAGTATTTTCGATTTTGCCACGATCATGGAAGACGATAATGACGCCTCGGGAGATGCCTTGGCAAGTTTATTGCAAAATTGCAAGTTTAGGTGGTAATACATGGAAACATGTTTTTAAAGATCATTGGGAGAGGGGGGCCCGGCGAACAAACTTACGGGGGGGCCCGCGGGTTCTTATCGCCGCCACTGAATCAGTTGTGTTAAGTAACCCTCACCACAGACTCACCGTGTGTATGTATCCGCATTGTGCTCGCAGTTATGTCCGTGGTGATGTTGAAGTACGGCAGCCACAGGTCCTCAATGTAAGTGTCGCCGAACGTTCCGTAGATCGTCTGGTTGAAATACGAGCCTTTGAACATAGATGTGGACGGGTAGGTTAGGTCCATCAACTGTTTCCACCACTGAGTCATATTCTGTTGACAAAAAACATTTATTTAAAGGTAAATCAAGATTCATCTTAACTGAGATACGTTGAAGTGAAAGATTTAGTTTTTAAATCTAAAAGATGGTTGTGGTGAGGACTATTTTCTCTTAGAGAAAGTGTCATCCTGCAGAGAGTAATTTTTTGATTACGAAGTCTGACTCTTCCATCCATTTACTGAATTTTTGTCATTTCCAAAACTAAGCTTTTCTCATTTTAACTTTTCCATTAATATCATGCACACATTTGAACAATCCTTTTTTTTTTTAACCACTCACTGAACATTGCTATAAAACAGTTTAACTCCCTTCAAACACTATATTTTAAGTTCAAGCCAAACCTTTCAAAATAAAACATATCCCCGCCACAGCAAACCTGCAGACTAAGCGAATTTTCATTTTCTTGATTGGATATACAATAAAATATCTCCTTAAAAACATCACAAAATTATTCGCTATTTAAAAAACATTAGTTTCAAGTACTTAGGTTTACTGCAACAGGGAGGGTTTAAAAGGGTTTTTTTGTGAAATGTTGATACAGCATGCAGTTTGGTGTGAAATTAATGCATTTTCCAAATGTCATCAAAATATGTTCATAAACAAGCAAACTAAGTAACAGTTATTTATTCTCCATATGAATAACTTAGGGATTTTAAATTTAAAATTTGTTGAATTTTCTCTGTAACCATTAGGCGGATTATGATGCTTTAAATAATTATTTTTTTAAGCTCTACAAAATGTTTTGGAAAGAAATTGAAAAATGTTATGTTTTAGGGTCAAAAGTGGGAAAAAGATTCAAGATTCAAGATTCAAGATTCAAGATTCAAAGAGTCTTTATTCACACAGTACAAATTTTCGTACATGAATAGTGTCTATTGTCTATTGTTACTTACTACCTAAATTAGCAATAAGAAACATTTAAACAAAATACTATAGGCTACATTATTTTAAATTGAAATTACTATAATCATCTATTTTGTAAGGTGCAAGGTCAAGTAAGAATGCCTTCAGATTTTTCATAAATTTAGATTTGTCTTTTTCTTTTTTTAAAAAGCTAGGAAGTTTTCTAAAAAAATAGTTTCCAATATAAGAAGGTTTATTTTTAAAAAGTTCAAGTCTTGGTTTTTCTTTAGCTAAATAATTTTTACCCCTTGTATTATAATTATGCACAGGCAATTCTTGAGTCTCAGCAATATTTAAAAAATATTTAATTGTTTCAAAAATATATAAGGCGTGAACTGTAAAAATGCCCATCCCTTTAAAATAAGATTTGACGGACTGGTTGTATTTTAATTTATGTATTATCCTGATAGCTTTTTTTTGTATTTTCAAAATCTTTTTTAAATTCTTTTTCTTTGTCCCACCATAAATACTAATTCCATAGTTAATATGTGATTCAATATGAGCATGATATATCATTTTAAGTACTGATCCTTCACAGAGATATGACATTGTTCTTAGGACGAATATACCAGAATTTAGTTTTTTTATTAAATACTCGACATGTTTATTCCAGCTAAAATCCTCATCTATTATCAAACCCAATAGTTTTGAGGTTTTAACTTGAGCAATGGAATTTGTATCTATATCTAACTTAATACTTTGATCATTTTTGTCTCTTTTTGTTTTGAAAAGAATGAAATTAGTTTTACTAGTATTAAGTACTAAATTATGGTCTTTTAAAAACTGATTCAGACTTTTTAATTCTGATTTAGCAGACATTTCTAAATCAGTTAGGGATTTCCCAGTTGTGTTAAGATTAATATCATCTGCATATATACTTATCTTACTACCTGGGTCTTTTAGAGAATTTGGAAGATTTTTAAGGTAACATATGAATAAAAGAGGACCAAGAATCGATCCCTGTGGGACACCAGATGATATCTTTGATAAATTAGATCTTGTTTTTTGGATGATGTTATTTTTTGACAAAGTTGATATTTCCACAAATTGGTAACGTTCCTCTAAGTATGATTTAAACCATTTGAGAGTGACTCCTTTAATACCCAAATTATCAAGTTTAGCTATTAATTGATGGTGGTCTACATTATCAAATGCCTGGGACATGTCCATGAAGATGCCAGCTGAATTTAAACCCTTATCTAGTGAATTTATCACGGCTTCAACAAAATTAACCGCTGATGTAACTGTCGATCTACCAGCACGGAAACCATGTTGTTCATTATCAATTAGATCATATTGGTTCAAGAAACTGTTCAACCTGTTGTACACTGCCTTCTCATATACCTTTGATATTGCCGGGAGAATTGACACTGGCCTGTGGTTTGAAATATCTTTCTTAGAGTTTTTCTTATAAACAGGTACCACTCTAGCAATTTTAAGCTCATTTGGAAAAATTCCTGTTACAAATGATGAGTTAATTAGGTGCATTAAAATTAATTTAATCTCAACCAATTTTTACCCCATAAAAACCCCCATAAACCCCCGTTCCCATGGTCCGATCATGCTGGTTCGATGTAGGTTTACACAAAATTTCATCAAAATCGGATCATTTTAGCTTTAGTTATCGTAGGAACGGACAGTGCTGTGGTTACCATGGTTACCGATAGGTTCTGGCGCACACCACTGGGAGTGCCGTGTAGTTACTTAGCGTATAGGCCTTAACTACATGGCGCTCCCAGCGGTGTGCGCCAGGACCTATGGTTACCGCAGCACAGCTGACGGTCTATATTTATATTTAATTCTTTTTGTCTATGGTTATACTAATTGTACTCTTCTGTCAATGAAAAGGTCACAAACAATAACAAAGGCAATATATTTTTGATGTAGCAAACTAAAAGTAGGGCAATTTTTAGTTTATTTTGGTAATGGAAGAATGTTGGTTTACTTCAATGGGTCAATTTTTCAATACCATTAAAATTAATATGTTTATTATTACAACTCAAATATAATTATCAAACTAACTTACTAGCCAACTTTCCTGGATGAAGTTTTAAGCAACCAACAATAACAATTAACTTGCATTTCCAGTTTCCACACCACACTTGTTAAATTGTTAGCTCAATATTTGAGCTTTCTAATTAAAATTTGGTATTGGATTTAGGCCTACAATGAGTGTAATCATAGCACCGTCTGCCTGACTATATTTCCCTATATTGTAACCAATTACACTTTAACCTCACTATAAGCTCAAATTTAAAAACTATCGATTTCATGTAAGGTAAACTTATACTCAGGTAATACAATGTCAGGATTTAATTGTTCTGAGATAATAATATCCCATGAATATATTATAGTAAACTCTGTAAATAAAAAACAGTTAACTCTCAACTGTAGATACTTGCTGATTCGTCTCATTTGGTACTTTGGCAGAGACGGTTTACAGAAATTGCTAGAAATTACAATGCATAATATCAAAAATGCTATTAATGCAAGGATAGGGTAGAGTTTAGTTCACATCAAATTGCTCAAAGTATCAGTAAAGTGTTAAAATAATTTTAGCCATGGATTTGTAAAACTTACAGAAAGAAAGCATTATAGGAGGCGAATTTTGAAAATGTCACCCATGAGTACAACATACCTTAGACCATTCTCTGGCTTTTTGTGTCATTGTTACGATGTTGCGGTCCAAACACCATAAGGCTCCCATGAAAGCTCCGATGCTGACACCTCCCACCATGTCTATGGGAATCCCAGCCTCCTGTATGGCCTTGATCATCCCGACATGAGACGCTCCTCGAGCACCACCTCCGCCCAGCACCAGCCCCACCGAGTTGCCTGTCAGCCAACGTGCCAACCGTGAGAAGTCCGAGTGAATGTTGGGCTCAGACATCAGCACCTTGCTGTACAACTCATTCTGGAAAATACAAAACACACTGCATTCAGTATTGTTGCACCATGTTCAGGAAATGTAATCCTTTGTGTAAGAAAATACCACAAGTAAAGACTGAAGACCACTAAATAAAAATACTAGGTTAAGCATAGAACAATCAGGGTTTTTTACCTCACTAAGCAGCTTGCAGGGATATTTTATGTGGAGAACATTTTCCTGACCATAAAAATATTATTTTTGTTTACTTCTTAATTTTTGGGAATGGGAATGGGATAGGGGTTTTCTTCCCACATTTTATTTACCAAATCTTAATTGAAAATTCTTAAAAACAGGAACAATAACAAAACATTAAATTTGCAGGATTTGTTGCATTGTTTTATAACTAAAAACAAGATATATGTATAAATACATGGGTAAAAAATGAATTTCACAAAAATAGTTTCATAGGCTAATTGTAGCATTTTAAGTGTGCAGCCTATATAAACATTCTTACTATAAACACCTCTGATCACCTCTGCTATCAGAGACAGGTAGTTTGGCTGACTATCATATCACAGCATTTTAACTCTTTAAAAAGTCTTAAGGTTGATCAATGTGTACATCACCAGTGTACATATTACATTTAACTGTCATAAAAATCAGAAATATATTTTTATTTCAAGTTTCTTGAAATTTTGGGACCCGTTCGCCCTATTGTGTATCTGAACAGACTTTACTCACAATTCTGTACTGGCTGCGGCGGCTGAACATGCGCTTGTTGCACAGTATGTGATGGTGGGATGATATCCAGCTGCGCATGTTGAGCCACTCTACAGTGTTATGAGGCTGAGCACAGTCGTCTCTGTGTAGCAACACCAGCTCCTTCTGTGTCCTCACAGCCATCCTCTCCACCTCCTTCTCTATCTACACACACATCAGCTCACTATAATATCCGCATGACAGAAGATATATTGAAACACAAAAGCATTAGTTTACAGAGAGAGAGACAATATTATTTTTCAGCAATTTGCCCTAGTGCAGGGTTCTGTGACAACTCTGGATCACAACAAAACATTGTGTATAGTAAATACTGCAAGTGGTACAATGTTGTGACTTACTCTGCCTAGTGCCGGGTCTCTGTCACCCAGACCTACTATCAGCACACAGTCCGCTTGTCTGATACATCTCTGACTCCAAACCGTCATCGTCATGTCACACTGGTACAACGCGATGTTGTTCTGGTCTTCTTGCTGGGCCAGCCACGATGTCAGTCTGTACTCGTTGCTGGCGTCCATTATCGTGGCACCCAAAGTCTTACGTACTATCTCAGAAGTCAGTCTTATGCTGGGGCCTGTAAAAATTAAATTTGTCAAACTAATATTTGTCATGTGCCTCTTTCTTTTAAAAAGCTGAGTAAATATTCTAAATCTAGTCACTAGTGACAACGTTTTCCCATTCATATTTTGAACTTTGTGTCATGATAATCTGGGGTATATGATTAGGTTTATTGAGTTTTAAGTAGAAGTCCAAGGGTCCCCATTATTTATGGGTGGGGTTGGGCCAACAATTGGACAGATGAACCAATTTGAGCCAAGCTCAGGTCAGGTAGAGCAGAGCCAAGCCATTATTTTGCCCGGTTGCAGAAAGCATTTGCGAAGATATGTGATCAAACTTGTCAATATCATCTCGATTGTGGGTATGTTCATGGTTTTGCCACAATGGTGGTGTATGATGATGTAGCTGTGACCGCTGAATGTGTTCATAATTTTGGTGTAATCCCTGAGGAAGTTTTTGATTTTGCCATTGCCACAGAGAATGTTCAAGATTTTGCCATGACCGCGGATAATGTTCTCAATCTTGCTGTGATGGCAAAAGATGTTCAAGATTTCATTGTGGCCGCAAAAGGTTTTTGCTGTGATCACAGAAGTAATGCACATTTTTCCATAACCACAGAAGACTTTCATAATTTCACCACGACCGCAGAAGGTATCCTTAATTTTGACATGGCCGTAGGAGGTTTACGATGTCACTGTGCCACAGAAGGTGTTCACGATTTCACCACGATATGGAGGGGGGGGGGGGGATCATGTACATTATTGCACAAAGAAATTTTAGTATTACTATGACAATTTTTTTAAATAACTACTTTCCAAAGCAACCCGATTTTGGACCCAATCCGAAGTAAAAAAGACTGGGTCCAAATAATGTTTTAGATAAAATATGTTTACAAAATGTAAATAAATACACATCTAAATTATAAGGCTTAATAGGTATAATTAAACTTTCACAGTAAAGACAAACAGAAACCATTAAAGCTTGTTATTAATTTTAGCATTAAGTGAACATAGTAATTCAGTAAGAAAATAGAACTTCTGAAATTATTGTTGTACATTACTTAAGAAGTCTGATAATAACACAGACAAGTGTTGAAGATAGACTTACCAATTGCACAAAGGGAGTGGTAAAGTTCATAGGTGAAAGCAGTCAAAGGTACATCGTCAGACGCTGGCACTGGAAAAATTAACATATTTTTTGTGTAAGCATTGGATAAAGCTAAACAAATTAAACGGTATATTGTCATACCACATTACTTACATGCAGATTGGTGTGTTAAGGCTTTGAAAGCACTGAATGAATATCAAAAATTAAATCTTGCATTTTGTTGGGAATGGCTAATAGTTCTTACCCTATGATCACCAAGGAAAATATTGTTTGAGCCCTCTATATTATTATACCTCGTCTCATACTAAATCACTCTTATAAATACGTCTTTGGTGTCCAAACACAAAGTAAAAATAAGTAACAAGCAAATTCTAACATTTTGAAGGGAGGGGGTTCCAAAACATATTTCTAGTAAGTTCTTCCTTGAATCAAGCAGCTATTTTAGTAATAGTAACCCACACTGACCTATTGCCACAGTTGTAAAGTTGTGCTGGGACATTCTCGTATCCACGGCTCCTCTGTCTAAAAACCCACTTGATGGATTCTGCCAAGATCCTGAAAAAGGCATAGTTTTGAATAAAATTTGTTGTCAGTTTGTGACTACAATTTACAGAGATAGTAAAAACATTGCCTAATTCATAGCTAATATGTTAAGGGTCTTGCCAACTCAGGAAAAAACATTTCTCTTATGTGCAGCAAAGTGCCACTTCGCACATTAGTTACACAAATGACTATTGTACAGTCATCACAACAGTTAATTGCCGTTAATTTACTACCTTTAATGTCTAGTAGTGTGACTCTCAGTGTTGTTGAAGGGAGCCTTTCCCTTATCTCTCCCACGTGTCATCATATTTGACACAATCTTTACCACATCCTACGATCACTGTCACATTTCCCTCATTGATTATTTTGCACAGTACTCTACAGTGTTGAAAATATACAATCTTATACCAGCTGTTGAATCACTGCTGAGGCATTACATTGTAAGTCTACAGTGAGACTCACCCAGTATCCGATGGCCCAGTATATTGATCAGCCTGGTGACCACTATGGGGTACCTCAGTTTGATAGCATTGAACAGCCCCTCAGGTAGCTTGGCCAGCTCAGAGTCTCTGATGGCCATCACTGTGGTCCCTCGGTGAGTGCCAGTCACCATCTCCACCTGTCACGCAGACACAATACTTCGGTCAAGTTGGATGTTAACTTTGAGAACGTTTGAGATACAAACAACGCTTACCACGGAAAAAGTTCAGGTAGGCTCTAATACACATAAAAATTTGGTCCCCAGGGTACTTTGTGATGTGTAGATGAAAAGAGTTAGACAAAATGTTTGCTGTCATGGCTGTTGCCACTTATGCATTATTGGCACCTATCACTGGTTTATTTTCACTATTTTACAAAATATTTAGGCCTACATTTAAATACATACTAATATACCCCCGCCGCAGCAAACATGCAGGCTAAGCGAATCTCCATTTGCCTGATTTGATTTTAACGTAGATCTATTTAAATAAAATTGTGTTTAATGAGCACCCAGGTTTGGTTCTACGGGTAATAAAGAGTGTTTTTTAGTAATATATTAATAGCTAACTATAAAATAAATAAATTTGCCAAATAAAATTGTGTTTAATGAGCACCCAGGTTTGGTTCTACGGGTAATAAAGTGTGTTTTTTAGTAATATATTAATAGCTAACTATAAAATAAATAAATTTGCCAAATTTGAAAAAAATATATCCGCAAACAGGCAAACTACAACAGTTTACTTATTCTCCATAAGAATGACATGGAAATTTAAGATTTAAGATTTTTTGAATTTTTTCCTTAACTTTTTTTGTGATATGTAGCCTACTAACAAAATTACTTAAATGTATACTAAATTATTTGTTTCTCAAGCTCTTTAAAATGGTTTAGAGAGAAATTGGGAAATTTTTATATTTCGAGAGTCAAAAATGAGAAAATCCAATTTCTTCCCCACAAAACCTTGTTTCCATGGTCCAATCACACTCGTAAACGTAGGTTTACACATTTTTACTATTTTCATGGAAACTGGATAATTTTTGCTTGAATTATCATGCTAACGGACACATGTATGTATATGAATTGAACGGATGGTGTTTTTGGCCTCTGGAGACATCAAAACGAAAAAGCAAATTGGTCAAGGTCTTACCATGAGACCTACGGTAATAGCTTATTCCCTCTACAGGAAATTTAGTAATATTTCCTCTGTAGGAAATTTAGTAAAACTTGGCCTTTAATGAACTTAGCTCACTAATACATATAATATATGATGCCAACTCTCTTTGTCTAGACTTCACAAAGTCCCTCCAAAAAAGAGGTATTGTTTGTTTTCTGAGTCTTCTATTTTTACTGTGGCCTACACCTCACCTATCTTATAGCTTACCTTTTCTAAGGTAATTTGCAATCCTTTTTTTTCTTAGATACAATATAATAATTTAATTTATACAGTATAGACATAGGTAAAGAGGTATAGGCCTAGTTGACAATACTCACAATGCCCACTAAGTCACCTTTGCCGTACTCTGTGACCAGCTGTTTCTTGCCATTTTTGTGCGTGATTACAGACCTGAGCCGGCCGCTGAGAACTATGAATGTACTGTCTGACTCGTCCCCCTGTCTGAATCACAAGTTAGTCAGGTTAAATCAGTAATTTATACAAGGCAAACTTGTCAGAGACTAGACAAAATCACTGAGATACTACGGTACAGTGGACAGAGTTGCCTTTTGAAATCATTTGTACATTAAAATATTATCATTACTTATTATGGTGTTTAAATTATAAAAGTTCCACTGTTATATAATGTCAATATTTTAAAATTAAAATTAACACCTAATATTTAACGATTTATTTGTTTTAATATAAATTAATTTTATACATACCTATAGACGGCACGACCGGCTTCGAAGAATACCCAGTCTAAAGCGAAGTCTACCTGTCTCACAAACGGAGAGAGACGGTCGACTACAGTGTGTGCGATGTGCAGAACCACCTCCGGCTTTTCACATAGGATACTGAAACAAGAAAACATAATTTAAGTAAATGAGGCATTCAATACGAATAATTAGAAGATTATGTCAGGGGCAATTATTCATGTTTAAGAACATCAATAAGTTTCAGAATATGTTAAAACAATATTTACAACCGCATATCTTCTTGCTTCTAAGTTCTAACCTACGCTGGACATGTGGGGTGGGAAGCTGTTAGGGGGGGGGGTATAGCTATGCTACCCTTAGCTATTTTGACCTTTTGCAGCGCCTCTAAAATTAATCCAGAAGCTCTTGGCAAATCCTAAAAGCTGTAGAACCTCCATTTTTTTATCACAGTCACCTTTTTAGGAAATTCAACCTTACCTGGGCTAGAGCTCGACAGTCCATCCCCAAGTGTTTGGCACATACCACCTTTGATTGTGTATAACTAGCAGCTCCATGTTTGAGGTTTCAGGCGCTTCTCCCAGGGGGAAAGGTGTTACATGACCACTGAAGTCACCAAGAGCATTGCAACCACACTACTCACTAACAGTCAGGTTACTCACCCGTAGACTGTGGTCTTTGGACAGCAGTGTGATACAACAGGTGTGCTTGGCGCGGATGGTGAAGAAGCTGGGCTCGCCAGTTAGTACGGCCAGTCCCCCCACCACCTACCTCCACTCTACTCACACACAGTCAGGTTACTCACCCGTAGACTGTGGTCTTGGACAGCAGTGCGATACGACAGGTGTGCTTAGCGCGGATGGTGAAGAAGCTGGGTTCGCCAGTGAGTACGGCCAGCCCCCCCACCACCGCCCCGGGGTACGCATTGAACATGTGCACCTCCTCCTGGTTATCAGCTGTCTTCTGCGATACGGCCAGACTGCCTGCCAACACGTACACTAGAGCCACATCCTGCAAAAATATGGTGGCAATATTAGCACAAACAGAAATTTAAAAAGTTTTAGTATTGCATAGAGACACACTTATCTTCTTAACAAGTTCGCTGCTGACTCCTAGATGCCGGGACGGCGCCAGGAGCTGAACTAACGCTCGCCGCTGCGTAAACATTGCTGCCGATACATTGAATTACAGTAAAAACAACAGTAGCTATACTGGATGGCAATGTTCTGCAATAAAACCGGCTTTGGACATAGTATTAAGTGATTCTGATAGATAGCAGCACTACCCAAGTTGCAGTTGGTAAAGTAGTGTCGCTATCTAGCAGGAAAGAGGTGGGACAAAGCCCTGTTCTAAACGACCCTGGTGGTGATTTTGGGAAACAATATTTTTTATTGTCAGAAAAAAATGTCCCCACGAGCTGCAAAGAAATAATAGGATGCTTGTGACGAGCTGGCTGATCCATGAAAATGTTAAACAACAATGAACGGCGACGTTCCGGAACATTCCTAGCTCCTAGCGCCGTGGCCCGTTTGACGTTCCGGAACATCCGTAGCAGCGAACGTGTTAAAACATAAAGTAAACGCTTACTTAATTGCCAAATACACAGTTATCGTTAATATTACTTTAAGACGAGGGCAGAATGGAGTCTAATGATCAGTGAAACTTTTCTTGATGAAGTGACCAGCTCTTTCTTTGGCTAGGTTCAATTATGAAAAGTAGTAAGTTAAAGAAAGCTGGGCTGTTTTCAAACCATCAAAAAGCTACCGGTAATAACTTTTGGAGTCCACGAAGAGAAAGACGGAAAGCAGAGCTTTTTATATTTTTAGTTATGCTATTTTGTCAAGTTACTTTCTGACCCATTGAAATTCTTATCAGATTTGCTAGGCTTGCTGAATTTAAAGAAATATTCATTCCTCTTACATCAAATTTGAAGTAGAAAATTCTGACCAATTTGAATAAAATCTGTGTGAATAAAATCCTGTGTAGGCTATATATGTTGATATATAAAGCGAGGACCAATCAATCACCTTGTGGGAGTCCTCTTTCATGAGGTAAGTTCCAGCTGGCACCTCCCTCATCTCTATTTTGCCTCCCTGCAGCAGTGTGTCATCTTGCAGGCCGAGTTCTCGCACAAACGCGTCCGTCGCGATGCGTATCAGAGTCTCCTCGTCGTAGTTGTCCACCTGCTGTGAGCGTTTACGTCCACCACTACTGCCCAGGCCTGCCTGCAAGTCTGGAGTCGCCTGAAATACAAATGTGTTGTGCACAATAGAGTTAGAGCTTAAATTTACAGTATGTGTTATGTACTGTTGTTCAAATAGTTAGTGGAAAAAACTCTACAACAACTTCATTGAAGGAAATGCAAACTATAATTTAATAAGACAAAGGTTAAGGCCACATGGCTCATTGTTACACTTAACTTGTATACATAACTTACAAAAGCAGTCTTTACACTTCAAAATAAAATAATTAAACAAGTTGGACAATAAACACTCCAATTTTTTTTCTTCGCCGCTTTTTTCTTCGTCTTAGTTTTATTTTTTAAGTATTTTGTATTAAAAAGTATGTTATTGTTTTCTGTATATATTATGTGGAAATAAACATATTTCATTCATTCATTTCATTCAAACCGAAGTCAAGGCTATCAAGCCTTTTTATGGAAAGTCATGTCTTACTAGATAGAGAAACTAGAATCATGTTGAAATTGAAGGAAATAAATCATGTTACATTGAGAATTCAGGGGTAAATATAGTAAAAATCTATAGAATCGTAATTAATATAGGTAGGAATTGGAGTGAAGCAAGAAGATTAAATCCCTCAATGAATTCTACACACCTGGCAGAAGAACATGAGGGCTAGAGAATAAGAATCATTTCAATCGTTAAAGAAGCTATTTTTAGCTAAAAATAACATTTAAAAAAGTATAAATGGTTTTATCAATTTAAAACTTTTTAATCTCCAAAATTGATTTAAACATTTGGGTGATTATTTGATTCATTGACTTGCAAATTGACCTACGACAGCAGAGCTAGCAAACATCAGTAGCATAAGACTAAACAACACAAGGTAGACTCCTCATCCCATTGTACATTTTGAAGCTTGTTTTTCGTGTCTAGTTCATGTACGTCCACACTGATCGCTGGGGTAGACAACATTTTGTTTCTATTATTTTAGCGTTATTTTCATGATTTGTGCTTTACTATTTGGCTATATAACTAGGAGACCAGTTATTGTTTATGATTAAATTGTTTTATTTCGTAAAACGAGGTTTTAAATGACTGAAATAACGAGAAAAAATTGTAAACAAAACATAATCTCTACAGTTGGACATACAGAACTAACAAAAAAATTGGCTCCAGCAGTTCCATAAGGATGACTAATCTACTAAGGGAGTATGATTTATCAATGTCAGTAGATTACCTGTGAGTGCGAGTAAAGGTCAAAGTCAGGCATGATGTCCGGCTGTTGAGAGGCAAAGCGGATCTCCATACCAGAGCGAGACCTGCGGTGCTGACTAAGTATTGGTATTGGCTGACTCTCGGACTCAGTGGGAGTGACTTGCTGACTTATTGGCACACCACCTGACAATATGGAACCATTGACTTTATGATACTGAAGTAGACACCTTGTATATATGATAGGGATCTATTGGTCCCAGATATTTTCAGGTCAGGTTAGAACAAAAGTTGGCTTGGGGGATTAAACATCTTTGCCACCAAGACTGATAATTGAATATAATATAATAGGTTACGTACCTTATTCCGACTTCAGTCTTAACTTAGTCAATGCTGGATGACTAGTTTCGGGAACAAAGTCCCATTATCAAATCCTTACTTAAAACATCAATTGAATATGGTCAAATATCCGACGTAAGTCTTCATCAATGTATACATGCAGGTTGACGACACATAAAGTTTACACATTTTACATAAATATAGTTACAAAAACAATTACGATAGGCCGGCCACATTGAATACGGGACAAACCGACGCAGGTTACACGGCGGACACGACAGAACTATCCATTGTCCAGTTGGTGACATTGACCTTGGGGGAGGGGGTACGTCAGCTGATAAAGACTTCTAGTAGCTCTGATGTCAATGTTTTCAATTCTATCAAATAAAATATTTGAACCATAGATAAGATAAATATTATCTTATAGGGTTGTTAGTTCCCTATAATAAAATATTATCGATAAGATAGTTGACAAACAAAAGCACAAAATTGGTAAACAAATTGATAAACCCAGCAACTTTGTATCCGTCGAATTTGGAGCCAACCTACACTATACGTTAAAAAATGAATTGAAAAAACATCAAATCACCCTAGCTAGTAAAACATCAAACAAGCTAGAACGTCATTTGAACCAATCCAACCGTAAACAAAATGATAATGTTTTAAATGGCACAGGTGTTTACAAACTATCTTGTAATGATTGCTCAAAATTATACATAGGCCAATCAGGACGCTCCTTTAATACCAGATTTAAAGAACACCTACCTAAACCTAAACTGTCATTACAACGATCCAAATTTGCAGAACATCTAAATGCCAATCACAATGTAAACAGTTGCCAAGATAATTTACAAATCTTGCACAAATGCAGTAAAGGTCCGCTCATGAACGTCTTAGAGAGTCTTGAAATTTATAAAGCTAATAAAAAATCCTCTCAAGACGTTTTGAATGAAAAACTAAACTATGGTTCAAATATTTTATTTGATAGAATTGAAAACATTGACATCAGAGCTACTAGAAGTCTTTATCAGCTGACGTACCCCCTCCCCCAAGGTCAATGTCACCAACTGGACAATGGATAGTTCTGTTGTGTCTGCCGTGTAACCTGCGTCGGTTTGTCCCGTATTCAATGTGGCCGGCCTATTGTAATTGTTTTTGTAACTATATTTATGTAAAATGTGTAAACTTTATGTGTCGTCAACCTGCATGTATACATTGATGAAGACTTACGTCGGATATTTGACCATATTCAATTGATGTTTTAAGTAAGGATTTGATAATGGGACTTTGTTCCCGAAACTAGTCATCCAGCATTGACTAAGTTAAGACTGAAGACGGAATAAGGTACGTAACCTATTATATTATATTGAGGGATTAGTTAGGTACTAGTTTTTGGGGCTAATTTGGGTTGGGTTGAGCCAAGCAGAGCTTTTATTTTTGGCAAAGATGCATGATCAAAAATCAGCCAATTTCGTTGATTGCAGAAGATGTTTTCTATATTTGCTGATTTTGCCATGCCCATGGAAGATGATTTCACCACGATATGGGGGGGTCATGTACAATATCATGTATAAACTGATTGTAGTACGACATTTAACATTTTTCTTACTCAATACTTTGCAAAGAAACCCGATTTTGGCCCAAGACCTGAGGGCTAAATTTTTTACCCAACCTAAAGTAAAAAAGGTCTGGCCTCCTACAGACTCCTACCATATGGATCAGCTGTTGACAGATTGGCCGTTACAAAATTGACATATTCAACAAATGTCAATCAGCGCTGTCGGTGTCTCATTGCAACTACGTTCATTTTTTGCTAAGACTAGCTAAAAATTAATATTGGATTGTAATGTCCAGTGAAATCCATAGTCAAAGCTGATACCAATGATTAAAATTATTCATTTTGAACATAAAGAACACTTGGGGGCAGTTAGTGTCTATGGTAGTGAGCTGAGACTGTTAAAACTACTGTTTTGTTTCACAAACCAAATAGATTTTACAAACCAAATAAATAGGCCTACATATCTCTGTAAAAATAAAATATGTGTATTATAATATATAGAGAACAAAGAACTTACCAACACCAATGTCATCCCTGGTAACAGGATCTGTGTAATCTAGGAGATCAGTTCTGGACTTGGGTTTTGATTTGACGGGTGACTGGGTAAAAGGACTAGTTTTTTTTCTTTGGGTTCCCTGAAACGAAAATAGTATTTCTTTTTAAGATCGCTCCACACCCATGGATTCCATATGATAAGTAGGTATGTATGAACAACGCTTGATTGTTTCTTGCATACAGTTGCAATATGTCCTGGTCTTACCGAGACAGTGCCTGATTCTGCTACAAATGTCCCAGTGCCCCTAAACATACTATGGAAAAATTCTAAGTTAACTTTTTCTATACTATCAAGATAGTTTTAAAATATAAACAAAATAATAACAAACAAAAGTGATTTTATAAAATATTGCTCCAGTAAAATGATCGAAAATAGTTCTTGAAGTCTAGTTTTCAGACTTAATCTCAATGTATGCATTTCAAACTAATGATAAGATTTTGGTATAAAAATCTCCAAACCTTGGAAATTTTTTATAATTATATAAGGGAAAGCTCCAATGAATATGCATTTCAAAATCAATGGGTAGTCCATTGGGCTCTCAAGAATGAAAACTATTACTTACAGGGTTCACAAGTTCTGCGCTCAGACCCAGATGTTGGTGAAGAGCAGTAAAGGTAACTCTCTGAAGACGCACCATGATGACCTGTAAACAACAAATTAATTCAATATTTATTAGAAGAGAGCTAGTAATTTGTAAAAAAGATTGTAAACCTTTTTATTTGTCAAGCAATGAACTAGGAGGTTATGCTTTAGATTGTTGGTTCAGTCGTATCTTAGTATGACTTTAAGGCATAAACCTGTGTGGAAATACTTTAATTTCATACTGTAAATATTTCTATTTGCAGATTTGGGATGAGACAATCCAAAGTTAATTTCAACTCTGCCTTATACCAAGAAATCATAATGAGGAATAGATAAACAACGCTGTTACTTCATTTCTTTCAGATAACAATAAATTATGATATAAATAATTGGCCAGGAACATTTAAATAATATTATTTGTAAATTCTTTTTTGGCTCAGAATCTCAGAAGACATTTTACTGGAGATGAGTTTGATTATTACAACATCATGTTTCCTTCATTACCATTGGTAGTTCATGTGTATTGTTTATTCAACTAGGTTTGTGTGCTTTGGTAACATAGGATACTAGTATTTATGAAAATATATTGCTAAATGCTAACTACTCAAAAGCTATATCATATATTTTATAGACACATAAGTGTTCCTGCTCGCTTATGAGTTCACTTCCTAAAATAATACCTGCATCACACGTATAAACGTGTCCGGAAACTCCTTGAACACCTCCTGAAATGCAGACATTGGTAACCGGACCACCGTGGAATCCTCCATAGCTCTAGCTGATACTGTCTTGTATGGTTTAGGGTGGCCCTGTTACAACAAACATAAACTGTACACATGTTGATTAAATATCAATTTTAGATATTTTATAATAGTACTTACTTACTTACTTGTACCCTAAGTGGTACTTGGCCTCAACAACACACTGGCTACACATCGCCCTTTCTCTTGCGGTATCTTCATTGACTTCCATCCTGGCCATACCTTTCTTTATAATAGTAAAGGTCAAAATTACTATGGACTAGAGATTATGGAGCAGAGACATGGTTAGTAGACAAACAAACAGAAAAGAAGTTGGTTTCGTTTGAAAACAGAATTTTGAGAAAAATATTTGGACCTGTTAGAGAGGGAGAAGGTTGCAGAATTAGGCACAACCAAGAAATAAGAGACATATACCATTTCCCAGACATAGTAGGAGAATCAATGAGCAAAAGATTAGGGTGGGCTGGCCATGTATTTAGGAGGGAAGATGACAGACTAATTAAAGAAGTTGGGAGACAAAGCCCAGATGGAAAAAGACCCCGAGGAAGACCCAATAATCGATAGAAGGACCAGGTGGAGAAAGATTTTCGAAAATTGAGAGCAAGGAAAGAAGATTCAGAGAACAGGGAGAGATGGAGGCAACTTGTTAGCGAGGCCAAATATCACCATAGGGTATCCACCTAGGGTATCCATGGCGATGGGAGTAAGTAAGAGTAATCAGGAGAACGCAGTCCTTGTCATATCACAATCATACACAGTTCATTGCACATACACATTGATGATAAAAAAATATACAAAAATAGGCGCTCACAACGTTTGCGTGAGAAAAGAAATAACCTTGAAAACGCCACACAATGATTTTGGTGCGGCAAAACGTCGGCGTTGAGAACTTAAGTCTGAAATTTTAAATTTAGTTTTATTTTTATTTTTGTATATTTTTTTATCATCAATGTGTATGTGCAATAAACTGTGTATGATTGTGATATGACAAGGACTGCAATCTCCTGATTTCAATAGAGTGAGTGATGCCCAAAAATATTTATCATACTGAAGTATTGACCTCACCTAATATACCGTGTCGTTTAGGAATAAGTAAGAGTAAGTAAAAGTCCAAATAAATTGTATTCAAAATAAAAGTTAGAGATGTACCTGGATTACTTCTAGGTGATTTGGTTTTGGATAATGACAAATAAAAGCTGCCAAAACTATACTCAACTCACAAAATTTAGACGGTTTAATGGGAAGCGATATAATCCCCTCCACCTCAACCTTCTTGAATTATTCTCCCAAGTGGAGGTGTTTAGGGATAATCTAAGTAAAACTACGACGAAAAACGAATTTAAACTATAAAATAATCAAATGTATTTCTCATTTAATGTTTTCATGACAAGGAACAATATTGGACACAAAACAGACAGCTGATAGTAAATAAACATTCACATCATCTGTAGTATGACTATTACAAATAACAAAAGGCAGGCATTTTCAACACTTTCCCTTATTTGCATAGTCACTCCGAGAGTACAAGATTTTCTTGCAGGACTTGAAGTCTTGGTTGAGGTATAGGGTTCGTTTCATTTCAGTCTGACTAGTCGCTGTGACTAATCCGTCATCAACATAGAGTGCAACAATGATTTTTCCAGCAGGGATAGGACAAATGTAGACGCAGGGATCTTCACGGCTCTGTCGAAATCCTAAGCCTTTCATGAAGTCGTCAAACCGTTTATTCCAGCATCGAGGTGCCTGTTTCAGGCCGTATAAGCTGCGTTTGAGACAACAAACACGATTTGTCCCATCTGAATATCCTTCAGGCTGCTTCATTAAAATCTCTTCTTCAACGTCTCCGTACAAGAACGCAGTTGAGACGTCAAACTGCCGTAGAACCATCTTCTCATTAGCTGCGATGGACAATATTGATCGAACTACCTCCAGACGAGCAACCGGGCTGAAGGTTTCGGCATAATCAATACCAGGTCTCTGCGCACATCCTTTGATGACCAATCTCGCTCGATATTTTTCAACACTTCCATCAGGATTGCGCTTTATTCGGTACACCCACTTGTTGTTGATAGTCTTCTTTCCCGGAGGGAGTTCGGTCAATTCCCATGCACCGTGTTTATGCATGGACGCCATTTCTTTGTCCATTGCTGTTTTCCATTCAGCACTATCTTCTGAACTGATGGCTTCAGTGTAAGACTTAGGTTCATCGTCAACAAGAAGAACTTCGGCAAAGTTAGACGAGACGTAATCGTTTAGCCACTCGGGTTGCCTTCTTTCCCGAGTCGAGTGCCGAGTTGCAGGATCGTTGGATAACTCTCCATCTTCACTATCACTGCTACTTGACGGGTCTTTAGTCGGTATAGGCGCATTATTACCCTTCACTGGAGAACTAGGCTCGTCAATAGTCTCTTCAACTTCTTGCCAGTCTTCTTTGACGTCATTGGTTTTCTCAATCTTGATGGGCCACTCAACTTTCTTGTCACAGTCTCCAACGATTTCTTGAAAAACGACGTCACGAGAAACTACGACATCACTTTTCTCTGGAACATAGATTCGATATCGTTCTTCGCCATCGTATCCAACCAGGTAACCAACCACAGCTTTCTTGTCCATTTTTCGCCTCCTCTGAACAGGAACATGGACGTAGCACTTTGAGCTGACCACTCGCAGATGTTTGATCCTCGGCTTTTGACCAAACCAGAGCTCAAAGGGTGATTTGTTGGCAACTGCTGACTTTCCCACTCGGTTCAAAACGTAGCCAGCAGTGATGACAAGTTCCGCCCAGATCGCTGCAGGAAATGTTACATTTGGATTGGCGTACTTGAAGGTCCGGGCCATTTCGACGATTGTTCTGTTCTCTCTCTCTACAGCACCATTTTGCTCGGGTGTATACGGCGCTGTCAGACGTTGGTTAACACCATATTCTCTGAGAATTTGTCGAACTTCAGCGTTGTCAAACTCACCACCGTTGTCGCTGAGAAACTCTTTGACGTGATGACCAATTGTGCGGGCTTTAGACAACACTTCACGCAACGCTTCCTTCACAGCAGATTTTTCCCTTGCGACAAAACAGTATCGGTACCTTGAAAAGTGGTCTTTTATGACGATTAAGTATCGGCGACCTCCAAAGGATGGGTCAAACGGGCCGCAAACATCACCGGATAACAACTCACCGGGGGCTGAGGGGCGTTCTCGTGTTCCAAATGGTAGATGGTGTGCCTTTCCGAACTGACACGGTTCGCAGATCTCGTAGTTGGCTGGCACTTTGATACCCATTTCGGATTCGAGCTTCGATCGGACGTAACGTTTATCCATGTGACCCCAGCGCTCATGATATAACTGCAGAATGCGATTGTCTTCTGCTGCATTAGCGCAAACCTCAGATGGTTGAACTGTGTGAAATGAGGCACGATACAAAGTTCCACCACAGTTTCGAGTACCTTTGAATACAGTTTTTCCGTTAATAGTGAACCGACACTCGGTATTAGTCGATTCAAACCTGCTATTAGGGTTTCGATCATGAGCTGCGAGAATGGACACTAAGTTCCGAGAAACATCAGGAACATACCAGACATCGTTGAGTGTGAACGTTTCCAGTTTTCCATTTTCATAGTTCGCTACTTCAACGACTCCACTGCCAAGAGCTTTTATAACTTCCTTTCCCGCCGCCTTTACTGTTGCGTTCGAGTTTGCAGGAAAAGGTTTGTACTCCGTGAACCAACTCATATTTGACGTAATGTGCCGCGTAGCGCCATTGTCGATCCACCACTGGTCGTTCGTGGTCACGATATTCATGTCACTGCTGATGGAAATCAGCGCACTTCGGTTGTCGGTCACGTTAACTTGCGAGCCCTTCGTTCTCTTCTTATCAGTGTCACTCGTTTTTTAGCTAGTGCTAATGCCGTTAGCTCGAGCTGGATACGCAGGCTTGCCGTCAGCTTTCCATTTTGAACACTGGCGAATCCAATGACCTTTCCCCGAACAGTATTTGCACGAAGTGTCACCTTTTGGTTTCTTGTTCTTCTGACCACCGCTGTTTGTGGCACTAAGAATGTCACCAGCTTTTGAAGTAGGAGCAACATTACGCTCATGAAGGATCAATGCAGATGAAACATCTTCAAGTTTCTTGCTCTCGTTTGCCTTCATAAGTAAGTAGCTAGACTTGAACGATTCAAAACGCTTCGGCAAAATGTGTAACACTTTTGATACAAACAGGAGCTCAAGAAAATCTTCGACTGTTTGGATGTTACGCGTTTTGAGGCCAGCTGCAAATTCGCGGTTTTGATTCTTCAATCTTGAAAGCACGGTCGGGGCATCCTCAGTATCATCCCATTCCATACTGAAGAAATCCAAACACTGACGAAACAACTGATCTTCTGCCTTGTTATCGAACTGCTCGATCAAAATGTCCCACGCTTCCTTAGCTGATAATCTTCCGGAAATACGTTGATGTAGATCATCACTAACGCTCTGAGAAATAACTATTTTTGCCTGAGTTGTGGATTTGTTGAATTTCTCAAGTTCTTCCTTTTCGGCTTTAGTCGGAGGCTCAGAGAGGGTAGGCTTTTCTCTCTTTCCCTCGACGATATCAACCGCGTCGAACAACTCTAGAACGTCCAACACTCGATCTTTCCACGTCGGCCAATCTTCTGCTCCTTTCAATGGTTTAATACCTTTCACGTATTCCATTTGTAGAGCTGGACGAACTCGATCGAAAGATATACCAAAGAAACAATACTCTTGAGACAGAAAAATACGTCAGTATAAATTGTTCTTACCGTGTACGTAGTAGACTAGATTTCCCAACACTGTTATGTACATAAAACGATGCTGGCGACCATAACCTCTTGAATTATTCTCCCAAGTGGAGGTGTTTAGGGATAATCTAAGTAAAACTACGACGAAAAACGAATTTAAACTATAAAATAATCAAATGTATTTCTCATTTAATGTTTTCATGACAAGGAACAATATTGGACACAAAACAGACAGCTGATAGTAAATAAACATTCACATCATCTGTAGTATGACTATTACAAATAACAAAAGGCAGGCATTTTCAACAAACCTAACTTTGAAACAACAGCAGACAGCTGATCAACTGATATATAGATTAAGCTAGTGGTGGAGGAACCCAGAAAACCTTCCCCTTAAACCGCCTACATTTTTTAAACAGACTAAAATTTTAATATTACGATGAAAAACTGATACAGTAAAAACTCTTTAAACCCCACTAAGTTAAACCATAACCTAGGCTAACCAAATTCATCGTAAACTTAAAATCAATTAAAAAATTTAGCTGATCAACAGGAATTGTCTTCCATGGCACGAGTAGTTGGTCCAGCTTGGCCAAATGTAATGGTTCAGACGACTCAACTGTGATATATATATTAAGTTCAGAAAACATTATTTCAGCTAGTCGGGGTTTTACTGTGATAAAATTACTTCTTGTTCAAGCTAAAGTATACATGAACTGTAGCACAGATTAAATACAATTTACCAGTCTCTTTATCCAGTTAATTGCACACCCAAAAGTTCACAACACATTGATATTCAACAACTTCAAGGGTCTTAGGAAATAAGTAGAAGAATAAATCTTCTTCTTTGGTTAAGGGAAATATTAAAGTTTACCGTGTTATTAACAGCCTGTTACTCTTTCAGATAGTTTACGTCCATACCCTTTTTTCTAATGTGTTGCTAAGCTAAGGGCTTTTTCCTAAAAGAAAGTGATTCAGTGATTACAATTTGTAAAGAAATGTATGAAACTTACAGTCAAGACATCAGTAAAGCTCAACAGAGAGATGACAGAATCTCCAGTTTTGACTATTTTGAGAGAAATCTGTTCTCCATCCGTGCCCGTGATGTAGACGTTCAATCTACCGTTCTGGATCACGTAAACATTCTCATCTTGGTCACCTGAAGACAAAAATATTGGCAAGTCATAAAAAGGTTTGGATTGAAATTTTTAAATTCATTATAATCACATGCAAAACAGGTTTTTATACAATAAATGAAAAAAAGTGTGAGGTGTTTACATGGGTCAAAAATGTGATAAAATATTTAAATTTGCTTTATTCTTACTTTGCAACATTTAACTCTGAACAACTTAAACTCATGAAAATAAGTTACTACTAAAAACAGCTAGCATTGCAAATCATTATACTATACTTGAATAAATCCACTTCCCCACCTGTAGACTAAATAATAAAAATTATATAGAACTAGATCGGATAAATGGACCATACCTATTTTAAACAGATAGGCACCAGCAGGCAAATTCAAGATTTCCGTGTGTTTACACAGCTTGAGGAAAATGGGTTTTTCAAAATGTCCAAAGATTCTGAAACATATGTTACAAAGTGAAAAACATTATTTATTACTCAGTTTACAATGTTAATCTTAGTTTTTATCTGGACAATCCACTGATCTGATGACTTTGGAATCACAAATAGTCTGCATCAAAAAGTGTTTCATGATTGTTTATATTAAAACAAGTAATTAATTAATTTATTTAAATACAAATTTGAACTTCACAGTTTATCATAAAATGATACATATTGAGTGAATGAGTTGATAACTGATTCAACAGTTGCAAGTTAAGGTTAGACAGTTGAGTACTTTGTCGAATGTATGGTTATCTTTTTAACAAGTTACTTCAAGCAACATAGATATTCAGTATGTGACTCCTCACCGAATGCTTTGAAGCATATAGAACGCGTCTGGGGGAACTCTCTCGTCTTTGCTGGAGATATCCTCCTGGAGATACTCTGCCGGAGGTTCCAGTACCTGGGGAAGTTACAAAATTATCAAACAATGAAAATACTTGTGACTCATAAATATAAAAACCCCTAATCATGTATGTATACATGTGTTGCTACTAGCCTACTGTTACATGAAGACAAAGAACATTTCTAGTGACCTACCATCCTTCACATTTGAGTGGACTAAGTTACAAATACATCACACTCATTTGCCATACTGCATAAAAAGTTCACCATTCATAGTGTAGGAGTCATTACTTCCAAACGAGAGTTTGCTAGTAGCACAGAAAAGTTGCTAGATCATAGATTTTTATCAAGTCCACAAGAATGAATTAGGTTAAAAAGTTAAGCTACAAATAACGAGTAGTAAACAGACTTTAAAACAACTGTCTTCTTACAGTGTATAGCATAACACATTATAAACAGCAAATCAATACAGGGTGGCCGAAAAATCCCTTTACACTAAAGAAAAATTCAATTGGTGTTCTAGGGGGTGGTGGTAGTGGAACAGAGAGCGGGGCTTTATTCTCTCCCCCACTCTTCCCTTACTACTCACACTTGAAAATTTGCTGAACTATCGTGTTTAGTATTGTACTATGTACTGCAATACTGTGTAAAGGGACTTTTCGGCCACCCTGTATATGTAGCATATTAGTTGTACACAACTACCACAGAATGAAGACCTAACCTTGAAAAATCATGAGCAAAAAACAGTTTCATTTTGAATCTGCTTAAGTATACTCTATAAACTAGGAGCGCTGCTGTTGCTGGCTGGCTGACTAGGCCATATGTTAGGGCAGTAAGAGAGAGAACTGACATCACAACACCGTTGCTATTAGCTGTAACATATAAATATAGGCCTAGGTGAAACTTATACTTTACACCAGCAGATTCAAATGCAATGTTTCTATTGGCTCCTACATTTATTACCTGTTTATAAAGTGTTGCTTTTAACTCCATTACGTTATACTAACCTGTGCTAAGATGATAATTTAAAAGGCTGTTTACTACTAGCTATTTATAGCTAAACTGATTTTACCTACTTTATTTTTGTGCCCTCGATATATGGTATGTCTATGATTTAGAATTCATTTATTGACTTTGCAGTGAATTCAATAACCAGTAGACATTCTGATTAAATGGTAATTGTGAAACAGAGCTTGAGCTTAGTAAAAAAAGAAAATTATCTACCTTTCTTTGTTACTTTTGTTTTATGAATAAGTTAAATATTCATAACACCCTATAGAACTACTGTACTTAAATTACAACACTTGGTCGCTACTTTACCTTGAGTTGCTGCGGGACATTATCTTTTCTCATCTGCAGCAGACGACGGGCGAACTTCATCACCAACTTGCGTTTCCTCCCCTGCACCCCATGAACGGTTCCCGAGAATGACTTTACTTTCCTTATTATCTTCCGACCGTAGAATAGAACTTTGTCTCTCTTCCGAAACCGAGGTCGAGTCGAAACTCCAACAAGCTCTTTCACTTCTGGCAACAATTCTGAAAACAAAAGTTTGAAAAAATTAAATAAATAAAGAATTAGGACAATTAGCCGCTATACTAAGTTAGTAAGGCAATAAAAAAAAAAAAAAAATATATTTAAGGTAAGAAAAAAACTTAAGCAGGATTATTTTATTCCCAGCCAGGATTACCAAAAAATAGATCTAAAATTTCTTTAAAGGCTTATGAAAATAATCTATGTATTAATATGCAAGAAGTTTTCTTCTCGTGGGCATAACGCGATAACAGCTGGACGGATTTTAACGTTTGATGTGTCAAATTAAAGGTATTTATTTTCACGTAGATGTGCAAATACGTCTCAGAATATTAATAAAGGGCATGTACGGTTAAGGACTAAAATTTTGGAACAGTGGTGCTATCCATCAGTATTGGAACAAACTCAATTCACTTTTTTTTACAACTTACTTAACATATGGGCATGGTTTGAAATAGTTCTTAAGGTTAATCACAGATTGCATGACTTATTTCTTCCCGAGCAAAGATGGAATTTACATTTTTATTTCAATATCTGTTTACTAAGTCTGGTTCATAAATAAAGTATTTCCTAGCAAGACTTGACAACAAATTGTTTGTAATAGTTGAATTGATTAACCTTACATCACATTTGACTGAATAGGTACTCGTGTAGTTTTGGTTAGAGTACGGTATGTTGCAGTGGATGTTTTAAAGTGCTTTTAAGCAAGAAAAGAATGGCCGAAAAGCTCAATCTTTACTCTTTGTTGCCATAACGGAAAGGTTCGTTTACCTCATTTGCAGAATTTTCCAAACTTTCAGAGACTTATTGGAAACTCCCAATCTGAAAACAGGCCTTGGGACTTAGATTCAGAGGTTATTTGGATATAATTCGTCAATTCAATCCCGCCTTTGTCATAGTCAGCTCCGAAGCTCATTTAGATGAGAGGATCACGGATGGGATCTATGACTTGTTTTACAACCGAGTAGGTCCTCTCATTCCTCAAGGTCGGGATCCTAAATACGACATTTTCACAGGAACCCAACAAGCGTAAGAAATATAAATGCAGACAAATAATGTAATGAAAATCTTAAGCGGGAAATAGGGTCACACATTGAAAACACCAACCAATTTGTCCAATCTTTTAAGACTGTGACAGAGATTTGTGGGGAAGAGAGCTTAAATGAGAGCTTAATAGAAAGCAAGGAGTTAAATGAGATTCTTATTTGACTTTTTGAATGAGGTCTAGCTGTTTATACTTTCGATCTTTATTCTTTTATTTAAAGTTGAAGTGTTGCTTGATTTTGAGCAACAGGTTATCTAGTTTAAATCAATTTCATGTATAATACATGAAATACATTCATGAGTTGAAAATGGAGTATACATATAATAAACTATGTACAAAGATTAACTGTTAAGAGAAGTTATCTAGGAGAGCTGGAAGAAATCAATGTTTGCTACACAAGTTGCTAAAATTATTTTGACTGTGGTTAAAACAAAAACTTTAGAAAACAACAAAAATATAGGTTTTTTGTAAACTATATTTAAATAAATATTAAATATCCTTATATATAGGTATAATTCTGTAAGACAAAATTTTTACCAGAAAATTGTGGACGTTTGGTAAGTTGCAGAAACGTGGGAGGGGTCTTAAATTAAAGGTCTTGACCCCAGGGACTTGGGAAAAATAGCAGAATTTCCATAAAGTTACCAGAAAACTAGATATAACGTAAAATATCCACCATAAGAAAACCATGGTGACTGAAAAACGTCTGCATTCTTATCAGCGGTTACTTATTCATTTGCAATGTTTCCATCTATTCCGAAAGTCAATGTTGTTAAATAATGTTTCAAAATTAAATGTTTTCGTTTGTTTTATTTTGTTTTCCGTTTGTATAATGAGTTAAATTTATATTTAACTATACATGGTAGGGGAAGACCTGCAAGTCGTGAAAGAGTATCCAGGAATTCAACTGACACAAGAAATGCAGAGAACGTCATGTAAGGCCTACCTATTAAAGAAATCCACAGGCTGGTTTACAACCTGTGTTCAAGAAAGCTGGAAAATGAGTTGAGTGTTGTTTCTCACAATCTAGGTCCTCTTAACAGCACTTGCATGCATTGAGGCTCATTTCACTTCAAAGAGGAGGCCACAAATGGACAGTTCAACGCATGTTGCCACAATGGACTCATTAACATGCCACAACCACAAGTAAATGACGAACTAAAAGAACTGTTTTCACATGATTCTAACTTCATCAAAAACATAAGGCAATACAACAGTGAACAGTGCAATGGCCTTTGCGTCGCTTTCCGCTACACAAAAAGAGATTCCGGGAAATGAGCCTTACTGTTTTAAAATTCAGGAACAAATTCATATATACATTTCTGATTTACTGTCGTGAAATGGGGAGTCGCCTTCATATGGACGATTGTGTCTAAATTTAGGGGCTATGGCCCCTACAGGCCACTAGTAATTAATTATTTTACAAACCATTACTGAACATTTTAGATTTCAATAAGAAAAATTGAACTTTGTATCCAACTGTTGTTTAAGTGTACACAAGGTGAACAAACATACATATCAAAGAAACTCGTATACAGAAGGGAAACTCATTTTGTTTTGAATTAATGATAAATAAATTACACAACATCCTAATGTCATCTTCTCAAATGAATAATTTATACGTCTTACAGTGAAATGATCATTTTTTTTTTTTTTTTTTTTTTTTTAATAAAAGAGGTTGGCGGCCTCTTTTAACCTTGCATTTGCCCGTCCACATAGACTAAGCGCCCATGCGTGGATCGTTTACAGCAAAGCAAGGAGTGAGCCGGTACAGTACAAAGGTGAACTGTACTGATAACATGTTATCGGCAGTGGCCAGGATCCGAACACACAACATCGCTGCCTTGGGCCCGAAGTCCGTGACGCTACCGACTGAGCCACCGACTCACTAAATTCACCGTCTTCATTCATTACTTTGAATTTTCAATTAGCCTCTAGAATGATTGTTAGCTATTGAGTAATTGTTATAAACTTAACATCATCTCTCCTTCTATTTCAAAGTGTAATAAAACATAAATTTATATTATACAATCTATACAATTTACAGATTAAAATATTTTAATAACAGTTTAGTTATTTAATTTTTAAAAAATGGGACACTATATTTGAGATAAGAGGATAGAAAACTCCTGACTATGTATTTGGTTTGTTCTGGAATGAAAAACCGTTAAGAATAATGGGATTCTAGTATTGTGTGCAAATCATATCTTGGTGACAATATTACAGTGAAATGTATAATTTATAGAGGGTACATTTTGTGGCTTTGACCAACCAGATTTGCTAATTTACCACTAACATTTTTTTTGTGAAAGAGTTGACCTTTAGATAGGCCTACTCATAATCAAGCAATAACTTAAGGTAAATCACAAAATAAATTTAAAGTAGCCTAAATAGTAATAGCTCAACAACAAAAACCATTGTCCAAAAGTCCAAAAACCAAAAGTCATTTAATAACAAAAAGGTGAATGCAGTGTTGATGAGTTCCTTGATAAATGATGTAAAAGTGAATACACTTTAAATGGAAAGGATCTTTACGGCATACCAATTCAACTTGTTTTAATACTTTATGATAAAAGAACAAATAGGGAACACAATTAATAAATTATCAATATACAAACAATGCAATCTAAATTTATATTTAACACAGGTTACGAAGATAGCTTGGGGTCAAATAATTGTGCAGTCATCTACTTCACTTGCAACGTCATTATACTAGATAGTCTCGCCAGCGTTTTAATCAACATGTCTGATAATCCAAGATCATTGATTAAATAATAAAAAAAAAATAACCAAGCCCAACTCGTTTATAGCTACTGATTGAATTTATTTGAAATAACTTCAGTTTAGTTGAAAAGTGGATATATTTTTGATTCTTACTTGTTGGTACCTGAGAAATCATCAATATATGACCAGTTAACTTTGTTTCACTCCCCAGTTAGTCTAACGCCTACAAGTACAACTCGTTAATGTACCAAATTAATGTTTTTTTTGTTTTTTTTTTTGGAACTATTAATTGATTTCTCTCTCCTACTCATGGGTAAGGTGTTTGGGGGAAGTGGGATTTTCAGGGTATGGGCTAGTTGGTGTGCAAACTGAAGCCGAATGAAGCGCAAGAGGGTTTGGCCCCAGGTTAGGGCCACCGGTGGGCGTGGCTCCGTTTCCCAATGAGGACAGAGAAGGGAATAATGTGGATCTTTAAATCTACCATTTAAACAAGTGTTTGTATAAGCCTGACCACCATTAGGTTTGTATGTAGAAACAAAACTAGGCCTAATTTATACAGCTTAGTTTCATAAAATACACTTTGGTTTCACTCCTTTAGCTGTGAGGCAAAGTAAAATCATGACTTTATAAATTGGAAAAAAATTTGGGGTGTGGTTTGAATTTTATAACATGAAAATTAAGTAATATTAGCCCACTTTCAAAAGATCCACCTCAAAACTTTAAGAACCTATAGAGGCCAGGTTTTAATTAACCCAGCAGAGGTCACAGTGAATTACAAACATGAGGAGACGCACACTGTCTTTTTGATCAGGTACCATTAAAATAGCCTACCAGATTTCAGTAAGCATTATATTTTAATTCTTCAAAATCTCAAAAATAGGAAAAAATATGTTATTTACAACCTTCTCCAGGAATATGCTTAAGATAACAAAACATAAAATGAGCAGTTTTATGAAAGCTGCCGGACGTCCGTTGCCGGCCGTCCCGCCGTAGTGGGGTACTCATATTACATTCAATGTTATTTACTTTTAATAATTGCTGTGCCAACCGCTCGTCCAATCCGTGCCGCCCTAGTAGTTTAGATTCCCTGTCTAGCCACTGAGAGGTACATAATACTTCTTTGTGACCCAGCACACAATTGAATGGCAATACTAATTAATGAAAACTGTAGCCAATCAAAAATAAAAAGAAATATGAAGCATTGATTTACAAATCACGAGGAGGCACACTTTGGTGGAATTGACCAGTACATGATAAAAAGCTGTTGCTAGACTGAAATGAGGAGGCAAAAAGTAGGTCACAGTGTTCCTGTAATATAGTGTGCTATGTAATGTAAAGGCTGACAACAGGGATAACTAATAAATATAGTTTTATTTCCCAAAGAGCACAAACCCGGCCATTTAGACAGCATGAATAGACTAAAGGGTTCAAGACTCACCTTTGTTTTTCCATTTTCTCCAAATAAGAGTGGTCGTTATCACCATCAACAGAACTGTTATTAGGGCAGCAATCTGAAAAAAGTGAAATTATTAATCTAACTGATTTTAAAAATGTACTTCCGACTTCAGATCCCTTTGCTCGTGTTTATCCTAGGGGAGAGGCTCGTTATTAATGGATTGGCCCAAAAAAAAAAACAAACTTACAAGTATTAAGTTTTTTTTTCCTTTTTTTTGTAATAAATAGCCAAAGTCATTGTAATAAGTTTCACATATTATTACCGGTAGGCCTACTTAATCTTTTACCCCATGGGGAACCCTATAGGGGATTGATAGCATCATTAAAAACATAAAACACTTGATTAAGTATATATACCGGTAGGCCCTACATATTTACAAATTTTATTAACATAATTAGGAAACACTGACTGTGGATTGGCGTACTTCAGCCTAGGACTAATCGAAGGTTATCGAAATATACTCCTTCAGCAAATAGCCTAGTAGACCTTTCCTTTAAAATATGCAGTAGGCCTAAGTATCTTAAGGAAGTCCCTTTTGTCAAGGGGTAGGAATAAGATGAGGTTTGGCAACTTATTATATATTGTTATGGATCTATTTATTTATTTATTCCAACGGGAAACCCATTACATTGATACATTACAAAGAAATAACAATAAAAATCAAGGCAAGATGTGATACAAATGTTACAAATAATCAACAACAACAGCAGCAATGTATTAATACAATAAGTCTAAATTCTACAGCAAAAAATGTGTACATTGAACATGTAACAATATAATGTTGCGGGCTTGACAGGTTCTTACAATAAAAACTTGGCGATTTTATATTACTTATTTATTTACACGTATTATTCTATATTTTTACAGATATTAGAATTACCTAACACCTAACTAACCCTATCTAAACCTAGCTAAAGCCTATTCTAATTAACAATGTTTCTACTTACAGCTAGCCTCTACAGGATTTATCACTACTTCTGTCACAACACTGTCACTATACTGTCACTAGTGTCACTACACTGTCTCTACACCGTCACTACACTGTCACTCTCACTAGCACTAGCACTGGTCACTAACACCGACGGGCGCTTGCTGCGACGATTCTCGGAAGGCTCAACTCAACTCAACTGCCGTGTGCCGGAAGACGGTCCCTTATATAAGTTTACCGTGGAACATTCTGGAGGCACCTAGTAGCCCAAACAAAGCTGTTTACAGATCACCGTAGGCCGTAGAAGCTTCTGGTGGATGTCAAAGACCCTATTGACGTAGTCCGTTGACATGGGTCTATTGTCTTTCACTGGCACGTACGGAGAAACCTTTGTAAACAAACAACCCTTTTGAGACGGCGCCTGGCTATTGTTACGCGGGGCTCCTGACTTGTAACAATAACATAACCATATACCATTTATCAAACCATTAACAAACAAATAAAATATTTTCAGATTGACAACAATAATAAATATTTTTTTTTACTTTGATCATGCAACAATAACAACAAATAAATATTTTAAAAAGACAACAATATAAATAATTTGACTTTTGTAAAACTAATGAATACTGAATTGCTAACAAAAAATATAATCTAACTTATTCAATACTAACAAAGGTACAGATTGTGTCTACATACATTACAAGCTATGTGTCATTGCCGCAGGCTGTAGAGCTCATCAGTTGTGACTCTAAGCAGGCTCCTCTTGACTGATGTGGAACTGTTGTTGAGGCTGTTTGCATCATAGTTGGTGCTCACATGCCGTCTTCCAAAAAGGTCGGTAGATCTGGTTCCAGTACGACAAAGGAAACCAATCTGGCTTAACAGCTACGGACAGTCCACGGAACCATTCACCAGCTTGTGCAGAAACACTACTCCAAAAACATCTCTTCTGGCTTCCAAGCTTTGAAGGTTGAACAATGGCTCGAGATCTCTAATAGGAACTTCTCTGAAGGCAAACCCCATCCGACAGCCAAGGAGACGTAAGAACCTGTCTTGGATGGTCTGAAGCTCCCGAACCAGGGTAATCTGATGCGGCGACCATACTACACAGTTATATTCAAGCAGCGGACGTACAAGGGCGCAATAGTGTCCTAAGAGAGCGGAGGTCATCAAAGTCTCTGGAAGAACGTGCTAACAGGCCAAGAGATCTAGATGCTTTCGCACAGATGTTTTGGATATGTAAATTGGGTCTCAAATCCTGAGCAAGCATTACACCGAGGTCACGGATACTCTCACGAGTCAGTGGAATGTTATCCAGTTTGTAGTCGAAGATGATGGCATATTTAGTTCTATGAAATGTAATACAGTTGCATTTCTTCACATTAAGTGACATGTTGTTTATCTGGCACCAATTCACAATAGCCTGGAGACTCTCCTGAAGCAACAGACAATCAGCCGGTGAGGTAATTTTTCCATACACTTTCAAGTCATCTGCAAAAAGCAGTCAGTCAGACCCAATAACCTCAACAATATCATTCACAAAGGTGTTAAAAAGATACGGTCCCAAATGCGAGCCCTGGGGTACACCCGACGTAACTTCAAATTCAGTTGATAAGTGTCCAAAGAATCTAACTCTCAACTTATGGTTGGAAAGATAGGATCCGAACCAATCTAGGAGCTCTGCAATTATTCCATAAGCTTTTAATTTAGCCAGGAGATGGTAGTGGCTAACTCTATCAAACACCTTAGAGAAATCAAGGTAGATAGCGTCTAATTGCTGGCGAGCATTGAACGCCTTAATTATTTCAGTTTCCATCACAGCCAAGTTGGTAGCGGTAGATCTACCAAAGGTAAATCCATGTTGTCTCGGAGAGAGGAAACTTCTAAATAGAGGGAGTGAGCTTCTTTACGACCAACTTCTCAAACACCTTAGCCACAGCAGATTGTATAACCACAGGTCTATAATTGTTAACATCCTCCTTTGAACCTGCTTTGTGTATAGGTATCACATATACAAGCTTGAGAATATCAGGGAAAACTCCACTACGAAGGGATTTGTTGAACAGAACATGAAGAGGGTCACACAGTAATACTCTGCAATATCTTAGAACACTTAAGGAATGAGATCAGGTCCACAGCCTTTAGAAGTATCCAAATCTCCTAATGCTTCGAACACTTCATTTGCAGTGAAAGAAAGTTTACTCAAGCAGTTTACGGTATTAAAGTTATACTGAACTGTAGGGTTTGATGGAGGAGAGAATACAGATGAAAAGAAACTAGCAAATAGTTCACACATCTGCTCAGGCTGAGTTGACGACAGATCATTGTGTGTCAGTTTACTTGGGACAATCTCTTGACGTTTTAGGTTATTGACAAATGTCCAAAAAACTTTGGGGTTGTTGGGAAGACAGTTTTGAACATATACAATGTATTCTCTGTAGCAATGCCTTGACTGCCGACGACATTCTTCTCTTAATCTCGAAAACTCCAAGTAGGACAATCTATCTAGGGTATTCTTGTAAATCCGGTGAAGTTGTTTTTTCTCAACGATAAGGTTGATTAGATCAGTAGAGAACCAGCAAGGGAAGCTGGTGCTACCAATTTTCTTGAGCAGTGTATTTTGAAGAATAATATTCTTCAAGGTAACACAAAATAACTGAAACGAGGTATTTAGGTCAGAAGAGTGAACATCAGGAGTAAGATTCGCCTCAAGGAGACTGTGAAAGATATCAGCGTGACGACACCCCATAAGGTTTAGAATGAAAGTAAATTTAGGTTTAGACAGGAATGATTTTGGTTGAAGAACTATGTCAAGTGCTGGATGCTGAGCATCAATAGGTAACAGGGGTGCTACCTCTTCACGAACACACAGATCACTTGATGAAAGAACCAAGTCCAGGAGTACTCCTCTTGCATTGAACACTTTGTTGAACTGTTTCAGAGTGAGGATGCAAGCCAGCTCATTAACAGCTCTAGATGAAGCAGTAGGGCATAATGGATCAGGCATGGACCAGTCGACATATGGAATATTGAAAACTAAATATCCATAACTAAAGGCCTTCTGAGTCCTGAGTGTCTAACTCTAGGGTGATCTAGTCAGGTACGATGCCTAGTAAGATGATGATGTGTTGCTGCTCTAGAAGGAAAATCCTCAATACTATCTAATACGCATTTTATGCATGCGAGGATAGAGTGACTTTTTAAACACTGTTGTACGAATTCCCAGCCTAGCAAAGATAGGCTTGCACCCTCAATCAAGGTTATTCTTAACTCTCTTTTTTGCTGAACCAAGATGTCTTCGGTCGTGCATAAATTTCCCCATAACAGCAAACTAAAGTTCACATGGTACAAACTCAAGAGAGGTATTTCTCCATAACCAGAAACCCAAGTTTCAGGAGAAGGAAGTTGTAGGACCCTTGACAGTTTACTGAAGCCCTGGTCCAAGTGGTCACTCCAGGTTAGTTTCCGGCCCAGCGTAAAACCAAGCAGCTTCATTGGATCATTGGGAGGAGCATGTTTGGCCAGGCTGCAGACGAAAGACTGTGTATTGGTTTGGTTAAACTGGAAGCCATTGGACTCAAATCAGTTTGAAGCCTCAAGTTAGTGCTGATCAGCTCGGACCGCTACCTATAGACTGAAAGAGAGTTATTCTTCAACTTGTAGTCCTCGTGGCACAAAGGTGGTGTCGTCAGCAAATAGGCCTAGTACAAAATGTCCACTCTTGTCAAAAGTCGTTTATCATGACTAGGAAAAGAATCGGCCCAATTACAGACCCTTATGGAACCCCATATTCTACCTCTAGAGGTACTGAAGTTGCCCCCTCGTTAGATACCACCGGCGTTTACCCAAATTATAGGCCTATGACTCAATTGTTCTGAGAACAACTGAGGGGGCCATTCCATTTCCACATAGGCCTACTCTTTAACTCTCCAACTTCCAAACCAGTAGGGCATAGTTGACACAATCGGATACACAATTTAGGTCGCACAATGTGAGGATGACTGTGTTGCAAGCCTCAAATGCCTCGCCAACCAAACCTGCAAGCATCATGACCGCGCCTGTTGTGGACCGGCCTTAATGGAATCCAAATTGACCTTCCGCCAGGAAGTTATTTGCCTCTATAGGTGTTTGCAAAGCTCTAAGACTTGACCGAATATTGGTAAGATAGAAACGGACCTATAGCTGTCCAATCTATCTCGCTCTCTCTTCTTGTAAATGGGGACAGTTCTGGTAGTTTTTATGCTTGAAAAAACCCCCCTTAAAGATGTTGTTCAAAACCAACCGATAGAGGTTGAGAAATTTCCCCTGTCACCTTGGAAATATATTCAACCACGGAACACGGAGCTTATCTGCTATGCTGGTCAAACGGGTCCGCGGAATTGGCTAACTCTGGAACTCGCTAACCCCATGTTAAATGCCCTATCTTCAAATTTGGTCGATGAGAGGAACTCGCTAACTTGTTCGGTTTCGGAATTGGCTAACTCCGGAACCCGCTATCCCGCTCTAGAGCCGGGTTAGCGAATTCCGTCCTCGTACGGAACTCGCTAACTCCCAATCAGAGGCCTCGCGGGCCGTCCAATGGGAGCCAAGCACGAATATTTTTGGCCAGTGTTGCCGAAAGTGTAGTACCTGTATCGTATCGGCACCATAATGTCGTATCCTACGCTTAATTAGGAGTAAGAGCAACGTAGTCGATAAAATAAATATATTTTGAAGTATGTTTAACCACAGAGAAGTTCTTATGATTATTAGGGTGGAAAATGCATTATAGTCTTACCATAGACTAACCAACACAAGTAAACTTTACATCCCATTGTAAACTTTGAAGCTCGTTTTTCGTGTCTAGTTCATGTCCGGTGACACTGATCGCTAGTGTCGACAAAATTGTGTTTCGATTATTTTATAGTTAACTTCATGATTTGTTCCTTACTGTTTGGTTATATAACTAGGGGACGTGTTATTAGTTGTGATTAGAACGTTTTATTTGGTTAAACGAGGTTTTAAATTACTGAAAACAAGAAACAATTGTAAACCAAACACGACCTCTAAAGACAGTACACCGGACAGAACTAACAATACAACTGTCTTCAGATCATCCATAAGGATGAGAAATGTACTAATATAAGGGAGTATGTTTTATATGTGGGTTTCTTACTTAAATAGTAGCTTATTGGTATGAAAAAGATAAAAATACACATTTAATTTGGATCTATTACATGTTATGAAATATCTATTTTCGTAGTCCGCCATTTATTTCTTTTATTCAAATAAATACCATTTTGTGAACTTCTGCAAATAAAATTTTTGAGTTCGTATTTTATATACTGGGCTTGTAGTAACCTTAAATCATAAATCATAATAAAATTTACACGTTAAACGTCATTACAGAATTACATTGTAGTGGTTATGTATTTTTAAATAGAGCTATTGAATTTAAACAAATATTTATCAATACATTATAAAGTGGTAGGCCTAATGTATTCATGGATTGCATTAAAAGTTAGTCTATGCATAAATACAACTTGTAAATTTCTTTTATCGTAGGCTATAAGTGTAGAACCCGGGTCATCCTCTTAATTTTGTTGAATTAATATTAATTTTACTTCTTTCAGTAGGCTTACTTTTTAAAAGTCTGGAGTTTTTTTCCAGGCTGATTCTATCTTATCCAAAAACAAAGCTATTGTCTATTGTGTAGCTCAGTACTGGGGAATGGTGAACCGAGCAATGGCTTGGTATAGTTTATATCGTTTGTGAAAGCAATATAAAGGAAACCCAACACTCAAATCAGGAAAATCCGTCAATTAGTTTATTAAAAATCGTGAATTAAAATAACCCTGTCACGTTTTATTATATGAATATTACCTATATCTTCTCCTATTTTTTACTAGTGGTGCTTAGGTGTACAATCTAAAAACTGTTTTGAAACATGTAACATTATTGCTAAAAAATTCAACACATTTTAGAATTAGGCAACTATTTACTAGTAGGTCTACAATGCTTTGGTTCAAACTATTAGGCCTAGATAAAAACTTAGTCTATGTCATCATATTTGTACACGTAAGTTGGACGGTTCAATGACGAACATTTAATTTAAAATCTATGAATTAATTATGAAAGTTACGATGGTTGATGACTGTATTAATTAATGGTTTTGGTTTATTACGACATTACAATTAAATCTGTTTTCCGTGTTTAAGAACTTGCGTGTATTTTAGCTTATTTTCATAGAGGTTTAATTATTTATTACCAATAAACTAAATTTTGAATATTTTTCATATTCTATTATTTTCTTTTATACTGATGGCATTTATATTTAAGATCGAAATCATAAACATTTAACTGGCCATTGTACAGTTTAATAAAAAACACTTTTTCATGATTTTTTAATTGTCTTTTAATTACTTTGGGCTAGTTATCTGTTAAAAGTGGAATTGATAAAAAAAAAATAACATTTACTGTATCTTTATAGACACTGACATTTTGAAATACGGCAGTGTACGATTATTTTGTCGTACAAGGTTGGCAACGCTCCGAGCAGTGGGCGCGGCCGGGTTAGCGACTTCCAGAGTTAGCGAATTCCGCCGCGAGACAAAATCGAGTTAGCGGGTTCCGGAGTTAGCCAATTCCTGACTGAGACGGTTAGCCAGTTCCAGAGTTAGCCAGTTCCGCCACACGACCGAGTTAGTGAGTTCCTGAGTTAGCCAATTCCTACGTCTCGGTCAAACAACAACATAGACTTGGTAATAAGGTAACTTAATAGGTAGGCCTATTCAAGACTACACCATATGTAGGCTTTATGTAGGCATATGTAGGTAATTTCTGGGTAAGTTAAGTAGGCTACCTACCTTAAAGCACTTACTATTGAAACATAGGTAGAGCTTGCTACCAAATTCAGACTTACCCATTGATGTTCTTCCAAGATTTTAGAAACTTCAGACTCCTCAATGGAATTTTTAATCGAAAATAGAGAGCCTAGCTGATCTAGACCACTCGAAACCGAGTCCATAATGTTGCCTGTTTTCGGTTCTTCCATAAAACTCAACTATGATTCTATGTAGGGCCTGATCTATCTTTATTTTCTTTGCAAATTACAGTCGGTTGTTTACATTTTAAGGCAACAAATGTACTGATTTTGTCTGGCATAGGTACATAACCACATAAACTGGATCAAACACCGTATCAAAATAAAACACAAGAGATCACAAAATCACTATCACAATAAGTTAATAAGTTAAGTTAAACTTGTAAGAACAATACACAAAGGTCTAAATACAAATTATGAAGAAGTATCACTTTGTTTTGTTCAAGAGCGTATGGTAACTTCACAATATTCTGTGGAACAAAGCAACTACGATTGACGATGACGAATGAATGACTAGTTTAGTTCATTTCAGTTCAGTTTGTTTTGTTTGTTATTTATATTTATTTATCACAATCAGTAAAGCAAGAGAAAAGAACGAACAAAAGGACGTGAGTGAATCATGTGTTGATGTGTTGATTCAAAACAAAAAACGTCATCAACTGATAGCGAAGCGACAGTCGCTGTGAGGAGATGACCGATGACGTACTGCTTAAAATATAATCAATAATGATTATCCCAATTAATTATTGTGATGTAACGTTGTGTATGGCATAAAATTAGTATATCTCACATAAAAACAAAGCAAATGCAATGCCAATGCCAATAATCACGTTGGTTTATCTACTGTATAATCTATCCAAACCAAACAGGTGCAAAATAATTAGTTACCATATTTAATACATTGTTGACAAAATGATAACAAACTTTTGAACTTTTTATATGAATTGTTTTTAAACCTTCCCGATAATATTGTAAAAATGCTATGTACCTGTCCAAACCTGGATGTGTTGCTATAGCTATAGTCTCTCTCTCTCTCTCTCTCTCTCTCTCTCTTTCTCTCTCTTTATATATATATATATATATATATATATATATATACTTCCCCATATATATATATACGTCCCCATCTTAAATAATTGAGATATATATATATATATATATATATATGTATCTCAATTATTTAAGATGGGGACGACACTAAGTGCATATTATAACCTTCAGGAGTTAAAGGCGGCCGTGCTCCAGCAAGGACTAGTGGGGCCTTGGCTCCAGGCCGCGGCCTTTGAAGTGCCAAACCCCGTTCCCATGGTCCGATCATGCTGGTTCGCGAACTCATTCAAGTTCATCTTGCCTTACACTTTTAAACCAAATTTCATCAAAATAGGACAAAAATTACTCAAGTTGTCGCGTTTACGAACATATATATATATATATATATATATACATATATAAAAATTAGAACGAATGGTATTTTTGGGCTCTGGGGACATCAAGATAAAAAGTAAATCGGTCCTGGGCATAGTTATTAGAGTGAAAATTTAAAAACGTACGTTTTCAGGAAAAGCACTTTTAAAATTTTTTGTTCCGTTTTTTGAAACTTTTTTTATTTTTTTAATTTCATTGACATTTGAAGTTTCATAAAATGTCCATGGTAACGCAATATCTTTGGTGATTTTTTATTAATAGAGCATCTTTGATGGAAAAACACTAAATTATGTCACGACCATCACGGACATAAAACTGAATTTTAAAAATAGTTAATATTATTTTTGTAACTATGTTTTGCTATTAATTAATTTACTTTTATGACCATCATACAATAAACAGCTCACTAAGCTTTTGGTATATATGGTCTTTCTAGAAAAAAATAAAAAAACTCAAAAAGTTGAAAAAAGCCAATAAAATCTTTTTAAGTTTGTATAACTCCGAAAAAACTTACCTGAGACCCGAAAAATCGTTATGTTTTTATAGAAGTGTACTTCTTTTGTGTATAAAACATTGAAATATGATGATATTTTAATTTTTGAAATTTTTATGATAGAAATCATCAACGTGATGGTCAGGGACAAGCGGTACGGTCGTGAATTGTCTGAAAAATTTTAAACCTTTGTAAACAATCCTTCAACTATACTGTTAGTTATAATAAAAATATGTGTTTCAATTGAACTAAACTGTTCAATTTACAATGATATTTAAGTTATTGTCACGACCAAACACAGTATAATCCATAAGGCTGGATTGGTCGTGAAAAAACCCGCGATGGTCGTGAAACTTTGGTCGTGACATTACGTGTTATTTGGCTCTGTTCTGGCGGTAGCCCTGCACCTCATGTTCGAGGATACAAAGTGGACTTCTAGGTTAATGTAGCAACATAAATATCAAATCAACAAAAATTAACCCCACGTCTACTTCATCAGATGACTATGTATGGTCATGGACACACCAAAATTACAAAAAACACAAAATTACCTTTATTAATCTTGTAACTACTTCTTTCAACACAAAACGACCGGCACAACAAACTTGACGTACACCCCGAACTAGTCTCTAAAACGAACTGACGCAATCGACGCCAGGCTTGCCACTGTCGTGCTCCAAAGTTGAAAATTTTTGACAAATGGTCGTGACGCCAAATCGAGGGACAGACTTATTTTGTCATGGTAGTCAGTTTGCAATGACACTAAAATTATAATATGCTCCTTTTTTGTAAGTTTAATAACTATTGATGACATAAAAATATGGCTTGATATATTTCGGCATAAATAATTAGTCTAAAAACAGCGTGAAAGTTGGAAAATGTACCCAAGGGACACGTCATGGTCGTGAATTTCGAGACTTTAAAAATACGAAAAAAATACCTAGAACCTATTTAAAACCAAATAAATGTGTGTAACATGTTGCCCCTGTCCCAAAAAATATTAAAATACATAATAATAAACTACAAATCCAGTATCTACGAAGTAAAAGGCCAGGGACATGAAAACGTACGTTTTTAAATTTTCACTCATTACCGTGCTACCTACGGTAATACAACTACTTCCCTATAGGGAAATTCGCTAAAAAAATTTATTGAATTTCCCTTATAGGGAATAAGCTACCGTAGGTCTCATGGTAAGACTTAGACATGGGACCAATTTACTTTTTCGTGTTGATGTCCTCAGAGGCCAAAGCAACCCTTCGTTTAAATTCAAATATATACATATGTGTCCGTTAACACAATCAATAACTCAAGCAAAAATTATCCTATTTTGTTAAATATAGTACAAAAACATGTAAACCTTTGTTTTATTAAAACAAGTTTGCGAACCAGTGTGTTTATAATGGGTTCAATGGAGTAAAAATTGGTGCTTTCATTTTTGACCGTAAAAACATATAAATTCTTAAATTCTTTCTGAACTATTTTGTAGATCTTAAAAAGATAAATAATTGTGAGTGTTTTGAAGTAATGTCAAACCTTTACAGATAAAATAAAAAAAGTGTAAACTATGTAGAATAAATAAACGGTTGTAGTAGTTTGCTTGTTTATGAACATATTTTGATCAAATTTGGAAAATGTATTCATTTCATACTAAACTAGGAAGCCGGGGTAATAAGAGACAAAAAAAAAAATATATTAAAGGTATAAAGGGTATGATTAATTAAAAATAATTATATGTTGTTGTACTAAAAAAACAGAAAATTCTGATAATATATTCAATAACATTAACGTAATTTTTTATGTAAAAAAATATTGAATTTTTAGCTTACCCCACTGTCTCTTATTACCCTGTCGGGGTATTAAGAGACAAGGCTTTTGCTACCCATATGCAACCAATGAAAAATATGAGGGGGTAATAAGAAACAAGTCCAGAAAATTCTAAATATTTTAATTTTTGTTTCATTTAAATATATGAATTGGTTCCCAAGATATAAACGTTCGAAAAACAAAACCTAAAAGGTGATCGGTAAAATTCATTTTGATTAATATTAAATAAAAGAAAAGCACTAGAACCATGGGGTTGGAGTTTTTTAGCGAATTTCCCATTTAGGGAATAAGCTATTACCGTAGTACTCATGGTAAGACCTGGACGCAGGACCGATTTTTTTTTTCGTTTTGAGGTCCCTAGAGGCCAAAAACACCATCCGTTCAAATTCATATATATATATATATTTATATATTTATATATTTATATATATATATATATGTGTGTCTGTCCGTTAGCACGATAACTTGAGCAAAAATTATCCGATTTAGATGAAATTTGGTACAAACGTGTAAACCTACGTTTATTCGAACGAGTTCGCGATCCAGCTTGATCGGACCATGGGAACGGGGGTTTACGGGGGGTTTTATGGGGTAAAAATAGGTTTTTCCCATTTTTGACCCAAAAAACATAAAATTTAGCAATTTCTTTCCAAACCACTTTGTAGAGCTTAAAAAAACAAATAATTTAGTATGAAGTGTTATTATGCGCCTAATGGTTACGGAGAAAATTCCAAAACATTGTAAATTTAAAATTCCCATGTTATTCTTATGGAGAATAAGTAAACTGTTGTAGTTTGCTTTTTTATGAACATATTTTGATCAAATTTGGAAAATGTTTTTATTTCTTACTAACTATTAACATTTTACAAAAAAAAAAAAAAACAGTTTTACCTTCCCTGATGCAGCAAACCTAAGTACTTGTTAAACTAATTCTATTTAAATAGGGAATTAATGTTATATTTTTAAGTAGACATTTCAGTGTAAATCTAATCAGTCAAATGGAAATTCGCTTAGTCTGCAGGTTTGCTGCGGCGGGGGTATTAAATCTACATATAGTATACATTAAAAAATACATCAAAATAAAAAATAATATTTCCATTACTTGTTGGAGGACATTTGTAAACTCGTTAAAAAAATGTGTCAAAATCTACGACTAAGAAAAAATGCCCTATGACTAAATACATCTGGGCCAACTGAATGGACACTTAGTGAGTTATAAATTATGGTAACAGTAGAAAGGACTTATAAAAAGAAGTTTAAAGCCTAAAAAAGATGAAATTTATCTAAAAAATATATTAAAATGAATTTTTTAAATTTGTGTCTTTGCAACGCTAAATTAATAGCATTAAAACAACACATTAGTCCCAGGGGAATGATAAAATGATAGTATTTTACCTAGGCCTATAGCATTTAGTCATGAGGTAAGCTTCCTTATTAAACCTTTCTAGTCCCTAGTTGTAAAGTCCTTTCTTTACTTTTTTGAAGACCAGTTTAATTTTATTTTGTTGTCCTCTTGAAATGGTAAACGGCCCATTTCCATGTAATTGAGTTGGACCGTAGAACACAAACTTGTTTGATACAGTTTGAATGTCATCATGTACTGACCACTTGAAGTTGTGTAGCACCTTCTGGAGGAATTTTACTTTGGACAGTCCTTCGTCTGGGAAGTCAATTTACTCTTCCGACATGCCAGCAGGGCCGGATCTAGACAATTTTTGAGTGGGGGCAAACTAAAATTTGCCGCCCTCCCCCCCCTTCACCCACAACAAAAAATCCCTCACAAATTAAACAAAAATGGAGGGTAAAGTGGAATAGGTAGATATAACGAATTCCTTGACATAACGAATTTTTTTAAATCCCCTAGAACTCTCCATAAGACACAATGTATATTTTACCTCTACATAACGAACAAACTATAACAACGACCTTGATTTAACGAATTTTTCGTGATTTCGGCTAAAATAAGACACCTCAATATAACAAATTTATCATTGTCAGAACCTCTACATTGCGAATTTAACCTCTGCATAACAAATTGTCTACGTCTTTCCCTCAATATAACAAATCCCCCACCCAATTATTGTTTTGGGAAAATCTGTTTCTTTATCAAATGAAATGGAAAGGTCACGTCATCGCTTGCGCTAACATTCGTCTGCTCCGTTTTACATCTTTGTCTGCTGTCTCTGCGCGCGCTATGTTGCAATTGAGAACGAGAACTGATTTCATTCACTGAGGACTGATGACGACGTAATGTTTAGTAAGCTGTGATTGGGGATAACTATGGTGAATTGTACAATTGTTTTGATAAAGAAAAACCTAAGAAAGAATATAAAAACAAAACCAAAGAGAAAGAATAACAACATCCTTTTTTTAACATTCCTTTTACGAGTATTTTTACTATCCTTAAGTTGGCTATGATTATACACTTTTATAATGACTTATCTAATAATTTATTGTTTTCAATACGATTTGTTTCAACTAGCATTAGCAACACCAATGCTATAGTTGATGATTATTATTGACATTCCTCTGTTGTGATAAATCAGTACTGTACTGTAAGTAGCCTACCGGCCTATCGCGGGCAGTACCTTACAAAACTTTCTACTGTTTTGTTTTGTTCTTTACATAATTTTATGACTACGCAATACAGTGTTTGGCTAGGTTTTAGGAGGGTTAGAACAAGCTGTGATTTTAAACTTATAGTTTTTAACCTGTACCAAGGTCAATGCCATTGTCATGATTGCGCAATATTCAAGATCCCTCCCCTTTATTATGCCGGATAATTTAGGTTCTACTGTACAATGTAAACACTGTACTGTAAAGTATTGTAGCCCATGCTACTTTAATTGTACTGTATTTTAATGAGGTCAAGTCCCGACCTATATTGATCGACGCTGGTTCTGAACCTCGACTTAGCGAAATTCCTGCAAACCTAACCTCTATATAACGAACCACGGCAGTGAGGCAGGGCGGCATGGCGCCTTGACAGGGATGGCGATCAGCTGAAATTATAAACAAACTTTTCTGTGCTGCTAACTATGCTATTAGGGCTCTCAGTGTTTTCTACTCCGCTGCAATTTATATTGATTTCTATTGTAAAATTATTGTTTGTTTATTACGTTATGCAGTTTTGAAATTACTTAATTGACGTTCCTTATGACGTTCGGCTCATTAAAAACTTTTTACAAACTGTATTAAACAAATTTACTGCAACCAGAAATTTGCCGCCCCTCAACCCTGCCGCCCGGGGCAACTGCCCCCTCTGCCCCCCCCTTGTTCCGGCCCTGCATGCCAGTCAAGATCGTAGTATACCGCATAATACATTTCAAGGTGGGGGTCAATGTTGGTTGGCTCAATTTCCTCAGGGAGACTTTCATCAGATGATGACAGTATGGGAGAAATGCCTCCTTCATCAGAATCCAAGCAAAGATTTGTACTGGAATCCGTATCCGAAGAATCACTCTCTTTAGGTTTGGCTATTTTGCCGTCTCTTATTACCCCTCAATATTTTCAAAAAGGGGTAATAAGAGACATGGTAAAAATTCACCTTAAATTACATCTTGCAACAGTTTAAAAAATTGATCAATATTCTCCATCATCTTGGTCACAAAATAACACATAGCTGATGTCTCAATCTCTATCTCAAATTTTACAAGAAAATTTAATTTGGAAAAAGTCACAAATTTGCGCAGTAAGTTCGCTGGTAAGGCATTTTTCAAAAAAACAAATTTTAACAGTAATATTAGATAAGTAAGTGTGTGGTAAGGAAGATAAAATGTTAAATATGTCTATGGGTATTTTTGATAATTTTAACATAATGTTTAAGTGGTTTTTTTTACACTGTCTCTTATAACCCCTGTCTCTTATTACCCCGGCTTCCCCTTTTTGAATTAATAACATTTCACTAAAAAACACACATACAGTACTCATAAAAATGTTTTTTTTTGTTTTAAACAGAAATAAATCTGACAATTTTAATTAAGGCAATATTTTAGTGGACACATGCTGAAAATTTGCTAAGTTTGCAGGTTTGCTGAGGCGGGGGTATACCTTCCCCGTAGCAGCAAGCCTTTGTACGTTAAATCTAATGTTATTTAAATGGGGATAAATATGTCTTGTTTACTGATATATTTGAGTAAAAATCCAATCAGACAAACTGAAATTTGCTAAGGATACCTACACTAATTTCATTTTGTATACTGTAACTTAAAAAAAAAGTATTTAGTTACTATAAATTGTATTTGTCTGTCAATGAACCCCGTTTTCATATATTTACCAAAACCTAACTGATGGCAACAGTGTTGAACCTGCACTAAAGACTTTTAATTTGAATTCTAATTGTATTAAGTTTGGCTAAGAATTAGACTTTCCTGCAGGCGCATAGTAATAAATGGATATTGTATTTTCGACTACTGATACCACTTATCCAATATTCGATGATTGTATTTAAAAAGAAAATAAATTTTGGGAGAAAATCTATGGTGGGGATAACTTCAGAATATTCCTCATCCTTTTAAAATTTTAAAATAGGTCTCTTCTTTAAAATCAATATGTTAAAATTCGGTTGAAAACCTTGATGACTGGTATAAACCATTTCAATCTCAAAATAACTTTGATGAGGTAATTTTTCAAATAAATCTACTTTGACAACTGTTATTTACATAATAACTGCCTAACCTATTGCATTAAACATTTTTGCTGTTTGTATGTAATAAGTAAGTACAGTAGAAACAATGCAGGGTTCAGATGGGAGCAGAATAGACACTAAATATATCTGAATCTATTTTTATCACACCACTTCTTCCTCAGTGTTCCATACCATGTGCTGCTAAAAACTTGCATTTAACCTCATCATGCTTAATGGAATAGACTCAGAGTTTAGTCCTCTGAAACAGTTTTATACAAACTTTCTCAAAACATTTAGTAACGATGATCTTGAGTTCTTCAAAAGCCTTACTAGTGACGAAGAAAGAATCCAATTTGTGTACGATCTACCGTCCCTTGAGGGGTTTGAGATTTCGGAAAACAAAACTTTAAAATCTTCAGATTTAGCAAAAAAGTTAAAAGAAGATGGTAACAAGGCGTTCCAAGTGGATCAATTTAAAGTAGCGTTGGCTTTATACTCTAAGGCAATCATAAAACAGCCTCAAAATTCCTCAAGTAAGCTCTATGTTGTTTTTGTTTGTGTGGTAGTGGTTTTGCTCATTTATTTATATACAAAATTCAAGCCGTATATAATAGACTTTAACAGTCATTACCATATATACTAGTGTTAATTTAAGTTTTAAGAAAAAAAGTATAGTTTTATCATAGGTTAAAAAAAAACTTCATCTGAACAGAATATCCAGAGTGTAAGTTCCGGTTATTTTAAATTTTTTTATCTATATACTTATTACAATAAGGATTTTCTCTATAACTGATTTTTACCCTTTAGGTGTCACATGTAGCTTATGATGCAGCACAGTGACCAATGGTAACTAAAAAGGTACCGGTACTTTCATTTAGGACTTTGCTCCCCAACCGTTTGATTTATCTCTTGAGTTCACTTTTTATGATACAGTGATGGACAACAAACTAACTTAATTAATTGTAATTTAATAACAGCTGATCCTTCAGGTGAATATTTAACCATAAGAGACGAAAGAGTTTATGAAAATGGATTTAAATACCTAAGCTACTTTTAGTGATAATTGAAACCTGATTGAGGTAATAAATAACTTTTTATGGTACAGTATGGATCTAAAATAAAAATATCATTACCGGTAAATTATCTATTATGTGGGTTTAATAACCTAATCTTACACAAACCAATAATCTTTCTAAGGCAAAAGGGGTACTACATTATTCATTTTGAAGTTTTGAACACGTTGTGCACGGGTCACCTCATATTGTAATAATGATGGTCTACCCAAAGTGATTCACAAATTCATCACATTTTTTCAATCTTTTCTACAGATGAAAAAGAAGAGCTCTCAGTGTTGTTTGCTAATAGATCGGCAGCACTTTACCACATAAAAGAATATGATGCCGCCCTTCAGGATATCAAGTCTGCACTGGAAAACAATTACCCTTTGAATCTCCAATACAAAATTTGTGACAGGTAACACACAATTATTTATATAATTTTATCCACAGTTATTTATTTGAAAAAATAAGCAATAAACAAAATGATTAGTTAAAAAATGTTTAAATAAACAAAAATAAAGTGAATGTCATTCTTGTGTTTTTGTGTATTAAGTGTCAAAATACACAGTTTATATTTATGCCATATGCTCATCCCACCATGCTCAAGAGGTTTACTGTAACCATCGAAATTTGGATATACATTTACATTACAACCATATGAACTAGCTGTGTAACCAAATAGAGAGGTTTGTTGAACAAGCAACAATTTTACATTTCTCTCTTATCATTCAATATTATCATTATATTATGATAGTTGATGTGACAGATGCTTAAACATCTTTTAGGTTGTGTAGACCTATATTTAAAGAAAATCAACAGAAACTATTATAACTATACGTACTTTGACAGAAAATACCATCTTAACTATTGCACATTCTAGGAAAGCAAGATGTTTTTTAGCTCTAAACCAACTCAAGTCTGCCCAAGACTCATTCCGGGAAACCATCCAAGCCTTGGACAATGCAAAGCTTAACTCTGAGAAAAAACAAAAATGGCAACGGGATATACAGATAATGTTGGCAATGTTGGATAAAAACAAAGATTTGAAAAACGGTGAGTAAAAAGTTTCTATAAATAAATAATTACTATACCCGTATCTTCCTCCCTTAAACTGACAACTACCAACCATCCGCAATAGTGTTCTTGAAAATTAGGCCTACATAAAAATGTGTTGTCTGGAAATATGTATGCTACACATTCTTTTTACAAAATGTTGCCTCAACATTTATATTTTCTGTTTTCCTTCCTTGGAAGTGTGGACAGGTACTGGATAAGTCATGTGGATGTGATGTGGAAGCTTCAGACAAACAGTTATGTGAACAAATTGCCCACTTTTTGCATCACACAGGTTAGATGGACTCCTCATCCAGAGAAAGCAGAACTCCCAAGATTAGCGTTATAGATTTATTTTCATATTTACAGGATTGATATTTACTTGTCACCCGTTATTTAAAAATTAGATTCTAAAGAATTGACACAGGCCTTTTGGACATAGATAGTTTATGTGGTAGAAAAATGGAACCATATTTGATAATCTTGTTGGCCAGTGCCTAGGACGTCAGCCAAGGATTACACTTCTCAATTCAAAGATGGTGTCAACAAACAGTATCCGAGTGCCAGCAGCGTTGTTACCATCAGAGAAGATCCACAGATGGGACGTTTCGCAGAGGCCAAGATCGATATAAAACCTGGCGACCTTCTGGTTAAGGAAAAACCTCACTGTGCCGTTCTTTTGGACCAGTACACAAGCACTCACTGCTTTGAGTGCTTCAGAAGGTGAATGCTTAATTTCAGTCTTTTTCTAGAAAACAATAATGATAAATTAAAACTTTAAATTTGGACATTTTGGGTAGCTGAGTTGTTATAGTGCTTGCATAGTAAGTAGAACGTTGCTGGTCAAATTTTAAGAAAAGTCGGTACATTTTTTTTGACCGTTAGAAAACTTCACTCATACGGTAAGCCGTTCTTGATCATTGTGCCTATAATAAAATCTTGGCTTAAGAACTAGATAGTCAGTAATAAAGCTATCACCTTGTAGTGTCATCATATCCTTCTATCTTCACTCATCTTTGACTTAAAAATATCGTATCTTAAACATATTTGCATGGTGTGTCGGCATCATAGAAATCTAAAATGGAGGATTGAAACAAGTAGTGGAAAATAAAGATCCAATAGATCAACCTGCTACCCCTATCAATATAGCTTTATTTCTGACTAAGATCTGGCTTGTTTTTTAGCCAGGACCATTTTAAAAGCCCAATGATTAAGGAATGTTCTTATAGTTTTGAATTACCTATCATAAAGCTTTTGACTTTTCTCGGGATTGAACTGGCGACCTTCTCATTGTTATGCCAGTAACACACTCTACTCAAAGTAAGCACATGATCCCAGCTAGAGCATAAATTTAGATCTTGTGAGCACCATATTCCCTTCAGTTAATGAGTCAATAACTCTTGAAATTTCCTAACCATATATATAAAACATTTACTTGTTATTTACAACAGGGCCAAGGCTCCTGTCCCCTGCCCAACATGCAGCAACGTGCTATTCTGCAGCAAGCCCTGTCTGCAGTCAGCTCTGCAGACCCACCACGCTGCAGAGTGCAGCATCCTACCTGCTCTGTGGCAGTCTGGCGCCTCCGTCACTGTTCTGATGGCTCTCAGGATCATCACTCAGAGACAACTAGAGCACTTCTTGCAGCTGAGGCCATCTTTGGAGGTGGGTGTTAGATATTAAACACCATCAGCACGGACGTCCATCAATATGGGCAAGGGGGACCCACCTATGTGACCCTATGTTAATCAAGTATTTAAACATTTTTGAAATTATACAAACAAATTATTTATGCCCAAGCCCAAAAAAGTATGTACAATTCATGGTTAATGCATTGGGGGGAACCAACACACATTAAATATGTTTATCCAACAACTACAGGACATCAGGTACATATTCTTGTACTGTACAGCAAGTGTTAAAAAAAATGAACGCTCTAGAAGTAAATACAACATAGGTCAACGATAATGAATGAGTAAATTACCCCATACAACAATGGTTATTTGTGTATTGTTGGCTAAACATATGTTTATTTTTCAATCAGAAATCAATAAAAGACAAACCCTACAAGAGTGATGACTACAGAAGGGTTTATAATCTAGTGAACCACGGTTCAGATCGTTCAGCCGAAGACTTCTTGCACAGAACTGTGGTGGCAGTGTTTTTACTACGATGTTTAAAAACTACGGACTACTTCAAGATGCAAGGTATTTTCAGTGTTTATTTTAACATAATTCAATTAAGAAAGCTTCAGAAAAGAACTGGCCTTGTTGTCACTAAATTTAAATATTTTCAACTTTTGTGTTTACAAATCCGGTATGCCAGGTTCCTTCCCGACTTAACACGGGGTCAGATTCCAGATCACACCACTTTTCGTATTTGCTGTTTTACTAGTAATAAGTAGGCTTAATAGGAAATTTCTGCAACAATTCTTTAAACAACATGAACTTAGCATCACACATAACGAAAGCTAAACAAATAATGCAAAGAGAGGCATTCTATATGATAGTTTGTCCTGCAATATTATATTGCATTAAGCATCAAATTTTTTGGTTTCTATAGTCTTGGAAGTGGACTGTATGTCGAACTTACAACAAAGTTAAACTTATATTGAGTTTTTAAACTATCGATTCATCAGCCAAGAGAAAATTTAAGATCAACTAGGGTCCTCCCTGTAACATACTGTAAAATGTACCATTTAGACGTTTGGCATCAAAACCAAGTTAAAACATTTAAAAAATCCAAACCGTTAATGAGCCAGGGTTAAACGGTTTCAGATGAAAATACCATCACCACCAATGAGAAAATGTTGTCAGAAAATGAGAAATTCATTGGTGGATTGATTTTGAGACACATTCAGTCCCTACAGTTCAACTCTCATGAGGTATCCGAGTTGGTTATAGACGGTAAGAATAAGAAGTCTGTGTTCATCGGGGGAGCTGTATACCCCACCCTTGCACTCTTCAACCACTCTTGCAACCCAGGCATTGTAAGGTACGTACGTGTTCTTAGGATTTGAATTATGAACATGTGTATGCCTTTAAAATTGTGAATTCAACCAAGAAACACTAAGTCAACTCCAGGCACCAAACACATAAAAAAAACTTTAGATTTTACAATATAGCGTGAGGATAAGTTAACTCACAGTATCCAAATTCAATTGGTTTGATTCAGTAGCTTAGCTAGGTAGGTAACTGGAGATTGCTAACTAATTTATTTCTGAGAAAAGTCTGTAAGATTTTTGAGGAATCCAATCTGAAAGAACCATGGATGTGTCTTGGGTAAAATATGATGTGATTTTAGTAACGAAGCTACATAAGCAAAAACATTAATATAACTAAAATTTGACTTTCCCAACTCAACAGGTACCAAAAGGGAACAGAGGTGATAGCACGGGCGATACGGACCATTCGTAGTGGTGAAATGGTCGCAGAAAACTATGGCCCTATCTTCACACAGGAGGGCCGAGAGAGTAGGCAGAGCAAGCTGCGGAACCAGTATTGGTTTGACTGTCAGTGCGAGGCTTGCCTAGAAGACTGGCCTACTCTGGACAATATGAGCTCTGATGTCATGAGGTAGCCAATATTGTCTCGGGAAAATTGTAACTCTGTTTTTATTACTCTTATGTAATATCCTCTTCCATGCCAGTTATTTTGGGGTTTGGCCTCTCTATCTTGACCTATTCTTCTACAGTATACTTACTTTCTTTACCATCTGCCATATCACTACTTCTTTATCCAAATTATCCTGTATTCATCTACTTATCAGTTTCCCTCTATCACTTTTCCACCATCCAAAGAATTTTCCCTTCTTCTCACATGAATGTTACATTATCTTTTGTTAAATTAGACCATTTTAGAAAGAAAAATCACTCCATGGTACTGGAGGTAGGATAGTTCACGTAGCTTATACTGTACCATCGACTCAGATAGAACTTAACATTCCCAACCCACGAATTTTAGCCAGTTTTAGAAAAAAATAAGTAGAGCTAAGCCACCGACAGTGTTCAATGATATAAATACTTCTGTTGAATACTGTTTTAACCAAGACAAAGTGGAAGGCTTATTGTATGCTATAGAATGTAATAAATCGCTCATTAAACTAAGTTCTTTTCTATCAAAAATTTTACTCCAGCTGGTCCATATAGATGAGATGTTTTGTCTACTTAAGTGTAAAAAGTCAACGGATATTAGTAACATTTGTATCCCACTTCAGAGTAAACGATGGTTGTCCACAGATTCCGCTGTGACTGCGGCAACACACTGTTAGTACCAGTCAACACGCCAGAGTTCATGATCCCTTGTCACAGCTGCAACCAACACGCCAACATATTCAAGGGACTCAAAGTTCTCCAGGTAATAATGATTTAAGTTTATGCAAATCTGCAAAGTAATCCCCAAAATCCTATCAAACAGGACAAAACAACAAGAAAGATGTAGCCTATGTACTTCCTTAAACGTTGAAACGCTTTCACGGATGGATTTCAAAGCTTTTATGTTATATCTGGTTATTTTAAAAGAGGGTACCAAACAAACTAAGCAATCCCAATCATTTAAGGAGACCATTTTTTTCACCACCCCTATATTGCTGAGATTACATCCTATGCAGGAGTAATGTTTTCAAATCTATTGCAGGATACAGACATGATGTTCCGGGTTGCCAAGAGTTTGGTGGACGAGGGCAATTTTGTGTCGGGAGTGCAGAAGTTTGTGGAACTGCTGACTATGTTGGACTCTGTGTTGGTGCCTCCCTTCCAGGACTACCACATATGTCAACAGGAGATACGTACCTGCATGCTCACTTGCGGCAATGTACACAAGGAGAAGTGAACAAGTAAATCAATATGGAGAAACGTGCCTTATTTAACCTACTGTCATAATTCAACTATATTTGGTACAAAAATTTGAAATGCGACAAAGCTTAAAGGGTTCAACTTCAGAGAATATGTAAGTGTCTAGGAAAACATTGAATGTGTTTACATGATTCTCTGAAGTACCACACTCATTTTTTCTCTCATGCCAGTGGCATTTTTAATAAAGTCATAGCTAGTTATATTAACATGTTTATGGGAAAGCGGTCCAAACCCATTAAAGTCTTGTGGATGTGTGGGGAATTGAACCTGCCTCTAATTCACCAAAGTCTGAGACGTTAACCACTAGGCTAGCAACACATCCAAACAAAAACAATCCCTTCATCAATGATACCATTATCTTTATGACAACTATAGTTATTTGCCTTCCTGGCACAAAGAGCCTTAAATTTCAGTTTTACAATGCTTTTGTTAGAGAAAGGTCCAAGATAGATTGACAAACTCTAGTCTTATTCTAACGTCTACCCTTTTGTTAAGAAGCATCACTTCTTGCACAACGGCCCAAATAGAAATTAGAAATTACATCTGAATCTGGAATCACTCCTGCTTGCGATTAAAACAGCAACTTTCAACCACTTGACCAGATAACCCAATTAGCTGTAACAACTTAGGATAACACATCTAATGAACGTGTTTTTTCTATTAAAATTATGTCTCTGTGGTAACACCCACGACCATATTATGTAAGTTGGATAGAGGAATATAATGTCTAGAGAGTCTCCCTCTGATTGGGCCTAAGTATTGGTTAAAATAGATTTTCATTAAGACGCACGTCAGAACCTGTGAATGAGGGTGCACAATAAGCTGTTCTAGCTGCGATGCAATCCCATGGTCACTTGTAAGCCTGGCCCTCTGTAAAAAAAAGACACACGTCGGTCGTGTGTTGAGTCTCGCAACATCTTTTAAAGTTTTATTTAAAAAATATTAAATTACTGCCTTGAAAATGTTTGCTATTCTTTGCTTACATTTTTATCCTCTGCAATTACTCCAGGGATTTCTCCCTTTTCCTCCAAGGGAAGATGCTAAAGGGTGGAGCTTAGTACCAGACACTTTTCCCTACTCTTGATGGAGAAAAAACATGCATTAAGATACCAAAACACTAATAGGTAGGCTACTCCTAGAGTGTACCTACCAATACTCTAGGTACACTGAGATACTTTATTCACATGATGCAGAATAGCTAGAAGTAATCTCAATCTCATGGACCCTGTACCATATAACTTGCATGCAGTTCTGGACAAACTTAAGTATCACCTTTTATTCAAACTTTTAGACATAATAGCTGGCATTTAAATCAGATCTTTTGACAAATGTCAAGTGTGATATTACTGATAGTAAAGAGCAGTAAAAATAGAATGTATAATTTACAGGAAACAACGCAAATGAGTTCTACAAATATTGAAGTGAGCAGCAAACACATAATTGTATACTTTTGTTATCATTTCTTATCACTGAACTCTAATGTGTAGCTTTTGTTTCCCCCAAATTGACAGGAAACTTCTTCGCTTAGGCAGGTCTGTTATTAACAAGAAACTTTATTAGAGTAAAACACAAAATGTAAAATTTACCATGGTACAATCACCTAGACAACTGTGCTGCAAGGATTTGGTGATGGTAAATAATATAAGTTAAAGAGAAACAGGAAGCAAAATGTTTGTTCAGTGTTTAAAATGTAATTGATCACACATCCCACACAAGTAGCTTTTCAATCATGACTATATTTCCTGCCTTGGCTTCACCTGGCCTTAATTTAAATGTTAGAGCTGTTTCAAATTTGATAAAAAATAAAAAATTCTATATCAGTTGGAGAATTATTTCGGAAAACAGGGAATTTGGTATACAGTAACATACATGATGGATGAAAAAATAATAAATAGCAATTTACTGAAAAAGGGATCCATTTATATTTTAAACCTTAAAACTATGAAATAACAAACAATAACCTTAATGTAATATGTCCCAAGGCAGGACAGAGAAGACAGATTAAGATGTTGAGACATTTAATGTAGGAATAACATATAATACATACAACGCATTCACCAAGTTAGATACGGACCCATAAATATGTACAATAAAATAGACAAACACATGTAATACAATTGTTCCGTTGAGTCAGAATAATAGTGTGCTGCGGCCATAGCCTGATTTACAATTAACATCACAGAACAGTCGTAAAACTCCAACTCGTCAACAATATTATGTGATTACATCCTAGTCTTAGTTAATAAATAAAATTTAAAACTTTGCAACAGATTCAATTGAAAAGAGTCCAAGTGTAAAACAAAATAGTTTCATAAATTTTCAATAAAATATTTTCTATAATATATCAATTGTAAAAAAATAGATCCAGTCAACAAAACAGTACAAACAGGTAACCGATACGTTTTATTCTTACAACTAAATTATGAAAACGCCTGGGAATATGAGTGATGAAATGAACGTGAAACTTAAAACAAAAATTCAAAACGGAGCATGGCAACGTAATGTCCATGGTATTTTCAGTTTACCACTTCTTCTTGTGTTCGTCCATGGACACTCCTCCTGGGCCTAACAATACGATCATCAACAGACCTCCGATCACGGACAGGGTCTGAAAAATCCCACATTTATTAAAACAGTGTAAAAAACATTTTAGAGTGTAGACGGGTTTTACCAGCTGTCAAATATGGCTGGAGAATTGTGAATGTTGTGCAGTTTTTAGTGTATGCATTTTTAAGGTGGATCCCCTGCCAAGTTTGGCAGCTAGAAATAGGGTTGTACCTGACCCTTGTGTTCTGTGTCAGTCCCGAGCTGTATCGTAATCAGTTTCATGTCATTAAAAATTGATTTTTTTTACTGGTTTTCTAATATCTTAAACAAAAAAATATTATTTATTTTAGTAAATGATGGTTTTTGCAAAAAAAAACACAGGTTTCACACTAACACAAAAGGCCGCAAAAATAATTTTGAGGGGAAATAATTATATAACACTTTTATGACATTTATTTCAATACAGTTAACACTTTATAAAAGTTTCATCAAAATTAAAAATGTTGAGTAACAAAAATATGTTTCAGATGGTTCTAAAATGAAAATTAGAATCAGATTAATATCATAAATGAAAATTATTGGTGCAACAAAAAAGTTTTTCTTACTATACGAAAAACAAACATAGTATGGATATCTCATTTAACTACTAACCTGATAACAATAACCAAGTTGAATGTTCTTGACCTTTAATTGATAAACAAATCAGTCAAGGCCATCAATCATTCAAGCACATAAACAACTACTCTTCTTTACATTGACGATTTTGTTTTTAATGAGAATATTCATTAACCATATCAACAAGCCTAATCCATTACAGTTCAATATGATACTTATTAAGGAGAAAGGAAGGATACACAACTAACTCACATGAATGAAAAGTCACAGGAGGTTAACAGATATGGACACATTAAACTCAAACTGATACTTCATTTCTTTCAGGGGCTTCCTCAGAGGTAGAACAGCAGTTTTAGCACAGTTTTAAATGTCTGACAAGCTTGCCAACACTTAACATGTATAAACTAAAAATTATAAACTGTATATACACCCCTGTATACATTTACACCTTTGATTTAACTGTACTACTGTAGTTAGTTGTGTGGGTTAGGAATATTTATGAAAGAATTTGGGTTTATCTTACAATAGGTTGGGTGGAGTGGAGCTCGTCATTTTCAAAGGATGGAGCTATTGCGTTGGTTCTTTGGTAGGGATTTCAAAGCTTTTGTAGTATAGCAACCGTCAAATTGGGGGTTGTGGGTTACGGCATGTTGTGTTAAGGTGTTTTCTTTGTTGATTTTGACGTCATGACGGTGTTCGTTCATTAATTTTCGTAAAGTTTTTTGGGCAGGACATTGGGTGCATCCCAATTGATAAATAAGGGTTTCTGAGCTGCAGGTGAGGTGTCCTTTGATTTGGTATTGTCTATTGTGGAAAGATCTGGAGAAAGATTCTGCTGGTTTATGAATGTTGCACCATTTGCACTTTTTCTCATTACAAGGGTAAGAGCCAGGGTTAGAAATAAGAAAACTATTAAAAATTATATAGGCCTAGCAGTACTGAGCGGAAGGAAAAAATGGGCAGAAGAGATAGAAAGTTTTTAGCGAAATACTAAACAAAAAACAGGGAAAGCAGGTAACGGGACCAACTCGAAAGAGACTTTAAAAACTCGTATATTAGAATTCTTAACATAGAACTATATTCTATAATTGAAATGATAAATCTAGCCTAATGTGAACAACGCACCTGGAAGAAGTCATACTTGAGGAAATCCCGCAAAGGCTTGAACTCAGGTATTTGCCACCAACAGTTGTGGTAGAAGTTGAGGGTGGTCAGAAACACTACAAGGATGAGTGCGGAGAGTTTGGTCTTGTAGCCGATAGTCACCAACACCATCAGAATACCTCCCAGGATGTCTTGCAGAATCTGAGACAGACGATGGCGGGGTTAAATATACAAACTATTCATGTGATGATTACATCTACAGTACGGTCCACGAGAGTCTGCAGTTGAGGCAGAAGCCTATTTACCACGTGACTTTGAAAGAGACATTGAGAAATGTGCGGTGTTGCCAAATCTAATAATACCAGCTGATTTGTAAATATTGATTTGCTGCCGCCAACTCCAGACTCTCATGGCCCCTAGTCCCCAAAGCAGAACAACGAGCGACGCTGCGACATTGTCGCGGACACGAAACGCCGAGAAATGCGGGCCTGCGGACACATTTACGGAGTCATAACTACGATCGCGCCGTGGCCGCGATTATTGGACCGACGATCGCACCGTGACCGCGAGTCATAACGACGATCGGGCTGTGACCGCGGAGTCATAACGACGATCGCGCCGTGACCGCGAAGTCCTACCGACGATCACGCTGTGACCGCGAAGTCCTACCGACGATCACTCTGTGACCACGAGTCATACCGACGATCACGCCGTGACCGCGAGTCATACCGACGATCGCGCCGTGACCGTGGAGTCCTACCGACGATCGCGCCGTTACCGCGGAGTCATACTGACGGTCATGCCATGATGGCGAGTCATACCGACGATCACGACGTGACTGCGGAGTCCTACCGACGATCGTGCCGTGACCGCGAGTCATACCGACGATCGCGCCGTGACCGCGGAGTCCTACCGACGATCGTGCCGTGACCGCAGAGTCCTACCGACGATCGCGCCGTGACCGCGGAGTCATACTGACGATCATGCCGTGATGGCGGAGTCATGCTGACGATCGAGCCGTGACCGCGAGTCATACCGACGATCGCGCCGTGACCGCGAGTCATGACGACGATCGCACCGTGGCCGTGGAGTCATACCGACGATAACCCCGTGACCGCGGAGTCATACCGACGATCGCGCCGTGACCGCGGAGTCATACCGACGATCGCGCCGTGACCGCGGAGTCCTACCGACGATCGCGCCGTGACCGCAGAGTCCTACCGACGATCGCGCCGTGACCGCGGAGTCATACTGACGATCGAGCCGTGACCGCGAGTCATACCGACGATCGCGCCGTGACCGCGAGTCATGACGACGATCGCACCGTGACCGTGGAGTCATACCGACGATAACCCCGTGACCGCGGAGTCATACCGACGATCGCGCCGTGACCGCGAGTCATGACGACGATCGCGCCGTGACCGTGAGTTCTACAGACGATCACCCCGTGACCCGCGAGTCACAAGTTTCTATAGGTACCTGTAAATTGTTACCCATTTTTTGGTTTTTATAGATCAGTGCCACAAATGGTAAAAATTGATTTCGTATGTCTTTTTTGGTAACTGCAATACAGTACTTTTTTTTATGCACAGAAAAAAATCCTGTCCCATCCCGTCCCGAAAATCGGGAAGGAAATAAAAATCCCGTCCCGTCCCGTCCCGAACTAAAATTTCAATCCCGTCCATCCCTAGTGTGTTTATATAAAGAAACTATAGTACATTTAAAGTTTTACTTCTGAAGACCTTGTTAACACTTGTTAAGGTATGTGTATATATATACGTATTTAAAAAAAAGTAAATTTAAATAACCTGATTATGCCTACCCCTTAATAGTTTTTTAGTTTTTTGTTTTAAAAGTAGGCTATACAAGTTATAGAAATTTACTTATTTTATTTAACTATATTACTAGTAGCCCTAAAGAGTGAATATATATATATATATACCGGTATATAAGTCATTATTTAGCTTTTTAGTTTTAGCGCTTGCGGACACATTTTGAGGTTTTCACAGGCCGTTGCAGACACGTAGGAACCATTCTGCTTTGGGGCCCCTAGTGTAGTTGAACATAGTGGGCTAGGACACTATACAACATTTTTTTCTTGATAAGTAAAATCAAACTTTGTTTACATTTCCCACTTCTAGCGACCTGATCTGAGAACTGCTTCTCAGATCAATTCAATAGCAGCTTTGAAAAACAAAGAGTGCTTTTAATTATTTGATAATTTTGCGACTAACTTAACAGTTTAGTTAAGTATCAGGGTAGGTCTTAGATTGTGGATCACCATAGCACAGGACCAATTTACCGAATAGGCACAGTAGCACGTGCCTAGGGCAGGAGGCAATTGTCTTTTTTGGGAGGCGCCAAAAATTGGAAAATAAAAAAATAATTTGGTGATTGTATTTGCATGCGATCACGGTAAACCTCTGATAATCCTCGCGGCCATGTTGATATCATTATCGTCTCCCACGATCGCAGGAAAATTCTGAATATTCCCTGCGGTCGTGGAGACATAATCAACATCTTCCATGATCACGGCAATATATGAACATATCCCGCGGTCTTGAGGAGATTGTCGTCGTGAATGAGGCAAAATTCTGATCTTTTCCCTCGGTCGTGTGGACATTATATTAGTGGTAAAATTCTGATAATCCCTCGGGGCCGATATGATAATTGTATCTCCCTCGGTCCTGTAGGGATCGTTAAAGTCTCCCGCGGTCATAAAGACGTCGTAATCGCCTCCCGCGAATAGCACCACTTTAAGATGTAACCAATGTTAAGAGTAAGTCATGTACCTTATACCTTAGACTATTGATACAACTAGACATTTCCTCTCCATGTTAAAGTTGTTGCGAGTTTTTTTTTTTATCAAAATGGACGTAGTTGAAGTAAGCCACCAACAGATTACACTGATATCAAAATCAAACTCTTAGGACAACTTATTGTAAGCTGTGGCATATTTATTATTACCGGTAACTATCTCAGTATTAAAATAAATAAGGAAGAATACATAACTTTAGATACTAGCACGCTTTGTGACTAGCTCACACAACTAATGAATGTTCTTAAAAAAAAAATTGGCAACAGCTGGTCCACATAGATGGAATGTCTACTTCTGTATCCCAAAGTCAATGGTTTTACCATAGGTAGATAGAACATACTCCCTTAGTAGATTTCTCATCCTTATAGAACAGTTGATGACAATATTTTAGTTCCGTCTGGTGCACTGTAGAGGTAGTGTTTTGTTTTAAATTTGCTTCTATTTATTTCAGTTATTTATAACCTCGTTTACCCATATAAATATATCTAATCATAAACAATAACTTGTTCCATAGTTATATAACCAAACAGTAAAGCACAAATTATGAAACTAACATTGTATTGTAATATTAAAAACAAAATTTTGTCTACACTAGCGATCAGTGTCACCAGACATGAACTAGACACAAAAACGAGCTTCAAAATTTACAATGGGATGAGAAGTCTACTTGTGTTGGTTAGTCTATGGTTATACATTCTGTTTTTCTAAGCTCTTACTTCTTACATAAAGATCAATACACACCTGAAGGAATGAGATCTCAAATCTGATGAGTGTGATGAACATGAAGGCCAACAAACACCTGCCAGTCAGCTGCAAGTAGTTCTTCTGTTTGTTGTCACCTGAGAACATGTAGTTTATTAGACCGGTTACAGTGCTTCTGATTTTACTATGTGATAAATTAATTTTATTTAGTTTCACCAGCCTTCTTTAAAGTGTCTCTTATCTTTCACTGACATAAAAATCTGAGATTTTTCAGTGAGAAGAATTCTCTTCTTCTACATATCTCGGCAACATAGTCATAATTTCCAGCAATCTTGACCACAACATGATCATTTGCCAGTGGTTCTGATTTTCCTTAAATTAGACGTAATATTGTGAAAAAGAGAACCAAGAACATTGTGAATATTAGCGATTCAATTCTATATAATTCTCAGTTTTCTATACAAAATTACACAAACTTATTCTTAGTCATCAAAATTGGAAATTCACATAGCATTCTAGGTTTTACTGATTGTCTGGATACCCTGATGAGTTAAAGTTAACTAACTAATGTAGTAAATAACTTTAGTTACTCTTTTTAAACTATTTCCACAAACAATATGTCCCACAATTTCCAAAACACCCCTGAGTATTTAGGACCAAAATACACACTAGGCGGAAGGTTAAAAAAATCTTTTCAGGAAGTTAAATTTAATTACTTTAGTAAAATAGACACATAAACTGGAGTCAGTCTGTTTTAAATAAAAAATGTAAATAAAAAAAATTGTCTATCAAAAATAATTTTACAAGGAATTTTAATAGTAAACACAATAAATTTGAGAGGTAACAATAACAATTAGTTGACTCATCAGTAAAATCGTGTGGAGAAATAATAGAGACATGATCAGGTGATACACCATCTGTCTAAGCCATCTTGATCAAACTAACACATGACAATGTTTGATATGATGCCCCATTAATGTCTCTCCTAATCAAGCTAACATTACTCTTAATAGCCTAATAGACTTTTTATAAAAAAGCAACATAAATGTGTCATAATATTTTTTTTTTAATTAAATAAGCTGCTAATATCAATTGTAATATGTTCATTAAAATATAATTTTCATCAGCTGGCATCACTTGGAAGGCTGATTACAGTAGACTCCGTCTTATTCAGACTCCTCGGGACCGAGGCCAGTCCAGATAATGGGTTTTTCGATTAAACCGACGTCCCCAAAAACTCATTAAAACTGAAACTAAGGCTGATTACAGTAGACTCCGTCTTATCCAGACTCCTCGGGACCGAGGCCAGTCCAGATAATGGGTTTTTCGATTAAACCGACGTCCCCAAAAACTCATTAAAACTGAAACTAACCCAAATATTTGACTTAAATTTAGGAGAGCATTGTATTTTGACACGTGATCACTGGTCTTAAATCTTTCCCACGAGAACAGTCATTTCAGTACCGCCCACTTCCTGCCGATCTAGTCCGGTTAAAGAGATTCATTTCAGCTGAGTGTAGTCCGATTTAACCGATGTCCGGTTAAAAGGTGTCCGGATAAGAGGGAGTCTACTGTAGTGATGAGTTCTTCAAATTACTCCTTGGTTACCGGCCACAATTACTTAATGTAGAGATAAAATTTTATATAAAGGAATAGTTAGAGTTAAAATTAATAATTTTAATGATCAATTAGGCCTTAATAATAATAACATACAGGGTGAGTTTTAATTGTCCCCCCCCCAACTTTTTTCTAATTTTTTTCAAATATCAATCCCAGACCACTTCCAAACATTGTTGGGTAGTAAGTAACTTCATTTTGACAAGGTGGTCATTTCCGGCCGCCATCTTGGATACGCCATATTGGATGCAAAATTTTTTTTTCAAAAGTAAAGGTGGGGTTGTGACCTATTATTTCGAACTAGATTTTTACCCTGATTACAATGCCGCAAACTGTTTTTATAAATCTTGATTCATTCTAAAGTTATGAGGGCTTTTTAAAACTTTATTTTTAGCCCATTTTAACATTGTGCATTTACAAACTAAGACCATAATCTCAAAATAGTGCCAGATAAAGATAAGTATACACTACCAGTAATTATCGACCTATTTTCACTTGGTTATGACTGATGTATTTTTTTCGGCCGCCATCTTGGATCCGCCATTTTGAAATGTGATAAATTATTTTAAATATGAAGAGGGTGTTGTGACCCATCATTTCTAACTACTTTTTTAAGCTGAACTTAATTACATGATCCGTTTTTCATTTTCATTTTTTGATTTTTAAATATTGACATTTTTTTACAAAATAATTGCAATATTTCATAAATAAAACTTGATAACAAAAAATGGATTGCGGCATTGAGTTAAGCTTAAGAAAGTAGTTCGAAATGATGGGTCACAACACCCCCTTCATATTTAAAATAATTTATCACATTTCAAAATGGCGGATCCAAGATGGCGGCCGAAAAAATACATCAGTCATAACCAAGTGAAAATATGTCGATAATTACTGGTAGTGTATACTTATCTTTATCTGGCACTATTTTGAGATTATGGTCTTAGTTTGTAAATGCACAATGTTAAAATGGGCTAAAAATAAAGTTTTAAAAAGCCCTCATAACTTTAGAATGAATCAAGATTTTTAAAAACAATTTGCGGCATTGTAATCAGGGTAAAAATCTAGTTCGAAATAATGGGTCACAACCCCACCTTTACTTTTGAAAAAAAAATTTTGCATCCAATATGGCGGATCCAAGATGGCGGCCGGAAATGACCACCTTGTCAAAATGAAGTACTTACTACCCAACAATGTTTGGAAGTGGTCTGGGATTGATATTTGAAAAAATGTAGAAAAAAATTGGGGGGGGGACAGTTAAAACTCACCCTGTATGGTATAGGCCTTACTAAATACAATCGCAGATCACAAACTGTAGCTACCCAATCAAAATTATTTCACTGTCAATTAGATCTCCAACAAACTGTTATCACAACCACAAAAAGCTTGAAGTTTTTATACTTTCTATTTCTGTTTGTATGGGGAACAGTTCATAGCTTACAATCCAATTGATAGACATTTTGATATCCAATTGGTTCCTTTCAAATACATTTAATTTCGAGAACATTTAATTTTTTTTACAAGTATGCAGATGGCTTGGCAATCCAGATTGGTTGTCATAATACTAGGCTTGTTGACCAGCTTTTGGACCAATCAAACAAAATAATTTAAGATTGGACTGCAGTTAATTTCTTGTGTTTAAAAAAAAATAAAACACAAGTTCTTAACTCTAGTCTAAATGATTAGCCTATGAGGTTTCTAAAAATGTTAAATTTCTTGGAATGGTGTTTTCTTTTGGTTTTGCAACCAATATTAAATGGTACAGTCATTTGTAAGGCTGTGGAAAAAAAATACTGAAGGAAACGGTATCTTTTTAGTTAGGCGACTTAGGTTAATAATTAATAGTTAGCTTAGGCCTATATATTTTGATGACAGTCTAATATGCATAATAAAAGCCATTTAACTTATGGAATTGTTGTCTGGGGATGTGACAGTAATACAGATTTAAAAAGTTGATGTTGTTGGTACTGCAAAAACGAGTGATTGGATTAATTTGTAATTTGAATGATAGAACTAGTTGTAAGTGATTATTAAAACAAACTTGAAGTCCTCACTGTTCCTTCTTTGTTTATCCTAGAAGCTCTATCGGATGTAAAAAGTAGTTTAGGCCTAGATGAAATTCTTACAAAAAATTTATTTCATGATCATTTCACCAGAACAAGTACTGTACCTTTTTAAGAGTGAAAAAATGTAACAACTATCAAGCTGCAAGAAATCTGTTTTTAAAACTTTATGTTAAATCATCTCTATTAAAACTTACAATGTAAATTATTTTGTAGATAATCTCACCAGCCATCAGACTATAAATTGATGTACAAGTGTTAACTTATATTATTGACGATGCCATGTGTGTAGCCTAATTATTTGTGTAAAAGGCAATTAATTGATTTGTTTTTTAAGTAAATTTAAGAGATATTTGTATCCACGCAATGAGTTGGAAAACATAAGCTTCATTTTTCTCCAAAATAAGATTTTAGTAGCCTAAAAAAAATGTAGGCTAAAAGTTCAATGCAACCATTTTTTTGTGTCTAAATTAAATTTGTATTGTTGTAATTTTCACACCTTGAGGAAAATCAAAAGACATTGTAAACTCAAACTGTGCCTACCCACTAACTTTTAGTCACTAAAGTCTGTTTATTAGTTAAGTATTTTATTGGAGTTCTTGCACCATAGGGGATCTCAAAACAATAAATGCTACAGATTATGTGAACTGTTTAAATGTTGTATCAAAACTCTTTTAAAGTTAAAACAATATTCAACTAAATTAGAGACTATTCTGCAACACATTTTCTGCTCTATTCTCGACCAACAATGCATGCAGGCAACTTCTTATCAAGGTTACTTACCGAGCGAAGGAACACCCGCAAATAAGGAGCGAGCTTCGACTTGACTCTCGGCCAACACAAGCAGCAAAGCTCCAATGAGAGCGAGGTTCCTCAGCAGAAACTGAATGTCCCACAATATGCTGTACGCAAATGTCTGTCAACAAACAACAACATTGATTAATTTAGTTAATGTTGAAACTTATTGAGCATACCTAGGAAAAATACACTACTTATTACTATTTACCTAAGTAAATAGTAATATTAAGTAAGTATTAAGTAAGTATTAAGTAAGTAAGTACTAATTAAGTATTTACCTACTGCTTATTAGCAGTATTGGCCTGATACAATTTGTCAGCAAAAAGTTTTCAAATTTATATGAAAACACAAATGGTACGGTAAGTTAGTTCTGTTACAAAGAACATGAACAAGTAGGCTATTAGACCTGTCATGGGGAAGATGCAGAAAAAATATAAGTAGGCCTATGTAGGAGCTTAAGTCGAACCATAAACTAACAGCATTTATTGGTCACAATTAATTTTACGAGCGACAAACACTTAGCAAATGATTAGAACTGAACTCCTGGAATTGGTACAATAAGTACCTACTCATCTTATATGTTTAAATTTACAATTCAAGCAAGATTTTGTTCAATGTTTTGATGCAATTGTGTTTAGTTGTTAAAGATTAAGTTGTCTGCTTTAGTTTACTGATCTGATTACTGATAGTGTGTTTAAAGAAATTAAAGGGTAGGCCTAGATTAATAATTGTTCAGATCACTAACTTTAGTAAGTAGCCTTCAACAGTAAACAAAATATATTAAAATATATATAAATAGGCCATGTGCTCGTGTGTGTAAGGCCACAAGTCTTAGCATTATATAACTAAATTAACTTTATTTTTAGTAACTTATATAAAATATAAACTAAATTAATTAAGGGCTGAAAAATATAATAGTTTTATACCTGTAAAACCACAATGAAGAAAAGTACACCGCAGGCATATGGAACTTTTTTCTGCAATAACACCATAACACACCCCCCTAATTGACCTATTAAATTGATTAAAACAAAGATAGTTGCAAGAAATTTCCCACAGCCCCATGAATGATCCATGTATTCTCGCTGATCTGACCACTGAACCCACATACGGATCCCATCTTCTAAAAATGTTGATATAAGGCAAGCTCTTGCTGTTGTAGGCAGGAATATGCGTGTCTTTTTGTAAACCTGAAAATAAATTATAAGTGTGAGGCATTGTAGATGTTTAAGTTAAATAGACTTTAGTCCTACAAAATATTGACGTACGCTTTGTCAATTTCTCTAAAGCCTAGTTCGCTCAACCTTAAGTTAGTTTGCCAATATTGTACCGGTAACCTACTTAACTTATAAAAAGAAAATATGATAATAGTAGTTATAGAGCAAGTGAGTTAAAAGTTTAAGTGAGTTATAATTATGACTTCAAGGCTTGAACACAGACTTTATTCTTTCTATAAGCTTGGTACCAAGTTAACCTGTCTTAAGTCATAAGTCGTTTATTCAGCAAAATTAACATAAAATGCATTAGCTACGCCAAAAACAAAATAGCATACAGTATTTACATAACAAAAAACTCTCTTAAATAAATTAAAACTATCAACTATGCTACCTTACCTACTGTATTGTACTACCAGTTCTAGGGCAAAGAAACTCACAAACGCTGCAAAAGGCATTATCCAGCAAAAAATTCTTTAGTTTTTTCTGAAATCTATTTAAATCCTGTTCGGTCTTTAGGGAAGGAGGAAGGTTATTGAAAAGCTTGACGGCATTGTATTGAAAATTCTTTTGAAAGAATGACGTTGAGTGATTAGGAATTGCAAGGTCGGAAGAATTATGATATGGATATCTGTTGTTGAGCTGTGAACAAAAAGAAGATATAATGTATTCATTCTGGTGAAGGATAATGTTTCAAAAATGTATACCTGTGGATGGAAAGGTTAGAATTCAGAATTTTTTGAAAATGTCTTTGTAGGACTGACATTTGGGTAGGAAAAATAGAATGCGGATGGCTTTCAATTAATTTTATTAATTTTCAATTGTTGTTTCAATTGTTGTCGGAAAGAAACTTAGTCTTTCCACTTTCACTACCCCAGACAGGGACAGCATAGGATAAAATGGATATACAAGACCATAACAAGCAGACAGGACGACTTCTGAATTTACTGTTTGGCTAAGCATACGAAGCGGAAATAACTACTGATATTTTTGTTGTGACATGTTTGATATGTTTGTGGTAGTTAAGATTTTCATCAAGGACCACACCAAGGAACTTAACCTCTTGACAGGGATGGATCTCATTTTCACCCAACAGTAAGCTAAATGTTCTTTGGTTTTTTTTTTTTGGTTTGATGATTTGAAATGCTAAATTGGAGAAGTTGGGCTTTTTGGCATTTAGGACAAGATGATTATCCTCACACCATTGGAACAGGCTATTACATTCAAGAAAAATCGATTGTTCAAGTGTTTAGTGGAATGACTGGAAACAGTAAGAGATGTATCATGGGCAAACAGACAAATGTTTGCCTTGTTTGCGCAAGTTGTTTATAAATAGAAGGAATAAGGTCGTACGAGGACGGAACCCTGGGGCACACCTCTGCTGACTGAGGCGTCAGCAGAATGATGATCTACTTTAGAAGACCTGTTTCATCGATGGCAGGGATTGCTACATTCTGCTTTCTTCCTTTAAGGTATGATGCGAACCAATCAAGAGCAATGTCTCCAATGCCAGCATCATGCATTTTTCCCAGAAGTAGGCTAGACCATGGTCAACTAAGTCAAAAGCACGACTCAAGTCAATGAACATGCCAACCACAGACTGTCCCGAATCAATATCTTTGACTACTTTATTTATGAGACTGAGTATGGCCTTTGTTTAACTTATTTGTATAACTCTTTAAGTTTAGCTTGGAGCTATGTAGCTTAGGCCTAGGCGTAGGCCTATAGCATTCTAATTTATCTTTATGTTTTTTAGTCATATTGCCCTAATAGATACATATTAATGCTATACTAAAAATTAAAATTCATTAACTTATAAACTAGTCTTGCTGACAGTGATATTCCGGATATAGCCCTATCTTGAGCTGGCAAGCTGAACTTCACATTGAGGTTAAGTACATACTTTACGCTTAAAAATTATCAATTTTAAATAAGTACTCACTTCATCTGCAATGTCTTCGGCTTTTGAAATGAAATCCCTGGGAATAATTCCAGCAGCCATTGTAGAAAATTTAAAATAAGTATTGTAGTTGAGTAGTTATAATGTTACAAACAAAAATTACACAGCTGAACAGATTTTCTCTTCCATCGCATCACAATCAAAATTAGTGATGTGGAGGCAATCTTGCCAACGTAACTAAATAAAGCCCCACGTCAAACAATCGTACAAACTCCTAGAAAGAAATACTGAAAGAACACGTAGCCAAAGACATTGGAAGTGCAAATGACAATGAGGAATTAGAAATTTTTGTAGATTTTTTTTGTGTATTTATTATTTAATATAAATTATTCTAGAAATTTTACAAAAAATGGTAAAGGACTGTAAAATTAGAAATTGACAATTAATTTTTACACAAAAAAATTGGAATACCAGCTCCATCTTTAAATTCTCTCGCTGACCGCCATTTCTTTCTTGTTCGCCTCAAACACGACACACTGGTTGCCCTTAAAACAGCACAAATAGTTCTTGATCTTATCCAACTTATTACCATACTATATGTTTTTTTCCATTTCTCTGATATAGATAAAACATACTCCTTAGTAGATTTCCCATCCTTATGGAACAGCTGAAGCCAATTTTATTGTCCGGTGTACTGTAGATGTCGTGTTTGTTTAAAATTTTTTTTATATATTATTTTCGGGTTAGTTTCTCATGATTTGTGCCTCACTGTTTGGTTATATAGCTAGTAGAGACAAGTTATCGTTTATGATTAGATAGTTTTATTTGGTTAAACGAGGTTTTAAATAACTGAGATAGCAAGAAACGAATTGTAAACAAAGACGACTCTCTACAGTACCAGCACGGCCGCCTTAAAGGTGGCCATGACACCATCAGACAGAACTAACAATAAAATTGGCTTCAGCTGTTCCATAAGGGTGGGAAATCTATTGTTCTATTGTGTATCTATTGTTATGTTATAGATAAATCATAGTATATGTTTATCAATGGTTATATTGACTGCTCCAGCCTACTTGAGGATATAGACCTCACTATACTATACCCCGTGGGACACGCTCATGCTCAATCTTCCAAAGATGCTACAGACCAACTTACTTACTTGAATACTTGAATACTTGAATTCTGCATCGTTGTGACCGACAAAGTCGGAATAGATTGCGTCACATATAATAAACACTACTATTTACATAAAACTAACTAAGATGGCGGCGGGTTGCCAAAAAGTGGTGCTTCGTCCAGCTCACTTAGTGAGTATAGAGGTCTGCCCACCAAATAGTCTCTCAGGGTGTCCTTGAAGGCCCTAATGTCCAACTCGCGCACTTCAATTGGAAGTGTGTTATAGAGCTTACTTGTGTAGTAGGGGTAGCACTTTTGAGTCCAGGCTAGTCGGCATCTAGGTAGGTCAAGGAGATGTCCATGTCGTGTTTGATGGGAATGATTGGGAATGCGTCGAGCAAGTTTTGTCGACAAAACAACAAGCATGCCCTCAACAGTGGTATCTCCAGGCTTCTCAGGAGTGACAGCGAGGTGGCTTCCAGGGTTGACTTCTTCCACGGCTCCCCATCTTCATTTAAGAGGAGACTAACCGAAGTAGTGTCAGTGGAGAGTTAAGTGGTGGCTTTAAGGGCCACACAAAGTGTTCCTTGAGTGCAATATTCTAACGATTGGCTTTTTAAGCAGCTCAAATCAATAGTAAACAAACAAACACCTTTACAATGCACAGTTCGCAACTGCCACTGTTGAAAGAAACTACTATCTAACCAGGGGCCCATTTCATAATAAACTACAAGTTACAACCACTGAGCTGATAGTTTGTACTTAATTATGAAACAGACCCCTGGTCCAAGAAAGATATACATAGTGAAGCTATTAAACAAATAGCCTTCTGTGCATGTGGAAGCTGAGATGCCCGTGGGTACAGAACGTCGAGTGTAGTATAGGATTATTGTGATTATCGGCGATGTGCGCAATCATGGATAAAACCATAGATAAAAACAGAGTATGTTTTATCTATGGCGCAACCATAGATAAAACATACTCCGTCTATGGCGCAACGTAGAAAATCTGTAAATGGACCATGGACAGCATGATTTGAATTTGAGCTATGAGCGTCGCACAGACTTGTTCTAACAGAAAAGCTCTACTGTAGTATATCATGTTATGATATAATTACCACATAGGCCTACAATTATCACACATGCAACCAAACCTAATATCACAATATCACGGCCGCCTTTAACTACAGGCCACGGCCTGTGGAGTTAAAGGCGGCCGTGACAATATACACTGAATCATTTATTTATTTGTCTTATTACTCCCTGCTCTTCAATTTGACTCCATGCCTTTCCGTTGTCATAGAGACAGTTTAATGATAATGATATAACATTTCATAACCATAACATAAACATAAACCTACTAACCTAGCCAGCCGCCAGCCTGTATAGTAAAGTAAAGTAAGTAAAAGTAAGTAACAGTAATATAATGTTTTATTTATAAACTGTGTGGCGCATTGGTGAGTTTTAAAATAGTATTAATTTAGGTTTTGATCATGAAGTTTAACTTTAGCTTTGAAAAAGTAAGAGTCTTAGTCCTCTGTTTTACCATTTGTCACAGTATAGAAATATGTCATATCTTATGAAATTGTTTGTAAATATGTGGTTGCCATTAAAATAAATAAATAAATGGTATGATTAGGCCTACTGATTAGGTAAGTAGGCTGAAGTATACTGCCACAGAATAAAGACATAATTCGTTAGGTTTTTATTCTGTTGTTGCTTACTGCCTACGGGAGGTTAAAAAACATTATTTAAATCTCGCGTGATTTCAAGATGTGCAAACAATCGAAACGTTCCTTCTCGAGAGGTTCTAATTATCAATTGCTTTGATTAACGTACTTAGCGAGAGGTTTCTACAATCAAAATGTTTCTCTCGAATGTTGTATTAGTTAATCCAAAGCGTCTGTCTGCAACTGTCTACATTTCATGAGCTGTTACAAGGAAGTTAATTCTTTTTCTAGATTTCTTATAGAATAGTTCTAGCCAACGCGTGCTAAGCATTTGCACTGAATCCTTCTCAAATCCCACTTATTGAAGTACACAACATACAGTTAATAATGCGTAGTAATTAAAGTGCATCCTTGATTTAAGTAGGCCTATGGATCCCTATATCAGGATGTAGATGCTTTGATAGTGTACATGCCCAAGTGAGCTAGGCTACAACAAATCTTGGACCATGCTTAGGTTTCTCATCAACTATAGTTTTTTTAAACCTGTTGTGGTTTAAAAACCTTTTGAGATTTGATTGGGTGCGTGTGTAAGGTAAGCTAAGGTAAGGTAAAATCTATTGAGGTAGGTATATATGTCACTATTCCGTAGATAAAGTACAGTAACTAATATCCATAGGCAGTCCTCGTTTTGAAGTAAGAAATACCTTTCATTGGGGGACAATCCCCGGCAGATACAATTGTACAATAGGCCTAACTAGACGCTAATTGCTAATGCTGTGCTGAACCGAAACCATCGCCACGAACATCTCGTTAAAAACCTCTCGCTAAGCATAAATACAATCGAAACATCTTGTAAGCAAAAATACAATCAAAACGTCTTGAGAGGTTCAAAAAATCAAAACGTTTTGATTGTAACACCTCCCAATCGCGCATCACACTTTAAATAGGCCTATTAGTTAAATTACTGGTTTCTGTGTCAAGACCATACAACATTTCACATTTTTTGTTTAAATATTATATCTGATATGATCAAGATAACCAAGTAATGAAACCTGTTAGGTTAGTTCTGTTGATTACCTGAATTTCCAGTCTCTGACACAACCATCCTCAATCGATCACCTCCTGTATAATTTGTCACTGTATATGCCTAACTAGGCTGTTTTATGCCACTTAGAGATCTAAAATAGGTAAGTTGTACCTAATTTAATGTTTCCAGGTAAAAAGCAAATGATCAATTTGATTTTAATCTAGGATTTGTAATCATGGTAAAACTGCATGTGAAGAAGGGCGATGAAAGCCAGTTTCTCTATGAAACAACAGTTACAACTCCTGTAGATGAAGTAACGCTGGATATATGCACCATCTACAATGGTCGACTGAAAATTAGCAGGATATGCTCAGGTTTGTATTTGATTGATATTGGATCCAACCTAATGAAACTTACCTTTATAACAATTAAACCTGTGATTTGTGTAAATTGCATGTAAAAAAATTGACTTTTGTTTCTCAAGATTAACTGTCCCCCCACGCTACGCTGTAAATGCCAAGGAATTTTACTAGCCTATCAATGTTTATTGAAAGTTCCATTATTTTTTGGTCCGCTAGGATCATTAAGTTATGACTTCTTATAAGCTACAGTACCTAATATCTTAAAAAGCTGGTTAAAAATTACACCAAATTTTAATCTATTTTTTAGGTCGTGTTCAAGAAAAAGCCTCATTCTAAAATAAGGCAGCTATAATAATATAATAACAGAAAGTTGGTAAAATAAAGAATAACGTATTTTTTCAGAAATAGATAAAACAAACCTTTTTTTACCAAAACAATTAAGTAGGCCTAGTCCCTTGTATGTTTTTGTGATTTTGAAATTGAATTGAACTCCAAACAATTTGAACAATCATATTTTTTTAAGAGAAGTTATATTTTAAAGTTCCATAATCAACCTATAACTATGAATACCTACATAAAATATGTCTACCGGTACTCTTTTACTAAGTACTTTCATGTGGTATACCAATGTGGTACTTTTTTTAGAGTTAGAGGAGCTAAGTAAGCATGGGACAATGCTACCTCCGGATATGATGGGTCTAACAGATGAGCAAATTGAAGAACTCAAGTTGAAGGATGAGTGGGGGGAGAAATGTCTTCCAAGCGGTGGATGGACTTTCAACAAAGACCCCATGGGTCGCAGAAACGGAAGACAGCCAAACGAACGGATGCAAGAAGTCATTGCAAAATCCATCAATGAAGCTAAATCTTTGGTGTCCAAGGTATGTAGGCACGACAATGATGGTCGAATACAGCAAACCTCAATAGCCAACCAATTACCAATAATTGTTGGGGATATTTTCAACTATTTCGCTGTCACGGTAAATTTGTCTTTCTCAAGGTTTGTGTTGTAAAACCCACATGTCATAGCAATTAAAGTTGATATTAATAGTATTTTTAGTGAGGTTTTACCACAATGTGAAAAAGAAAAAGATTTAATTCACCCTCAAAAAGGTATTACATGTTAAAACCTACTTTTCACTACTGAACAGTGCTACTTTTCCTACAACTGTTTTGGCAGCTTTGATAAGTAACTGTTAGTTTTATGTGAAAAAGTAGTCTAAATATTATTCTGTATTCATGCAATCAATAAAGACTGATGCAACAATACTAGTTTTATTAGCTGGTGTGAACATAAATAAGCAAGGCTATATTGTACAGTGTAAGACAATCTAAAACAAAATTAAAATGATATAATCATGTAGGAAAGATATCAATACCGGTACAGTCAAAATTTAATAACTTCTTAAGCATTATAAGAAAGGCATGTCAGTAGTAAATACAGTTATAGCCTAATAATTAATTTTTGTGTGGTAAGCCTGCTATCCTCATCAAAATACCAAAAAAACCTCTAGAGGCCATTTGCTCAAATTACATCCTTAACTTCTATTATTTCATTTGATATGGTTCAGCGACAGCGTGGATCAATATTTAGAATTTTAATGACAACTAAGAGAATAATAGATTATTTGTCACCTATACATAATGCTACCTAGTCTTAAGTAATGCTTACAAACTGTAAAAAATAATACACTTATTTACTGAAAATGTTTGTTAAATTATAAGATCTATAGGCCCTACCCATAGTTGAATTGCACTTGTTTTAGAAACAAGTAGATGCCGGAGTGTGTGTAACTCAGAAGATGGTCCAGGAGGCGCTGGATATGCTGCGAGGCACCATGATGATTGTTTATCCCATGAACCTTCCCCCACATGAAGTCATCAGACAGGAGTTTGAAAACACTGAAGATCTGAGTGGGATGCAGGCTTCTCTTGAGGTAACGGTTTTGTTTTAGTCATTATAAAATTACTGTAAGTTTAACCCTTCCCAGACAGCCTATAGTATGTATACAGACAGCAAAATAATTTTATTTAAATAAAAACTAAAAAACATATTTCTTATAACTTTAATTTACAGAATCCTTATATATAATACGTGAAGGCGATATCTACGAAACAATACTCCTCCGTTATTAATGGACGGATTTTTACAAAAAAATGTGTCAAAATTAAGTATTTTTTGTGTAGACTAGACACCCCCTTTCACCAATTCCTTGTCGAAGAAAAGATTTTGTTTACTTAAACAAACAAATAATTTGTTTATTACATCTGTTCATAGTAAACACATGACACACAAGGGCATTTGTTTTCAGAGTGAGCTCGTCTTAAGTTTCGATAACTGGAGTGGAGTGATTGATTATATTATCTAAATTATGACTGTTATTCGTTTTGAAGTTACGCCTGTAATAATTTGCAATGGCTGGATTTCGAGCAACAGGTGCACTAGTGTTGTATAATAGTTGACCAATGCAGCACTTTTGTCCAAAGTAATTTTTTTATTTTATTTTTTTTCATATTATATTTTATTAAAATTAAATTTCTTATTCTTCTAGAAAAACATTCCTAGTACATGGGTTAAATAAAGATATAACTGAATAAAAGGAAATTTTTACAAATATTAATGATGTTATAGACAATCAACAATAACAATAACTGTCGTAATAATCAGCGGATATATCAACCTACCGTCAGTGGAGCCCAAAAAGATAAGTAGATATATCTGCCAACCGTCCGCTATGCACAAAATGCTAGCGGATATATCCACATATAGTCCAGGAAGGGTCAAAGTTTTGTACGCTTTGTACTATTCTGTCACTTTTTTTTGGCAAAACTGCAGTTTTTTAATTTGTTTCCAAGTACTGCTATATCACATTCTGTTTTAACAGATTTAATTGTTGTCAGGCTGTAATAGTTGAATATTGTCTAGCTTACTGTTTTCCAAATATTTTTACAGGAGTATGGGGCAACAATCCTGGCATAAAATATTTGGTACATTTATTACCAATTGGTACTCCAAATATTTTAATTCCACTTTTAGTATTAGCATAATTGAATAAATACAACCACCACCATAATACCATAATACCATGTACCACCTCAATGGCCTTTGCGTACCACTAGTGGTATACGTACCACATGTTGGGAAACTCTGGACAACACCAAAGATAAAAAGTTGCATTACTGTTAAGCAAATACAAACTACATAAAATGTTACACATTAATATTGGGTCGTTTACATTGCCACATTTCTAACTGAGGCCTGCGTGTACCAAATTTATTATCTGCTATCACATGGTTGTTCAGATTAAGCTAAGTTTGTATTGTACTGGATTAGTAAGGGGTTTACTGTACCAAGTTTTTTAATGATTTTTTATGACATGGTCAAGATGTGCATACTTGGTTATCAGATCTGGTACTGCACACAGCAACATTTAATAACCAAATATAGATTGGATTGTTGAATATATTATTGATGCCAATTGAAAACTAACAGTATTTGCAAACTGACACATACTAATGAATACAAACCCTTTAAGAAGCGAAATGCTTCTGGAGAATAATCAGACTACAATTTTGCCACTGAAATGAGCTACGCATAACCGCTAGGATCGCTCATGCGGCGGCCGTGCTACTCTATTTCTCTCTCTAAGCCGATTCTTTGGCTCACTCTCTCTCACTCAGTCAGCTGACATGGCCGCGCGCTCGCAATAGCAGCGCCTTCGCTACCTAGCGGCCACTGCGGGAACCATCCAAAATTCAAATATAAACAGACTGAATTTTTAACCAAGGCATTGCGCTTCTTAAAGGGTTTGTTTTCATTGTGCATACTTTCTCCCATGTGTTTGAACAACTTTTACCATCCTACAACCTTAACAAACAAAATATTATGAAGAAAATCACAATAAATTGCAATAACCTTCAATTTGTAATTGTTATAGCGTTATTGTAGCGTTGTTATAGCCATGTTGTTTAGGATTAATACTATATACGGCTATAATATACAAAACTAACAGAACTTTAATAAAATTAATATAGCTATTTTGTGAAAATCCAGTTTTCTGTTATTTATTTATGGGGGTTTTTATAGGAAAATCACAATTAAAAATCTAAATCTCAAAAAAAAAAAAAAAAAAATCAGGAGATACCATAGTTTCCTACTCAAATACCAAATTTTATACAAATTAGAAAACATGTTTAGTCTGTGCAGTACTGAACATATCCACACGGACATCACTTTGAAAACCACTCTTTTGTGTTCAGGGGGACCCAAACCAAATATTCTCACCCTAAACTCAAACTTGACAAAATTGTGACAAAAATACTTTCTCCATGTAGACTAGGTACTATCTATAGCAGGTGAAAGTAATAGAAGTTGCAAGTTGGTCCGTCCTTGGGTCGTATTAACTGTCTTGTCGCGCAGCGCGAGTTAATATTTGATCTGATTTCAGGTGATTGATCCTGCTTTGGCTCAGTTGTGGTTCTCTGGGAAGGAAATGCAACGGGCCAAGAAAATGTCGGATTACGTTGGGAAAAACGAGAAAACCAAAGTTATTGTCAAGCTTTCCAAGGCAAGTAATTCTTGGTGATTGTTAGTTTTAATCTTCGACTATTGATTTAATAGCATCATTCCATCCCCAACTAAAAGTTGTCACCAGTTTTTAATCAAATTCGTAGTAGTTGGCGTGAGCTACTAAAAGACTCTGGTGTAAAAATTTATGATTTCTGTCGAATACATGAATTTTTTTACAAAGTTAAATTGATGGAAAGACTTATTGTGAGCTATACCAACTGTTATGACTCATCAACTTAATTAGCAACAAAAAAACAGTTAGAAAATAGAACTTTTAACACTAGCACATTCTGGCTTAAACAACTATGTTTTTTCATAATGTCATTATATAATGAAACTATGTCATTAAATAATGACACAGGTAATCATGTAGCTGAAATCAGTGAAATCGTTTAGTGATTTGCGACTGGCGTGATTTTAACCCAGCACTCCAGAACTCAGACAGAAGGCCTGTGATCCAACCACTAAATCAGAACCGCCTTCCTATATTAACCACATTTAACATATAATAATTGATATGGGATCTTAGACTTTTCAGAATTTCCTGTAGTGTTTTACAAAATCTCTTTAAATAGATTAGATTAGATTTTACGCTGTCACATATTTCAAGGCGTCAATGAGTAAATGAAGCGGTAGTTTTGTTACCGTCTATGATCAGCTGGCTCTTGAGCCTGTGGGTTTTTCCTTAGATGGGCCAAGGTGCTCCTGCTAGAGAACCTGTGATTGGGGAGGAGGAGAGAAAGCAGATGATGTTACATCAGTACAGACGACAGGAACAGCTCAAGGTGAGTTGCAATTTACTAAATCATGAACTCACTGTGGAAACAAAATTTATCCACTAAAACACAAAATTGTGATATATAACAATCAGTCTCAAAACAGAGGTAAAATTTGAATCAGTTAAACTCTTAGGATTTAATTTGGATTCAAAATTAAATTGGTCATCACGTATACAATCTGTTTGTAACAAAATTACAAGAGTGAGGTGCTTGCTGTGGAAACTTAAGGATTTTGTTAGTCAAGAATATTTAAGATTGGCGTGACTCTTTCAATCACACATACTATATGGTCTTATTTTGTGGGGCCATTCTCCACATATTAATGACATCCTTTTACTCCAAAAAAAAGCGGTTTGAAGCATTGATGGAGAATGCTCAGTTACACACTGTAAACCTATTTTCATTAATTTCAGGATACCAACCATGGTAAATCTTTATATATTCCAAATTCTAATATATATAAAGTCAAACTTAGATCAATTCCCTTTCCAAAAAGACATACACAACCACTATACAAGAAAATACCCCCGCCGCAGCAAACCTGCAGACTAAGCGAATTTCCATTGACCTGATTGGATTTACACTAAAATGCCTCCATAAAAATAGCACATTTATTTCCTATTTAAATAGAATTAGTTTAACAAGTACCTTAGGTTTGCTGCAACAGGGAGGGTAAAAAAGATTTTTTTATGAAATGATAATAGTTTAGTAAGAAATAAAAGTATTTTCCAAAATCGATCAAAATATGTTCATAAACAAGCAAACTGCAACAGTCGACTTATTCTCCATAAGAATAACATGGGAATTTTAAAATTACAATTTTTTTGAATTTTCTCCGTAACAATTAGGCGCATAATAAAGCTTCAATATACTAAATTATTTGTTTTTTTAAGCTCTACAAAATGGTTTAAAAAGAAATTGTGAAATTTTGTGTTTTTAGGGGCAAAAATGGGAAAAACCTATTTTTACCCCATAAAACCCCCCATAAACCCCCGTTCCCATAGTCCGATCATGCTGGTTCGCGAACTCATTCAAGTTTATCCCGCCTTACACATTCAAACCAAATTTTATCAAAATCGGACAAAAATTACTCAAGTTATCGTGCGGATGGACATATATATATATATATATATATATATATATATATATATCTATATATAGATATATAAAAATTTGAACGAATGGTGTTTTTGGCCTCTGGGGACATCAAAATGAAAAAGTAAATCGGTCCCGGGCTTAGGTCTTACCATGAGACCTACGGTAATAGCTACTTCCCTATATAGGGAAATTCGCTAAAACAAAATGAAGAGCATGCACAATACTTAATAATCAGTTTGTAAAAAAAATTGTGAGGCACATAGAAATAGTTAATGTTCATCTTTTTTTCAGAAACTGGAACAAGATGAAGATGACACTTACTTAAATTCCTCATGGTCCGACAGCAGAAGTTTGAAAAGAGCTTTTCAAGGACTATCAGACATTTCATGGAAGCCTAAATAAAAGCTAGTATTTGTCCAAAAACAAATCTAGTCATCAGTATTAATACTTTTTTGTAAGTTTTAGTTGTATAATTGTATTATAATATTGTGCATAAAAGAATTTAAAGCTAAAAATTTAGTTTTCATGTTTAAAACCTCTGTAATGAAAAACCACAAAGTTGTTTTGACTTTCTATACATTATACCTTGCTAGATGGGATATATCTATTAAATGCATATACCCGCTAAATTTTTAGTTGTTGAAGGATCTGTGTAGTGATTGTATATGTTGCGGACAGGAAGCGAATGTTTATGCAAATTCTGTAGAAAGACCTTTTGGTGTTTGTACAGTAACCAGCTGGTTCAGGCTACTTGGCACTACTTCCTACGCTCTGGAGAACTGCACAACTTTTACATACCATGCTTACCGGGCAGGATAGGTACATCTATCTAGAACATAAATCTTGTTTAAATTTTCTAAAGAATCTTGCTCCATATAAATCCTTGTCCAATAAATAACGTAACTCACTAAGAAGTAATTTGTTAATTCGGGTTTTTAACTAAATGTACGAGGCATGTTTTATAAGTAAGTACCGTTTTTAAATTTCTCCGTTCCAGTGCTGCGAATGGCATTTTGGACATTTGCGCTGTGTATGGGCACCTATTGGTAAGCCCTAGCTATAAATTCGACAACAATCGGCCGTGTTTACTTCCGGTTTCGAGCATTCAAAATCGTGCCACCAATTGAGGCTGCCGCCGACTGTGAAGTGCACGCTGTAATTAGAATTTTAAGTGCTAAAGGTGTTAAAGCCAATGAAATTCACCGACAGATTAGTGAAATGTATGGCGAGAACATTATGAGTGACGGAATAGAACGCAAGTGGGTAAGGGAATTTAAAGACGGCCCCACCAGCGTTCATAATGAGCAACACACTGGGTGGCGTCATTACTGTCCCCAGTACAGTGCGATGCTCATCATGAACGTTGGTGGGGCTGTCTTTAAATTCCCTTACCCACTTGCGTACTATTCCGTCACTCATAATGTTCTCGCCATACATTTCACTAATCTGTCGGTGAATTTCATTGGCTTTAACACCTTTAGCACTTAAAAATCTAATTACAGCGCGCACTTCACAGTCGGCGGCAGCCTCAATTGGCGGCACGATTTTGAATGCTCGAAACCGGAAGTAAACACGGCCGATTGTTGTCGAATTTCTAGCTAGGGCTTACCAATAGATGTCCATACACAGCGCAAATGTCCAAAATGCCATTCGCAGCGCTGGAACAGAGAAATTTAAAAACGGTACTTACTTAAAAAACATGCCTCGTATGAAAAAAGTTAAATAAATTAAAATTAATTGTTTTCAAATTTTAAATGTTTGCTATTTCTAGGCCATGCAACCCTCCCTCTTGGAAGGAATACTGTAGTTAAAACTTAAAATGGATTTATTTACAATATTTTAAGTGTACATTGACATCTATTTAGACTTGTTTATAATGTAAGGGGTTCCTGCCAGAATAAAGCAGGCAATAATGACTTAGATCCAGCAGGTCATAGTTGAAATCCCATCAATCATCGGTGATTCAGAGTTAACACCTTAAACTGTACTCTACCTATGTTGAAAAAGATTGGTTTCTCAAGAGATTTGAGAGTAAAAGCTTCCTCTAAAGTATATTTCAGAACACCAACAAAACAAAGTCAGACCATAATTTAGCCTTAAAAAATCATGAGACTCTTTAGAGAACACAAGATTTATTGACCATTTGATATTTACAATAAAACATACAATAAACACACGTATACAAGGCAATAGCAACAATATTTACAATAACTTGACATTTATAAGAAGATTGAAAACACAAACTTGTGCAAACTTTAAAGACTTATATGGAAATTTGGATTAGTATAAAAGCTAAAAGTTATCAACATGGTAAATATCATTTTGTTATTGCAAATTGTACAAAAATATATTATATATATAAATCCCTGAAATGCTTTTAAATGCTGTTATTCAGTTTAAAGGGGATCGCTTTAAAAAGAAAATGCTTATAGTTTTGTGGTAGGCCTATATTATTTTGAATTGCATACCTTGAAGTCAAATGTTTTATACAACTAAGATTTGTTTATATATTTAAAACGGCAACAAAATGTTTAATTTATGTAAATTTATATTTTTATAATTTGCCATAAATGTTGATTTTCAACTAAGAACAAATGACACTGAACACAAGGAAGCCTTATTAATCTATTGTAGATTTAATTGAAATAATAATCATATTTGATAAACTTTCTGAATCAACAGAAAATTTCCTTTTAGTTATGAAAGTACCCTAATTTTATTTTAGTAAGTATTCATAATAATCTACACTTCTGTCATTTATTTTTTTGTATTATTATTTTATGTACCCGTTTTTGATTGCCAAGGTAACTTTGAATGAATGCTGAAGTGAATGTTTTTGCTCATACTGTACATATTTTTAGACATCTTCGATCTAATTCTTAACTTCTAGTGGAGAAGGATGTTTCTTAAAGACTCGTTTACAATATAATACCACAAAACAACTACAAAAATTACAACAAATACAGAACCTTTGTACATTAGTATATTTGCAACAACGCATGTAAAGTATATGATTGTGCAAACGGGATAAGTGCTGGGCCCGAAATAAGACACTGGATACACTGAACACTGACTACAAGCCGCGACCCTCGACACAATCCAACTTGGACTAGACAATGTTTGATATAAAATTGTACTAAGTCCAAGCTTACCATTTTACTTGGTTGTCTTTACAAGAACTCAATTTGAGAACATTTTTAAACAAAACTTGTCGATTTCTACAATCTTATATGCCTTTTTATTCAGAGTAACTTAGCTATGAAATTAGGTTGTACCAAAGAATTCCTGCAAACAAGTTTGCACTTGATACGTCAACTGTGCAGAATTCAAGTCACCCTTAAGATGGCACACCATATCAAGGCCAAAACATCGGTGAATGAACGAGACGAGTTATGTCAAATTCGACACATTTGTCACCCGAAGACCATGAATCTGCAAAGAGTGACCGTGGAAGCCTGCCCAGGAAGAGTTCAATGAATGCTGTGTAAATAAATCCTTTAAGACAATAAAGAATTTCTCTCTCTCTCTCTCTCTGGAAAACTTTATTTGGAATCTATAACCGAATCAGAAAGTGAGGTGCCAATCAAGCAAAACAAAAATAATCTCAGGATTTTGCAAGGGCTTCAATTTTGAATACCTTGTGAAAAAGAGAATGCAGAAAATACTGCATATTCTATTTAGGTTATGAGAAAACATTGACCATCTTCGGCAGGGTGTATTGAGAATGTCCCCAGGAGGGTAAAGTGCTTGGAAATGTTCCAAATAGGAATTGTGGATTGTATTTCTTTCCCAACGATGCTATAAGAATCAGAACTACGCGATCTCTAATTTACCAAGTTGAATTGTGTACAGGGTCTTTAGTGACTTGCGTAGCTTGCATCTTGTAGAAGCACCTGCAAGCCTTGCTTGAGTAGCTTCTTCACACTGATACAATAACAATATTCACAACAATTATTGGTGTCATATTCATTGAAACTTTGGTAAAGCGTTTACAAAAGAAGTTGATAGTGTTTGTAACAAGATATAGAAGAAAATTACAATTTCACATGATGATTTTGGTATTCTTAATAATATTAAGCCAAAATGAATTTGTATTTAGAATTACATTAAGATCGTTATGAACTTTTCACTTTTACCTTTTCAAATACACACTATCTCACTTCTTTTGTTGTACAACATTCGATGTAACTTTCAAATTATGTATTTACAGTATTATATTTTCTGTGATTTACAAACTATGTAATATTTTATGGTTCAAATATATAATATACGTCTATACCAAGAATCAGGCTGGGGTTTTAGTATAAATTTGATAAGAAAATATATTTTACTTTTTTAAAGCATTATTCAATTTATGATTCACATTTAATAACATTTTTCTACTAGATCTATTAGTTAGTATAGTTTTGATATAAAAACTATTTCGGGAAGCGTTAATAAATTAAACCTTTAGTTTTAAATTCATTTAAGCGTTTTTAAAAAGACACAGGTAGAATTTACTTGAAAAAATAGTAGATCAACTCTTGTTTTTTTTACTTTGGACACATAAAGTCAAACGTTGTATCGTAATAGTTGTAAAATATTACATTACTGAAGATAAAAAATATAAGGATTGGGTTTTTAAGGGCTGCAAAAGGGTTTGAAAAATTGTACTTTGGCCACAGAAGTTTAAAATTGCCGTGGATTTCTTAAGAAATACTATTTTAAGTTTTCATTATTGTGACTGTAAAAGATTACATTTCCTTAAGAAAATATTTAGTGAATTCATTTTAAGAGGAAAAAATATGTAATTTTCTTAACTATTCTTAGTAGAAAAAAGTGATATTTTTACCTCTCATTACCCTGTGAAGTATACCACAGAATCTTCCAATGGATTCCCCATTAGAGTTTGCATAGAGTAGTCAATCCTAATGCTCTTGTGTTGGTAAATAACTGTGATGTTTGTTACTGTTAGCTTAGTAGCTTTACTGCTATGTTTGCTACCACTTGGTGTTAGATTGGTAGCTATACCATGGATCTGCTAATATAATTATGTTCATTTATGGCTATACGGTGATGTTTGATGATGTCAGTCGTCGAGTTTGTTGTGGTTAGGTTGGTAGCTATGCACGTGCTCAAGGTTGGCAAGACTGTCTGCTCTATGTAAAACTCCGTCCATGGAGAGTTCTTCATCTCTTTCCGGAGGATCTGAACACAATTGACATCTCATCTTTGCGTCGTCCCCAACCTGCAGAATCAGTGAAATTGTTATTTACAAGTAATCTATTTTTGGTTCTCATTAGTTTCTGGTAGATTTAGAACAGACAAAAACTGTGTCACAAAAGAATGATAACTAATACAGTTTTTTTTTTGTCCTAGGACGCTAGGCATGAGCCTGGGATTGTTTTTCACATTACTTCAGGGTAGACCTTGGGGTTGCGGCATTATCACTTAGATAAAATCCATTGGTGACTTGGGGGGGATCGAACCCTGGACCTCAGGGACTGAAGTCCCGCGCTCTAACCACTACACTAGCTCGCTCCCCTGACTAATACAGTATAGGCTACTCCAATATTTCAACCTCAGCAGTGGAGGTTCTAGGACCTTGTCAAGAGAGTCTACCTGTGTGTCCCACACCCCCCACAAAAATAAGGAGGGTCCCAGAAAATTTGATATTTTAAAATCAATTTGGCGATTTTATAAAGCCATTTTTAATGTTTTGAACTGTGTCCAAAAACGTCCGTTAGATTTTTGGGACAAAATGTATGATTGTTTAATTTCTCAGTGTCCAATGGGGGGGGGGGGTGCTTTAGCCTCTCGAGCCACCCTCTTGGAACCGCCACTGGACCTCAGTACTATACAGACTGTCATCTTCATTGAATCTCGCTCAATCAAATTATGTCGTGCTGTAATGGCTCTCTGCATTGATTTCAACTGGGCGGAATGTAATAGTACTAGTAGTGATACTGTTAAGGGAACAAGCTGGTCTAGTGATGGAATGCATAGTCTTAGTCTCTCAGGTCCCTGGTTAAAATACAGCCAATCACCAATAATTTCTAGCTATGTTATGTATCAGGACCACCTAGGTCGAGTAATACCTACAATAAGTACAATGAACCTACAAATGAATACCTACAATGAAGTAATATGTAAAATGGTTTTGCCTAATTATAGCATCCTAGGATGTGAAGGTAGGACATGAAAAGTAGTGACACTGTTGAGACACAGTCATCGCCTGAAAACCACAATAATTTTACTCTATATGACTGAGGAAATTTGTTTTGAACTTAAATGCGTAAATGGTTTCTAGAATGTTTTACCACAGTAAAATATTTAAATTTCTTTGAGGCGACTACCACCACAAACCCCTCCCAGGATTCGACTCCCTCATAAATTTTATCCCAAGGATAAATAAATAAGGACTTCCCTACCTTGACCGAGTGAGCCACCACTACGAGTGCTATGAAGGAGACGACAAACAGGGTGGAAGGTACAATGATGGCTACCAGAAGCTCTCTCCACGTCTTGTCCAGATCAAACCGAGCCACCACCAGGAACGAGTCATTCTGTTGCAATCATTTTGTCAGTTATTAGGGTAAAAAATACTTTGGACTAGTTGTAAGAGTATTAAAATAAAAATAAATACTTCAATCTATGACAGTGTTGTCTGCTCAAGGTGTTACGGGTACTAAGAGCTTACAGAAGTTTCTTATTTTGATTCAAAAGATACATTCAGATTTTTGTCAGGGCCATACAAAGAAATCAGTCAACTTATCCATACAAACGGCTACATAGTTTTCCCATACCTTGTTATAGAAGCAAGGGAACCTGCTTTGAGCAGTGAAGTTGTCGCCGTCGTTGCCGTGTGTGTTGAGGAACTCCCGACATTCCCCTCGCAACGTGTTGACGCAGCCTTCCAGGTTGATGTACAGTCGAGAGTAGTTGTATATGGTCAGGAGGTGTTGCATGGGTAGGAAACTGCCAGGAACAGGAACCATAGACAAACATAACTCCTTGGTGGATCTATTATCCTTATAAATCAATTATATGTAATTCCAAAGTTCCCTCCTGTTTAATTATAGGGAATGTTGTAGTTAGTTTAGAATGAATTGCTTTCTCGTTAGTTTCTTGTAAAACAAAAAATTGTAAAGCGCCATAGAATGGTTTTTGATGGGTAACTTGCCAATAGAAACACCGGCATTTGTCCACAAAGAAAGCTTAGTACAGAACATCAAGGATTACATAATTCTAATTATAATTATAATATTTTCTATATTTTAATTAAGTACACCAGAGTCATACCTCTGTTGCTTGTCCACCACTTGAGTGGTGTTCTCTACCAGATGCCGGTAGATGGTGAAGTTCATCACTTTGGGAGGAATCATGGTAGAATTGGCGATTGTGCCGTTTATGCAATCAGTTGCACTGAAAAATCACAGTAAAACACAATAAGAAAGAAGTGTTGATGTAAAATGGATTTGGCAATTAAATAAAATTTTTGTTATGAAAGTATATGTTTAAAAATGGTTGAAAACGTTTTAGATTTATAAGCTTAATTTCAATGTTGTAGACTTACATTTTTTACAACTTTTTGTGAAACGTTAATCAAATCAAATCAGATCAAATCGTTTATTAAGCCAGAATCAACAAAATATAATTATTTTATAGTTAAATAATCATCAGCCAAATTCACTGCAGTCTTTTAAAGTGGGTTCTAACATGAAAACATAAAATTTCCCAAATTTTTTAATCTATTTTAAAGAGCTTATAAAACAAATTAGTATGAATAACAAATAGTATATTAAAGTGTTTTTACGGTTAACAGCAAACTTAGGTATTTAGGTACCTAATGTTATTTAAATAGATTTAATTGAAAATCTAATCCGGAGAATGGAAATTTGCTTAGTCTGCAGGTTTGCTGTGGCGGGAATATTTGTAGTTAATATTATTACTATAAAAAAAGAATTTCTAAAAAAAATATCATATTTGTTCATTTAAACGATCAATTTAGCAGTGGAATATTATAATAATAAAAAAAAATATTAATTGTAAAACATAAACAGATTTAAGAATATTATGGGGGTTTTTATTAATGTGTTGTTGCCGTGGTTACCAAGCAATAATTACTTTCTGAAGCCAAACCTTAGAATTTTAAAAACCTTTGACAAACCGGAACTCCTTAGCCAAAATATCAAAATGCGAATAAGTCTATTAATTCCTGGTAGATTAACTTTCCCAAAATTTTAGGTAATTTTGTCACAGTGGTTTTGGCTGGATAGAAATGTGGGCAAAAACAAATTTCACAATACTATAGATGAACATATCACAAATAAGTTCTCTTAGCAATACAAACTATTTCAATAACGTTCTGGGCATTTAAAAACTAGAGTGTGTAAAATCACTCCTTTTTACCAAACTAGAGAAATACTGGAACGTTCGCCCTCACTAATGAGTTGTAGGGGTGGGTGGGGGAGGGGGGATGGAGTTGATGTGATTCCAAAGCTCTGCTTTACAATCACAAAACTGCAAACCAGCGAGCTATTCATTAGCGCAACACAATACCTGGCCAGCAAGCTTTACCCACGGTTTAATTTGAAGCGTGAAACGAGATTTTAAAATCAAATTGAAACTTTTAAATATATTCTAATGATCTTTGAGCCGCTTCACAGGTATTTATGAGGGACTGAGAGAAATATGCTAAGTTATAAGTTATTATTAATTGTAAGTTGCCATACACCAATCTCATTTCGTCATAGTAAGAACGAATAGGACTTTCTATGTTCATTATCAGTAAACTTAAAATAACTATTGTGGTTGATAATTTAAAACATTATCTGGAGAAAGAGGTTACTAAAATTGCGTTTCTTTTATTTCATGGGAAAAATGTAAATACAACTGGCTACAAAACGAGAAATTGATAAATAGAAAAAGATATTTTATCAAATTAATTTGATAACATAGTTGTAAACGTTATCACCAAAAACAAAGATATTTGAAAGTTCTGGTATGGTTCAAGAAGTTGTCTTTGTGACGGAAAATTATTGTATAGATTAACTAGTTATTTTTCCATTTTTAATCCTTTATTTTCATACAAAAATAACGATTTGTGTTCAAATGATATCGTGTTTGTTGTCTTTGATATTCAGTATGTAGAAAACCATGAAATAGCTGAAAATTGAAAATAAATAAACTGAATCATTTTAGTTTATCTTTTACGTAACGGCAAATCCAATGGGAGCATAGCCCGGCGCTCCCTGTGATTTAGCTACAGGCGTGTAGTGCGGGTATTGCATATAGCCAGTGGCAAGGCGCTCCCGTAGTAACGCTAAATACTTGTGCCATACGAATTTCACTGTATCATTTTTGTAAGAAATAGATTCGCAGTATCCTAAAACCGTACAATCACTCGTCCACATAGGCCTCGGGCTGGTGTGTAGAATGTCACCAGTACAGTAAAGGGCGAGCCAGTACAGTACTAGAACCGAACTTTATAAATAAATAAATAAATAAAAATGCCTTTTATTAGCAAGCGCTCCTCAGTACAAACTGTTTTACAGGATGACTCTTGTCAAGTAACTAATCCTGACTTAAAACTAAAGACAAAACAAAAATACTGATCCCCCTATTAACAAGATTTTAGCTATTTACAAAAATACATTTTCTTTAGCCTAGATCTAAAAGCTGGGACACCCAGCATCTTCAGGTCACAGGGGAGGTCATTGTACATTTTAGGCCCAAAGAACGAAAAACCTCTCTTTCCTACTTCCAACCTCACCTTCGGGAAATGAAGCTTTTTGTCTTGTCGGGTATTGCGCTGAGACACCCGATCGCGGGTGACCAGTCTTTCAATGAGGTACGCTGGTTCCTCTTCGGCCAGTACCCTGTGTACCAGAGTGCATGTTTGCCTCCTGCACACAGCAGTTGAGGACAAGAGGCCAGCAGTTCTTTCAAATTGAGAAATATGGTCTCGTTTCCGAAGACCATATACAAATCTCACTGCGGTGTTCTGCAGTCTTTGGAGCCTGTCCATGTCCTCCTTTGTGATACTATTGCCGTATGCAGGAAAACAATAGTACAGAACTGACAATACAATGGATTGAATCAACTGAATCTTAGCTGACTCAGGTAGGATGGTTCGGCATTTGTACAGACCCCGCAGTCTACCCAACGCCAGCTGGGAAACATGAGTGATGTGATCAGAAAAAGTAAGACCACTGTCCAGAATCACACCCAAAGTCTTAGCAGTGTGGCTCACCTTCAAATCCCTCTGATCAAGTTTAACCTGCACGTCTCCATCAATTATCCTTTGGACAACATTGGGTGGAGCAATGTGGAGAACTGTGCATTTTTCTCCATTTAACTTGAGACCATGTCTCATTGACCACTCACTGACGTTCGCCAAATCTGAGTTAACCCTCGCAACAGCCTGGTCAATTGAATTGACATCATAGGATAAATGCAACTGACAGTCATCAGCATAGGCGTGCACATTGCAAAAGCGCACGCTACTGGAAAGGTCTGCAGTGTACAAGGTGAATAAAATGGGACCCAGACAGCTCCCCTGCGGCACCCCCCTGACTTTGTCAAGAGGGGTTCTTTACTGATGAAATATAGTGGTGGGCACCACAGTACGAACTAATCATGACTGCCATATAGCCTAGATCCATAGATCTGTCGCTATACCGACTGAGCCACCGTCCCACTAAATATGGAAACAATTTTATCGTTGGCGATGTTGATTTTACGTCTTTGGAACAACAGTGGACAATTTGGGTAAACACTAACGTGTTTCGGTTAAATTACAAAAACATTTGCTCCAATTTCTATTTAAAATAATATTCTATACATTAATAGGTGAGCATGTTTCTTGAATTCCCTTTTTCTCAGCTTGTACACAACGCAGGGAAAATCTACGCATACTGTTAAAAAAGTTATTTTCCTGTAAACGAGCAAAATCCCTTTATAAATTAAAATATAATAAAAAATAAGAACAACAATTTATTTTAAACTAAAAAAATAACATGGGCCTTATGGGTTGCCATGCTAGTGACGAAATAACAACAAAATATAAACAGAAAATAAAAACAAATGGAATAAATTCCAATCACAAGTTTTATTTACAGCGTGGGGTGAAAATAGAGAAGTCTTTACATTACATATTTTTGGTCGAATTTCGGCCACTGGATGACGTCTAGGGCCAAAAAAATGGACTCGGGATAAGAGAATAACATTAAATACATAGATTGTTTTGAAAAATGCTTTAACAAAAAGGTATAATTCAACATGTTTATCTTAGTTTTATTTTAGACAAGTCTGAAAGCAATTAGAAACGGAGTTTGTTTCGTCGCATAATTGCAACATTTGAAACCCTTATTTTTTGTTTGATTAGTTTTAGCCAATCTCAGGGGAAATACAGGGGATTTATTCAATAACAAAATGAAATCCACGCTCACAAGACGTAACATGTCGTAACACGTATCGACGTGCTCGCCTCGCCGTCGCGTCATGTTGTGGCGCTGGTGTTATGGATGAATCGTCTCTGGGGATTCCAGATTAGTTTTCTGAGCAAGGATCATAAAGCCACTCTGTGGGAGGGATTTAAGAGATTGGACGAAAACAACTGTTGCGATTCACTTGAGGGTGAACTCAAATATTTGTGCTTTTTAAGAATATACCATACTTAACGTGTTTAATGTTAATTTTTACCAGCCACCCATGAAAATATGCGTCTTTGTATTTGTTGACTTCGAAACTGTCAAAAAAAATTAGTTTTTAGAACAGATTCGGTGTAAATTTTGCATAACAAATTAAATACCGGTAGGCATTTTATTTTACCTAACCCGCCATGTTAAACTTCCCTATCCCAAGCGTGATGTATACAACTTCTTTACTTCTCGAGTGATATAAAGTTGAACAAAAAAACTCACTCGGTAAGGTAATGAAACCCATAACATTGAGTGCTTAACTTTAAAAATATACCTCTATGGAGCCAACGACGTTCAACGCTAGAAATCAGCTGTGCGCTTGAATTTTATTGTTATGTTTTGAAGAATTTTCCTAACCTAGCTTTTGTTTGTAAATGAACGTTACTGTTAGAAGATGAGTGAAATGGATAATGAAAAATATGGTTCGTAATGTCCTGTATATTTTCGGGTCAGGTAAAATCTTGTACGTTACACGTTACGCAAGAGCGTTTTTACATCACGAAGGCGATTGTTGTGCAACGAGCGGAAGCGAGTTGCACAATTTGCCTAAGCTTGCTAAACTCGCTTCCGCTCGTTGCACAACATTCGCCTGCGTGATGTAAAAACGCTCTTACTACACTTGTAAGGTAAATAGCTATTAAACATTCGAAGAAATTAGTCCTCATGTGTCCTACACGTATTACACCACTCAAAAGACTTACTGACAGCGTTTCGTCTGTTGATCACTAATAGGACCACAATTAAGAGATACGGAATGTGCATAATTTGTAAGTTATGTTCCACTTTAGGAATGTTTTAGAAACACATTTAATTATTCGTTTATTTAGTCCCCTATCTGTTAAGCTTTAGTGTTGCATGAGTTTCGGTTAAAAACAGGGCTGTTAGTTCAGTGGTAAAGACTTTAGCTGACGTCAGACACTCCTGTTCGAGACCACCACCTACACTATTCTACCTCATACATTCACTAGTGGCTTACCATGTGACTTGTACCTTAGAGGTACTTCACTGGCTTTAGATCGTTATAAAGACCAGTTATGGTATCAGTAGGTTTTAGGTTTTTGAAACAAAGTCAAATCTGTCAACAATAGCTTTTATAGTTTAAAACTACTACCTACTTCTACACTGAAAATGAAATGTTCTACCCCTCACCAAACAAAACCACTCTAAATAGAGAACAATTCAGATAAAGAGATGGAGTCATACTTGAGCCAGTCGCTATCCTTGCCAGGGTGTACGGTGTGGCAGGACGCTAGGAGAACCTCGTGAGGCCGCTGCTCTGAGGCCGCCCAGACCTCGGTACCCCCTCGGTCACCACCCCTAGCCTCGTCGTAGGCCACCACCTTCCCGCAGCGGCCAGTGTACACGTTGTTGTCGTACTGGATGATCACGTTGTTGCTCCCCGTCGGGATGTTGTTGCAGTAGCGCTCGCAGTAGAAGTTGCGCATGTTCTTGATTTTTGTACACCTGGCAGAAGAATTGCTATTTAGATGAGTCTAGAGATGTGAGTTTGTCTGAAGTATTAGATTGAGACTAGGCTATTTATTTTTTAACTGTAATATAATGGTTATGCATTGAGGTTAAAGGTTAAATTCTGGATTATGTGAGAGGTTACGGGGCTTCGTAGAACACACTAAGCGACTTAGCCAAATGCACGATATTTCAAACTCATCAAAATATTCGTTAATAGCGCGATTGGTTTACTAAACGTCAGGATGATTGTGGAAACCATGCATGAGAGAATGATCATTGATCAAAAAAATAATAGCTTAAAGATCCGTTGAACATTTACCTTGGATAATTTCCAACAAACCTAAAGAACTTTTTCTGGTATGAACTGAGCTCTTCATTTATTGAGGTATTTGTTTACCTAGCATAGTTCTCGTGATATTTTAGGTTAAATAAATAGTATCCCCACACTAACATTGTGTGCTGATTTGCCACGCCGCCGTTACAGATTGTCATCTTCAGAGCCATTTCTTGTAGTTTTAATAAAATGTGCTTCGTTACTGCTCTGAAGACGATCATCTGCAAAGACGTCAACACGTCGGCACACTATGAGGTGCTATGTCATAGTTATACCACCCAGAAGATCACGATATAGTTCGGCCGCTTAGAAAACGACCTGAGCGCTAATGCTAAACCAATGCTGGAGAAGGTCGTTTTCTAAGCGGCCGACCTATAGTAGCATTTTCTTTGGCGTTAGCTATATGAGGTCTGTTTCAAGTTTAAAAAAACAAGTGATTATATGCCTTAACGTGTACCAACAGATAATTCAGAAGATACTGCAAAATATACAGGCTAATACAAGAGATACTAATCCCTCCAATTTTAAAGAATAAACAAATATAACAAAACTAAGAGTAGGTACAAGGATTAAACCTACTGATGATCTATTACTTGGGAAGCTTATACCTGGATTTATGACACTCGAAGAAACCGTTTAACTTGAGATTGTCTCTGTCGCTGTCGACGACGATGCCATCTGCCTTGTAGTGACATTGGAACAGCAGACTCATGTTGGCGCAGTGTCCCAGCGAGCAGTTGAACACACCAGTCAGCGAGGCACACACCTTGTCTTCGTTACAGTTGTACTTGGGGAGAACACCGGAGTTGACCTGTAACACGGGGATGATACAGGCTGTGGACATGTTGGCGCAGTGTCCCAGCGAGCAGTTGAACACACCAGTCAGCGAGGCACACACCTTGTCTTCGTTACAGTTGTACTTGGGCAGAACACCGGAGTTGACCTGTAACACGGGGATGATACAGGCTGAGGACATGTTGGCGCAGTGTCCCAGCGAGCAGTTGAACACACCAGTCAGCGAGGCACACACCTTGTCTTCGTTACAGTTGTACTTGGGCAGAACACCGGAGTTGACCTGTAACACGGGCATGATACAGGCTAAAGACATGTTGGCGCAGTGTCCCAGCGAGCAGTTGAACATACCAGTCAGCGATGCACACACCTTGTCTTCGTTACAGTTGTACTTGGGCAGAACACCGGAGTTGACCTGTAACACGGGGATGATACAGGCTGAGGACATGTTGGCGCAGTGTCCCAGCGAGCAGTTGAACACACCAGTCAGCGAGGCACACACCTTGTCTTCGTTACAGTTGTACTTGGGGAGAACACCGGAGTTGACCTGTAACACGGGCATGATACAGGCTGAGGACATGTTGGCGCAGTGTCCCAGCGAGCAGTTGAACACACCAGTCAGCGAGGCACACACCTTGTCTTCGTTACAGTTGTACTTGGGCAGAACACCGGAGTTAACATGTAACACGGGGATGATACAGACTGAGGACATGTTGGCGCAGTGTCCCAGCGAGCAGTTGAACACACCAGTCAGCGAGGCACACACCTTGTCTTCGTTACAGTTGTACTTGGGCAGAACACCGGAGTTGACCTGTAACACGGGGATGATACAGGCTGAGGACATGTTGGCGCAGTGTCCCAGCGAGCAGTTGAACACACCAGTCAGCGAGGCACACACCTTGTCTTCGTTACAGTTGTACTTGAGCAGAACACCGGAGTTGACCTGTAACACGGGCATGATACAGGCTGAGGACATGTTGGCGCAGTGTCCCAGCGAGCAGTTGAACATACCAGTCAGCGAGACACACACCTTGTCTTCGTTACAGTTGTACTTGGGCAGAACACCGGAGTTGACCTGTAACACGGGCATGATACAGGCTGAGGACATGTTGGCGCAGTGTCCCAGCGAGCAGTTGAACACACCAGTCAGCGAGGCACACACCTTGTCTTCGTTACAGTTGTACTTGGGCAGAACACCGGAGTTGACCTGTAACACGGGGATGATACAGGCTGAGGACATGTTGGCGCAGTGTCCCAGCGAGCAGTTGAACACACCAGTCAGCGAGGCACACACCTTGTCTTCGTTACAGTTGTACTTGGGCAGAACACCGGAGTTGACCTGTAACACGGGCATGATACAGGCTGAGGACATGTTGGCGCAGTGTCCCAGCGAGCAGTTGAACATACCAGTCAGCGAGGCACACACCTTGTCTTCGTTACAGTTGTACTTGGGCAGAACACCGGAGTTGACCTGTAACACGGGGATGATACAGGCTGAGGACATGTTGGCGCAGTGGCCCAGCGAGCAGTTGAACATACCAGTCAGCGAGGCACACACCTTGTCTTCGTTACAGTTGTACTTGGGCAGAACACCGGAGTTGACCTGTAACACGGGGATGATACAGGCTGAGGACATGTTGGCGCAGTGTCCTAGCGAGCAGTTGAACATACCAGTCAGCGAGGCACACACCTTGTCTTCGTTACAGTTGTACTTGGGCAGAACACCGGAGTTGACCTGTAACACGGGGATGATACAGGCTGAGGACATGTTGGCGCAGTGTCCCAGCGAGCAGTTGAACACACCAGTCAGCGAGGCACACACCTTGTCTTCGTTACAGTTGTACTTGGGGAGAACACCGGAGTTGACCTGTAACACGGGCATGATACAGGCTGAGGACATGTTGGCGCAGTGTCCCAGCGAGCAGTTGAACACACCAGTCAGCGAGGCACACACCTTGTCTTCGTTACAGTTGTACTTGGGCAGAACACCGGAGTTAACATGTAACACGGGGATGATACAGACTGAGGACATGTTGGCGCAGTGTCCCAGCGAGCAGTTGAACACACCAGTCAGCGAGGCACACACCTTGTCTTCGTTACAGTTGTAATTGGGCAGAACACCGGAGTTAACATGTAACACGGGTATGATACAGACTGAGGACATGTTGGCGCAGGGGCCAAGCGAGCAGTTGAGCACACCAGTCAGCGAGGCACACACCTTGTCTTCGTTACAGTTGTACTTGGGCAGAACACCGGAGTTGACCTGTAACACGGGCATGATACAGGCTGAGGACAGGTTGGCGCAGTGGCCCAGCGAGCAGTTGAGCACACCAGTCAGCGAGGCACACACCTTGTCTTCGTTACAGTTGTACTTGGGCAGAACACCGGAGTTGACCTGTAACACGGGCATGATACAGGCTGAGGACAGGTTGGCGCAGTGTCCCAGCGAGCAGTTGAGCACACCAGTCAGCGAGGCACACACCTTGTCTTCGTTACAGTTGTACTTGGGCAGAACACCGGAGTTGACCTGTAACACGGGGATGATACAGGCTAAGGACATGTTGGCGCAGTGGCCCAGCGAGCAGTTGAACACACCAGTCAGCGAGGCACACACCTTGTCTTCGTTACAGTTGTACTTGGGCAGAACACCGGAGTTGACCTGTAACACGGGCATGATACAAGCTGGGGACAGGTTGGCGCAGTGTCCCAGCGAGCAGTTGAGCACACCAGTCAGCGAGGCACACACCTTGTCTTCGTTACAGTTGTACTTGGGCAGAACACCGGAGTTAACATGTAACACGGGGATGATACAGACTGAGGACATGTTGGCGCAGTGTCCCAGCGAGCAGTTGAACACACCAGTCAGCGAGGCACACACCTTGTCTTCGTTACAGTTGTACTTGGGGAGAACACCGGAGTTGACCTGTAACACGGGGATGATACAGGCTGTGGACATGTTGGCGCAGTGTCCCAGCGAGCAGTTGAACACACCAGTCAGCGAGGCACACACCTTGTCTTCGTTACAGTTGTATTTGGGCAGAACACCGGAGTTGACCTGTAACACGGGGATGATACAGGCTGAGGACATGTTGGCGCAGTGTCCCAGCGAGCAGTTGAACACACCAGTCAGCGAGGCACACACCTTGTCTTCGTTACAGTTGTACTTGGGCAGAACACCGGAGTTGACCTGTAACACGGGCATGATACAGGCTAAAGACATGTTGGCGCAGTGTCCCAGCGAGCAGTTGAACATACCAGTCAGCGAGGCACACACCTTGTCTTCGTTACAGTTGTACTTGGGCAGAAAACCGGAGTTGACCTGTAACACGGGGATGATACAGGCTGAGGACATGTTGGCGCAGTGTCCCAGCGAGCAGTTGAACACACCAGTCAGCGAGGCACACACCTTGTCTTCGTTACAGTTGTACTTGGGGAGAACACCGGAGTTGACCTGTAACACGGGCATGATACAGGCTGAGGACATGTTGGCGCAGTGTCCCAGCGAGCAGTTGAACACAACAGTCAGCGAGGCACACACCTTGTCTTCGTTACAGTTGTACTTGGGCAGAACACCGGAGTTAACATGTAACACGGGGATGATACAGACTGAGGACATGTTGGCGCAGTGTCCCAGCGAGCAGTTGAACACACCAGTCAGCGAGGCACACACCTTGTCTTCGTTACAGTTGTACTTGGGCAGAACACCGGAGTTGACCTGTAACACGGGGATGATACAGGCTGAGGACATGTTGGCGCAGTGTCCCAGCGAGCAGTTGAACACACCAGTCAGCGAGGCACACACCTTGTCTTCGTTACAGTTGTACTTGGGCAGAACACCGGAGTTGACCTGTAACACGGGCATGATACAGGCTGAGGACATGTTGGCGCAGTGTCCCAGCGAGCAGTTGAACATACCAGTCAGCGAGACACACACCTTGTCTTCGTTACAGTTGTACTTGGGCAGAACACCGGAGTTGACCTGTAACACGGGCATGATACAGGCTGAGGACATGTTGTCGCAGTGTCCCAGCGAGCAGTTGAACACACCAGTCAGCGAGGCACACACCTTGTCTTCGTTACAGTTGTACTTGGGCAGAACACCGGAGTTGACCTGTAACACGGGGATGATACAGGCTGAGGACATGTTGGCGCAGTGTCCCAGCGAGCAGTTGAACATACCAGTCAGCGAGGCACACACCTTGTCTTCGTTACAGTTGTACTTGGGCAGAACACCGGAGTTGACCTGTAACACGGGCATGATACAGGCTGAGGACATGTTGGCGCAGTGTCCCAGCGAGCAGTTGAACATACCAGTCAGCGAGGCACACACCTTGTCTTCGTTACAGTTGTACTTGGGCAGAACACCGGAGTTGACCTGTAACACGGGGATGATACAGGCTGAGGACATGTTGGCGCAGTGGCCCAGCGAGCAGTTGAACATACCAGTCAGCGAGGCACACACCTTGTCTTCGTTACAGTTGTACTTGGGCAGAACACCGGAGTTGACCTGTAACACGGGGATGATACAGGCTGAGGACATGTTGGCGCAGTGTCCCAGCGAGCAGTTGAACATACCAGTCAGCGAGGCACACACCTTGTCTTCGTTACAGTTGTACTTGGGCAGAACACCGGAGTTGACCTGTAACACGGGGATGATACAGGCTGAGGACATGTTGGCGCAGTGTCCCAGCGAGCAGTTGAACACACCAGTCAGCGAGGCACACACCTTGTCTTCGTTACAGTTGTACTTGGGGAGAACACCGGAGTTGACCTGTAACACGGGCATGATACAGGCTGAGGACATGTTGGCGCAGTGTCCCAGCGAGCAGTTGAACACACCAGTCAGCGAGGCACACACCTTGTCTTCGTTACAGTTGTACTTGGGCAGAACACCGGAGTTAACATGTAACACGGGGATGATACAGACTGAGGACATGTTGGCGCAGTGTCCCAGCGAGCAGTTGAACACACCAGTCAGCGAGGCACACACCTTGTCTTCGTTACAGTTGTAATTGGGCA